AAACAAATCACTGTATCACAATAAAATTCCCGGAAACCGTCCACTTTGTTTGTTCAAATAAAAATACAAGAAACAAATCAATTATCATTAATACCCAGCCGAAATATGATCGTTATAAATATATCAGTTTGGATTATTGTTGAAAGGATTTTATAAAGGCACAGCCGGCGCTGGACAGTCAAGGTTTTGGCCGTGAGCTGGGTGGGGTGGGGGGGGGGTTGGGATCAGGAGGGATGGTAGGGGTAGGAGGGGGACCGAAGGCGCGGTCGAAGAGGAAGATCTTGAGACGGGCCTTGAAGGAGGCAACCTCTGTTTAACATCCCTCCTCCAGGATAACTGATCTCTTATAGTCCAAAGCCCTCACTTCAGTCATGCAAGAGTCTCAAGGCCAGCAGATTGCAGCACTGTACCTGGGTATCAATGCTCCTGAACTGCCAGGACCAGTTTGTGTTGTAGAGAAATGGACGGAGATCAAACCGATTGTCGTCAGGACTGTATTGTTCCGCGTGATAAGCCGGAGTCAGAACAGTCATCTTGTGTCGGTTAATGGCATACATCCGGAAGAAATGCTTCACCTTCTCGGCCACCTTGAAACAAATTACAACACAAGTTTGCTTGAAAGCACAACAGGAGAACAGTGGCCTGTGGGGTTCAACCAGGTGGCCAAATGTGATGTGAAATGATTGATACTCGAATAAAACACTGCAGGAGAGAAGTTCCAGACTAGATCTCTGTCAACTCATTGCCGGCAAAGTTTGTAATCAAGCTACCGTTTCGTCAAACATCACTCGTCCATTTGTTAAGAGCCTCATCAGGTTATACTGAACAAAATTGTTGAGATCGTAGAAGCATGTAAATTTACATTACAGAAGAAAGACACACCTGGGATAGCAGAGGAGTCTATAAGGAAAGAAATTATGCAAGGCTCTTTGGTTTTGAGGCAAAAAAACAAGGCTCATTATTGGATTCAAGATACAAACTGACATGGTTATTAGGAGGAGGAAGTGTTGTTAGGCAATCTCTTAGTTGCCAGAGGAACATGCTCAACAAATGGAACATATATTTCATAGGCACACAATCAGGGCGCTGTAACATTGAGATTTTTATATTGACAAATATTTGCAACAGAAGATAAGCAACTGCACGGGGCATATCTGGCCTGGTTACCAGTCAGTGCTCACCCACATAACATCCTTTTCATTTAAAAGAATATTTAGTTAAGACTGAAGGAACCTTTGTCCTGTTCCACTAACAGTACATGATTCAATAGCCGATTGCTTAGTTATTTAATATTCCAGTCTATTGTGCATTAATGGCTAAACATAGCACTCACTTTCCAGCAGCTTGTTATTAAAAATAAACTTGCTATTTTAGGATTTACCTTACTTTATGGATTTAGTCACAATTAACAGAACAAATCCAGTCTCTAAATATTACATTTCAGCCCTTCTTTTCTGCAATCTTTACACGGCTTCATTTACGAATGGGATTTTGCCATAAAAATACTACAAAAAGAATCACTATTTATTAAGTGATGGTTTCTGACAGATATTAGGAGGCTTTCTTTAGCTACCTCATAGCTAATGTGAACCTGGATATTGTACCAAACCTGATTCACAAACATGTACCTTCAATCAAATAACCACTGAATTGTTTTGCACTGAACATACACTTGTATGATTTAGTATCCATTAAATGAACAGCAAAAAGTAAGTTCTACTAACCCTCTTGAGCAGTATGTAATTACTGCTGAAAGACTTAACAGGGAAATTATTGTTTATGTCATGCTCACCTGTCTGGGAGTGCAGATGCTGTTCCACGTGTGGATTAATTTACAGAACATGCTGTAAGGACCACACTTGGCGATCTTCCTCAGTTTACCATAGACCGACAGTTCAGCGTACGTCATTCCCATATCAGCCTGTACACAAATGGTTGTTGCATTAAAACAGGAGTAAAACATGTAACAATCTATAACGGTAAAGAGTCATATTATTACTCCCTCGATAAACAACAAATGTATTGGAAAACGCCACAAACTTCACCCCTTTTATTCCATCCTGTGTCTTTTTCTTGCAATAAAACTATCATCGATTATGAAACTGTCGAGTATAACAGGAAGTCATCAATCTTAGTAGCTGGTACCTCATCAGTCTGTGATACTTGGCCATTGGCTAGTGGTTCCAGCTCTGCAGTCGGGGGAGCTGAGATAATTCTGCAAAAGAGCAACAGCAATGGCACACCTTAAAGTTACTTGGCAAGTCTCGCACTCCGAGGCAGTAGTCATAAACTAGGAACAATTCCAGTTGAATAAGACTGAATTATCAACAACAACTCAAAACCAGCGCAGCCCGTGGGAGTAAACCCCCAAATACGTTGTTGCCAAGAGAAACCGCAGTCTAAACGCTGCTCACTGATCATTAACCACGGAAGTGACAGAAAGTTAACCCCATTGGAATTGTTCAGTGGTTTAAACTGGCCTCAGCAGTCTGCCCTCAAACATGAGAAAGCTCAAGGCTTTTGAAAGATTTTGAACGATTTTGTGTATTGGAAATAATAACTGCGAGAGTTCAGAAGTTACAATATTCATCGAGCCACAAATTGCAAGACAATATCAGGATAAATTTGTAACCGCGTGACTTTCGACACTGGAAGTCTGAAACACATTCTTGAACAAATCTCTGTGTTTTATGTGCTGTATTACTGTATTTTTATTCAGTGACAAAATGATTAAGGGATGGTATTTACCAGCAGCATTTTACCAACTTACTTTCTCAATGCTGTGAGCTGAAAGTTTTCAATACAATATTGTATAAAGTTCTTCAGATCCATCTTACTGATCCCACCGATTGGATTGATATCTGCGCTGGAGCAATCATACTTGGTCATGTATCCTCGGAGACTGAAACAGATCAGGTTTTCAGTGTTAGAAAAATCTGAAGTTTAGCGAATGTCAATATTAACAAAAATCTGAATAAGCAGTTTATTGACATTCGGAACCACTCGAGGGCAATTTGTGGACAAAAATCCTTCTTAAAATTGGGAAAGGTTTGCACGACCAATAATACTCAACGTATGCTATTCTGTGTTTAGGTCAGAAAGACATGCTTCACACACTAGGTTTCCTTTTAATCCCTTTTAGTAAAACATCTTACCACGTGCTCTGGCTGGTACGGAGGAAACTTATTTGCGGACAAGGATTAAGCAGCTTTGGCGTGCAAATCGATGACCCTAAATTCAATTATTAACTAGGCCGCTGACCTTCCTGAACAGAGACTTTAAACCAACATCAAAAGGTACATCTGCACACTACACATTGCCCTGCTGCAATCGCATTGGTTTAGAAATGCAAACACAAATGAAAGACCACATGAAACAGGCAGGAATAAAGCAGGTTACAGGCAACAACATCCGTTACTCCAACTCATAATAATAAAAAATTGGTCGCTCAGTCCATGACTGTTTGTGGGACACTGCTGTGCGCAATTGGCTGCTGTTTTCGCCCACAAAATATAGTCAATTCACTTTACAGTATATTCTGTGAAGCACTTGAGACGTCTCGAAGACATAAGGCGCTTTATCAAATTCAAGGATTATTATTATTTCTTACCCGAACCTCAAAGCAGTAGAAAGGCATCCTCTCTCCAGATCTTCCCCTGATCCTACAATCTACAGACTGTTAAAAACTCACCTAGACACCAACTCATTTTCCTTCCTGATTGACGTCTAAGTGGTCGCGGAATTGCAGCTAAAAGCGAGAATGAATAAATAATTACCTTTCATCCACATTGGCTGATCCAAGCACGAGCAGTCCTCCTGGTCTCCCACAAGACCACAGCCTCAACTGGGCAAAAAGGTAGGCGAGAACCATGCGGATCCTAGCCTGAGAGGGTAAGGATTGGAAGAGGACCGTTACGTGAAGCTCGATGACATGTGCTCCCTCCGCGAACGGCGCTATATAAATGTAAATTGGTGCCGTTAAGGCACATAATAATCCTTGCATTCGATAAGGAGCTTGATCCCGTCTTCAAGACGCCTCAAAGCACTTCACAGAATATACTGGAAAGTGAATTGACTGTGTATTGTGTGTGCGCGAACGCACGTTGATTGGTTAGCGACAGACGGCACTCTTCACTTTATGCAGGGCTTTAATTGGCACGGGTCAATCTTCCAGCGTGCTTGCTCCCACAGTGGAATGGGGGCAACTTGAAACAAGAGAGGCTCTGATCGGGTCATTACACATCAAATGAGCTGTAAAGCGCTAAGTTAGGAGAAGATGTCGTGAAAAACAATCTGTTTCTGAGCCGGTTCCAAAACGTGTGCGTGAGAGAATGCCTGTCATCGCTTACGGGATTTACGTGCTCTATATATACCTGCACATTCTGTAGGGCCAAATTCTCTCTTGTGCAGCCACCGTGCACCGTGAACTGGGGAGATTTTCCCGTCACCAGACTGAAAATTCCAATCATAGCCTTCACTGCCGTGTCAATGTTCATGTTTAGGTGGTAACTGAAGCGAGAGAGAGAAAAAAAAAAGAATTGTTCCATGTAAGATAATGTCCCTTCAGCCCAAGTACCATTATGGTGAATGTCCGTTGCAACGCAATGCAACCCACATGCCCTAACCCATAACCTCTTTTGTTGCTCTGTTGAGGTCTTGACTGCAACAGGGCACCCGGAGACAGATCTGTACAATTTCTGGTGAAGAAACAGAATTCGAAGTTTAAAGTATTCCAAACACACGTCCTCATTTTAGTGTTCCTTTTGAAGAAGGCTCAGGTTGGATTCTTTACCTGCCTATTTGGTCCGCCAACTCTTTGGCCCGATTGCAAGTGTCTTGCGAAGAGTTTTCACTGGCCATGTAGCAAGTGGTGAAGACCTGCCGACAAAATTCCCTCGGATCTTTGGGAACGTAATTGGGATCATTCACTATCTTCCGGGCATCTTCTATCACCTGTTGATCTGATTAAATGTTAAATAATAATTATATTAATAATCTTTGCATTTGATATAGCGCTGTACCGGGTCTTCGAGACGTTTCGAAGCACTTCAAAGGATATACTGTAAAGTGAATTGACTGTATATTTTGTGGACGAAACGCGGGAGCCAATTGCGCACAGAAGCGTCCCACAAACAGTCGTGGATTGAAGTGACCAATTGATTATTTATTTTTGGAGGCATTATTACCCCCAGAAAAGCTGGGTTCCTACTTACTGAGAGGTAAACAGAGGCGTGTGGAGTAAGGAAACTTGCCCAACATTTCGTCCTGCCGGGAAATGAACCCAGGTCTCTCGCTAGCCAGGCGAGCGCACTAACCACTGAGCTGCAGGATGACAGAAGCAAATGGTTCTCCCCAGGTACTCACTTCCATTATCTGCAGCGAGGCACACTTGTCGACACATGGAATAGACGATGCAGGCTGTGGCTGAGCTGTCAATGCCTCCACTCAGAGGTAGTAGGAAACCGGCCTGCAGACACCGAAGAAACCAGATAACAATACAGGAAGAGATACTGCTGCATCAGCGAAATTTCACTTCCTCATTTATTACTTCCTAAACGAGTCAGAACAAAGAGGGTTTGTAATGGTATACATTTTTGTTATAAAAATAAATTTGACCACTTTACTGGAAAGGGTAAAACAGCCGCAAGACATACAGTCAATCCACTTGACAGTATATTCTGTGAAGCGCTTTGAGAATTCTCAAAGGCATGATAAAGCACGACATCAAATGCAAGGATTATTATTATTACTACAGAGAAAAGAAATGTTCCATTTTTATTGTACTTTTATCACGTCAAAATATTTCACTGCTAAATACAGCCGAGCATCTGTCTTGTGATTTTGAGCCACAAGTTTTCGCAATCAGCCTTGAGGTGGTGAATGACTCATTTGAAAGGATCAGTTGGATCCAAAAGACAGCACCAACACTCTCCCAGATTCTGTCCAGATGCGAGTCTTGAACCCACAAGGTTATGCCTCAAGGCAGGGATGCTACTAAATGAGCCACACTGCCAGTGTTTTAAAAGGCGGGATTTCCTTTCTACTTTCCCCAACAGCAGAAAAGCTGAAACATATTACAAAATCCCACTTAGCCAAATCGACTCCACAAGTTGTTTGAATATTTATTCACATGACACGTTGCAGTTTAATGCCTTCCCACACTCACTGATCTACTTACCTGTGAACTACGCCGCAGGTAATCCCAGAGCCAACAGGCGGGACCTAGACTGCACAGGAATTGAATGAACAACAGAGGATTAGGTAATGTCTATATCATACACACACCTGAAAGGACTTTCTGTTTGAGGTGCAGAAACCCTCTGAATCTAGACATACGTGAGAAAATTTATAACGAACACAAAGTAATGCACTGTAAATCTTAAGTAGAGTTATCAAAAATGAGCAGCATATTCAAAAGCCTTCTAGGTAAACAGAGGTGTGTGGAGGAAGGAAACTTGCCCAACGTTTCGCCCTGCCCGGGGAATCGAACCTAGGTCCTCTCATTTGCAAGGCAAGTGCTCTAACCAATAAACTACAGGACTCCAATAACTGAACAAACAACAAGGGTTGAAACTTACCTAATTTCTTCCTCTGGAGTATGGCTTAGACTCTGAATGGGTTCAATGGAAGGTGCACCAATGTCATCATCCAAGGACAGTGCAAAGTCTATTTTCACCCTGTGATAGGGCTCTACTTGACCTGCCTGTTTATGATATAAAACACAGTACAAAATCAATTGCAGATTTATGCAGCAAAGAAAGGAGAGAAAGATGTTACAAGCAGATGATAGAGGCTGACGTGAAGAGCTCGAGAGTCAAATATTGACCAGGCTGAGAAGCAGTCTTGCGAAAACCCACTGGCTGTAAAAGCTCCACGTGAAATGAATTCACAACCTCATCCACAAAGGTCATAATCAGAAGGGATTTGGAAATAATTCACACTAGGGTAGAGTTACAACTTCAAAGCCTCTAATTTGCCAAATAAATACAACAGAAATCGGTTTAAAATCCTGGAGCTGTCTGCTGGTGCTGGAGAATTTCCTGACTGTGACTTCCATTAGGTCTACAAGCATGTGTAATACTTACCAAGATATTTCGAGAAGGAAGTTCTCCACGATAGGTTCTGACATCTTCTAGATCCAGCATGGCGGTTATAACTTCCTAAAGTCAGCAAATAAAAACCCACACTGAATTTCTGCTCTCTAGCCCTTTTGAGCACCAAAACAATTTTGCACAGGGCAGCCGCAGAAGTCATTTATACGTTGGAATAAACAAACAGAAAGATAGTTTGCGGACAAGCCACAAAGAGGCACCCGAGCTACATCACAGAGATGCCTTGTCGTTCACATCTTACCACGTCCTCCAGCGAAAACTGGTGTCCCTGAGCCACAAGATGTCCGTTCGCAGAAATGGTGGGGCAGCCATCGTAGTACAATCGATCCCCGTCACAGCCCTTCTGGTTGGCGTAGACGTAGATACCGCCATTCTGCAACAGTTCAAGATACAGAGCATCTTTGCGGCTGTTACACACCTCGCCTGGGTACGGTATGGTACATTTCTTTCCCTTTGCAAGCTGCTGTGGCTCAGCAGCCGGAAAGCACTGCAGATCTTGGCCACTAAGGGACGCAATACCTTGAGTTTCAGTTTTTCCACAGCTAACTTCTTACTTTCACAACCTTCAGTGAAACAATATGTGTTGTGTGTAGACTGAGAGCAGCGCACAGGCAGGGCAGGAAATCCCATTGGTCTGCAATTACCGACCGCAGGGAAATCCCTCAATGGAGCAGGACGTCATTCACTTTCACTTCCGTGAAGCTCTTTGAGAATCCCGAAGACGTGATAAGGCGCTATATGAAATGCAAGGATTTTTTTTTTATTTTGCAGTGCAACTCGCTATCCAACGACTGCAATCGCCACTTTCACTAATGTAGACATATCCTTGAAAATTCAAGGACACACGCTGCATTTAGCAATTGACTAGATTCCAGCATTCAGCTCCAGTTACAATGATAAGCAACAGGTGATACTGTAAACACCAAGGCATTCTGTGCCCTTGCTCTCTGATTCACCGCAGCATTACAAAAATCAACAGGCAGGCAAACAGTCAGATCTATTTGTAAAACAAATGCATTTTGGCCACTCACATTCCAGAGTCCTGATCAGAGGCCGTTTCATTTGCACTGTTTTTATTTTTTTAAAACAACGTTCCTTATCAGGTATAAAATAAAACTAGAAATGTCATGACGTGAAAGGCACTAGCTATATCAAATCTATTCTCCTGTTCTGCTTTACTCGTTGTAAATGCAGTTCTACTTTCATGGTCTGAGTTAAATGGCCGACTTGGATCCACTATTATTATATTAAAGAAATGGAACATTTCCCTTTTCTCTCAGCCTCTTCTCGTAACCCAGAGCTTCAAGTCCACAAACCATGTATTTTGCTCCTCTCCGAACCTTTGTCTCCAATATTCTTTTGAAGATTGAGTACCTAGAAGTGCGCCCAATATTGCAATCTTCAATGACTTTTGTTAGAGCAGTTTTCATTGTAGAAAACAGAGTCACATCCTTTCCAAATATTGAACAGGTAAAACGTGAACTGTAGGTCTAAATAAATAAAGTGCTTGAACAGGATCCATCTATAATCAGTTTTAGTAGTAGCAAACATTCAAAAATTGATAAGGAATCCTTTTCAACGGAACTGAATACATACACACACACACAGTACATAACATCTTAACATTATTCAATAGTTTTTTTTAAACTGAAGCATTATTTCATTCTGTGAGTCGACGCCTTGTCAGTTTTCAGAGCCTGTGGGGGAAATCGGTCTCCCAGGAAAACTCTTAAATCTAGTGACATTTTCAGCTTTTTGTACCTTTGCCGTGGCTGATTTAACTCTCTCCAACCTGCTGTGATCTTTCCGAAGCTCATAGTGGCTGGCTGATGAATTTGTAAATATCTCCACTCCATCCAGGCCCATGGACACATGGGGACTAATAACAAAAACAAGATGACATGTCAGTCCTTTAACCATGCCTTCACTGTCGTGGAAGACTTTTTAATGATGAAATAAACTATTTACAGCACAATATTTACCTCCAGACTCTCTCACACACACATTGCAGGATGTGAGAACCAACCATCTCATACATGCTTCTAAGCAAAATATTTAACAATACACACCCTTAATGTGCTACAGCAGTTAAGATTAGCAGGTTTTCAGGCCAGAGTAATGGTCACAATATGTTCTTGGTTTCTTGCATCAAGTGCTTTGCTGCGGTTACACGAGCACAAGGAGGAACAAATCCAAGCTATAAGTAACGTGAATTCCAGGCATCGGTGCAAACCAGTTTCTTCCCCATGATTTTCACATCATTCCTGACTTTGATGCACACCGAGCAAAAGCGAATGAAAGCTAAATTGCTTTGGTGCACGCATGGAATCGCTTTCCAGCCCTGCGGGTGATCAGGACAGCTTAGAAGGAGTTTCCTGAAAATAGGCCAGTTATTATAATGTTCAATCAGTCTGACCAAGAACCAATTGCCACAGTCAGATCTTCAAATGGGTGCACTTTGTGGAGCGTTTATTCATTTTCTGACCACAAGCCCGACAATCTGGAAATATCATCACTCAATTCAAGCACTGATATCAGTGAATACTGGAGCCAGAGCAACAACAGTGCGAATATTATATGGCCAAAATAAGACACTCAGCGGTGCTCATTGTCCAAAACAATTGCAATCATAGCCTCAGCAATATTCCACGCACTGTAATAACAAAATTAGAAACAAGTTCATAAAAACAGTAAACCCCTGTGACTGTCAGGGCTATTATATCACACGTGCTCTTGAGCCTCAAGTGAAATTTTACTGGAAATGTTGAGAAACCAAAGCAGGTAAAGCAGTACAGAATATCCTATACAGCCTTGAGTTGTAACGTATTTCATACTTATCTGGAATCCAAAGCTCCTCACAGATTTCAGTTCCAATGCAGGTGTCCTTTGTTGCAATGACAGCATCACCAAACGGGACAGTATCCTGATAGGAAGATTTAAAAACATGGAATTGGTATTCACAGTTTCCATTTTTTTTCCAAAAATGAAACACTGGCATTCAGAAACTAATGTGATAGGAAAGAGTTTGAAACTTCCAGTAAGTTTTGTTCAAAGTTCCCGGTTCTAAACTGAATCTCAGGTTAAGAAACTCTGCCTCAAGAGCTTGTCTTGACCCTCTGCTACTTTAGATGCAAGCGGTGTCTGGTCAGAAAACTCCACTGTCCAACTCGATTAGTGCGCACGAAAATGGCTCTCGTACTCCAATCACTGCAATCCACCCATTTTATACCTCTATTTAATCCCCGACCCCAAACAGCCTGAGTGAGATTGGGCACTTGTTGCAAGTGAATTGATCCAACAATTTTTACTGTGTTACTCACATCGTTCACTCATTCTAAATAATTATTTCAATAAAACCTGCCCGGATTAACAACAACATTAAATAAACAGAGCTCTCCCTACATGTCTAGACACGGATTCCACAAACCCATTCACTTATTTCCAATGCTCACTGGATGCCATACAATTTTATATTCATGGAGTGCTTTTGCCTTGGGAGGAAGTCCCAAGTATGGCTCAGCTATCCTGGGGGTGGGAGCTAAGGGGGGTGGGGAAGATGACTGAAAGCGAGGAAGCGAGCAAGTTTAAGAGACTCTGGGATGGAGCTCCAGAGAGTGGGGGCAGAAGAGCTGAAAGCCCATCCGCCGATGGTGGGGCAGGTAGAGGGGGGGAAATGTGAAGCAGGCCGAGCGAACGGAGCGACCAGGTCAGTAAGGTTTGAGGAGGTCACACAATTAGGGTGGGGCGAGACCACGGAGAGATTTAAAGATGCGAACGAGGATCGTGAACTCAAGCCGCTGAGGGATGTGGAGCCAATGGAGCCGGGCGAGGATGGGAGCGATTGGCTCACGGAGCCTGGTATAGGAAAGGACACTTCTCTTCAGCTCACCTGTTCAGTCACCACACGGATCATTCTTGGAAGAAAATATTCTTCTACCCTCCTAGGAAGAGGTGAATACGTTTTACGATAGGGAACTTAAGTGGTTACAATAAGAATCGACTTCCTAGAAATGTACATCAACATCATCATCACAGACCCAATGCACAATTACAAATAGGATGGAACGGGATTAAATGTAACTTAGCTTCAAGCCAGTTCTCTCTGCTAGTTATACTGTAATCATGCACCTGCAAATGTGCAGTACAGCCTCACTCAACATCTCTGTTATGAGGCACAGTTCACTTCATTCAGGAATCTGCGTACGCCCACAAATATACAGTCAATTCACTTTACAGTGTGTTCTGTGAAGCGCTTTGGGACGTCCTCCCGACGTGAAAAGCGCTATATCAAATGCAAGGATTATTATTATTATTATTATTATTATCTAGTGCAATTGGAGAGTAACATCCTGAGCTGCATTCTTCACCTCAGCCTTCCCTTGCTGTTCTCTAGTTTATCAATATAGTGAGTGTCCTCTCAAACCCCCAAGAAATATGCCACATTGTGCATTGTCCCCCTCCCCACTCAAAACACACTCTCCATTTACATTTTCCCATAAACATGAAGACTGAATCTATTACCTCCCTCCTCCTAAAACCTACAAGTTTTTAAAACCCAAATTCAAAGTCACTTCACCACACTGAGCAATTTGTCTCAATTCCTCAGCTATACTTTTCAACCCAGGCGCCAGTATTACATTATGCAGATCATAGCAATAGGAGACTTAACATTTTCAACTCCGACTGTACTTATAACAATAGTTCAGTGGATGGGCCGAACAGCCTTCCTTCATTTGAACTATTCTTGAGATCTTTGCATTCAACTATCATGCCATGCATCCAAGTCCATCGCTGGTATTCAACATAAACAGGACATACTTGTTCCTCTGTAACAAAATCAATCAATGGCACGAAACAAATGTAATTTCACCTTGGTGTCCATGGGGTGAACCAACGGAACTCTCTGTAGTTACCATTCTTTGCCATTATCAGCTTTGGTCTTATTAAGACAATCTTCCTGAAGCACATTTTGAGATGAAATGAACATGAGTTAATCACAATCATCGTTAAGAATCACTAAAAACCCTCAAAACACAACAGACTTTGATCTTCTATCTTATTCTCCACTTGGATTATGTTACCGTAGTTAGTTTTGCATTCAACACAAACTGGTGGCTGAACCAACGCTTAAAAGAGATGTTTCAAAGCAAATACGAGTGGAAGAAGAAACAACTCACTTGTTCAGAAAGATGATCCTGCAGTTGTAACGGATATTCTTGTGCATGACAGGCCTGGATTGTAGAACAATGATAGAAAATGTAAGCAATTGCAGTAAAGTTTAATATTTAAGAATGTTTAAGTTATTCATTATCAGCTCTTGCTTCAGGTTTCCAGCTGTTACTGCTTTGGGTTTCCAGCCACTCAGCGTCAGAAAGAAACTCCACTCCAAAAGAATGTTTCTAATCTCGTACCACTCCTATTCTAACATCAGTCAAATAAGAGAATCAATTGTGATGGCTTTAATATTTGAATATGTGAGCTCAGTCCCATCCTCACTCGAAACATTCTTTCCAACCAAGTGTAGGACCTGTAGATTATTCCTGCCCAATAATTCGGCAAGGCCATTGAACCTGGGACCATCCAGGTCAAAGTAGCTCAGTTTCACTCTAAAGCAAGGGATTTACCAAGTGCCTTACTGGAGGTAGGATGTGGTGGGGGTGGTAATGGCTTAATGATCATCATCGATAACAGTGGTGGCTTCACAGCGCAAATGTGGAAGCTCACAGCTTCCAATAACTACAATCCTGTTTATCTGCATAAAACAAGTTCTTTGGAATTGCCACATCGCATTAGCCTCCTCCCCTAACCCCACAACCAACCACACTCAGAAATCCAACAATCTATCTCCGGCACATGTAGGTGGAACGCATGGAAATCTCAACTTGGTTTGGATACTCGAAAGCATTATTTAAATAGGTGACGGGTTTCCGCATGCGCCAGACACTCGCCTGAGGTACTTACATTCCAACGTCACAGATTATGTCCTGAGTGATGGGAGAAGCCAAAAGCTCTGCCAGAACTTGAAATGAGTGAAGCAGAGTATCGGATTCAAAGTAGTGATCAGAACAGCCATACCCACTGAAAGAACGGAAAATGATTCAGCGTAACTCATACAATATTTTCTTTTCAAGTCAACTTAGAGTAACAGGTTACAGCAAACGACCTGGTTAACTTTCATACAAATCAATAAACTACATATTTTGTCATTTCAACATGCAAGTTGAACATCTGGTCTCGAAGACGTGGTCAGACGCAATATCAAATGCAAGGATTATTATTGCCCTTGTCCTCACCCTTGTCTTCAAATCCCTCCACTCCTCTGCACCCCCCTATCTCTCTGACCTCCTCTCTCCTCAAAACATTTGGCGTGGAGGGCGCTCTATAAATCCAAGTTGTTGTGATTATTATCATCATCATTATCATTATTTTCGAGTTTATTTTAAGAAAGAACATAATTTACAACAACAGGGAAGGGTGAGACATGTAATAACCATCTGTTCACCGGGATTAACATACAATCAATCACATTGATGTCAGATGTGTCACATGTTTGGCAAAAAAAGATTTGTGATAAACATTCCACTTTTGATGAAGTCTGCGCTCCTTCAAAAAGTCGATACGCAAAACGTCCCGCTTCTATTTAAGGCTGTTGTAGGCTGAAAAGGATACTGATGAATATCCAAATGCAGCACATAAAAACATGCTATAGGGGAAGGCTTAAAACAAGTATTCAATGCTACGCATAAGGATCATCACACACTCAAATAACAGATCAAATTTTTTGCTGAACCCCATAATTATCGTGTGTTATCTCACCGAGTCTGAACATGCATACAAACTTGCACGAGGCATCAATGAGTATCCTTTAACTTCCTTTTTTTTTTGGTTCTGAATGAATGTCCAATTCTATTTTACAAGCAAAGCAGTTCAAGTAAATATATTTATGATAGGCGTTCACCTGCAAAATACAGCCACCACATTTTACGATACATCTTATTAGGCAATGTGAGACATCCTCCCGACGTGAAAGTCAGTAGGTCATATGCAAGTGTTATCATATGAAATGAATTGCGTTCTTTCCAAACCTGCGCACACACACACACACACACACACACCACTCCAAAAAAAAAAGCATCGTTTGTTTTCCTCACCAGATTTCCAGTTCAGGTCCAAGTCTGTACTTTGCTCCTTTTGACTTTGCTATTTCGATACCTGAGGGTTAAACGAAAGGCATCGAAACGTCTGCGGACATTTTTAAGCTGCTTCATTCCCGGGGATACGGGCTCCCAGATGCTCTCCCGTGCGAAGGGCGCTATACGGGACGCGCTATATTTTAACAGCAAATCGCACATCTTTCCACCGCTTACTAATTTTGCCGTGAAGCCCTTTTGAGTTCTTTCCACGCGAAAAGCGCAGCGCGAATCGCAAATTCTTGCTGGTCTTTGCCCTCCCCCCCCCTCTCTCTCTCTCTCTCTATATATATATTTATATTAAAAAAAAGTCAACCTCCCCCCTCCCCACGCAAAATGAATGAATTGCAAGTCACCGCGACCAGAATGGTACTTACTTCTCAAAATCCTTTGCAGGTTACCATCAAAATCCAACGCCCACTGGTTCAGTGAACAGGCGGCCAATGTCACCTTCCGACCCATTATCGCTGGGTGAGACCCCCCCCACACACACACAGCCCCCCACCCCCCACACACACACACAGCCCCCCCCACCCCACCACACACACACACAGACCCCCCCCACACACACAGACAGACCCCCACCCCACACACACAGACAGACCCCCACCCCACACACACACCACACACACAGACCCCCCCACACACACAGACCCCCCACACACACACAGATCCCCCCCCCACACACACAGATCCCGCCCCCACACACACAGACCCCCCCCCACACACACACACACAGACCCCCCCCACACACACACAGACCCCCCCTCACACACACACAGACCCCCCCCACACACACACACAGACCCCCACCACAGACCCCCCCCACACACACAGACCCCCCCACACACACAGACCCCCCCCCCTCTCTCACCCCCCCACTTCCTTCTCTCGTACCCGACTGTATGGCGTTGCGTTCCCAGTGTTTGCACTGCACCCCCTCCCCCTCTCTCTCCCCTCTCCCCCTCCTCTCTCCTCCTCCTCTCCCCACAGTTTCCTGGTAAAGACGATCCAATGAGAGCCGCTGCAATGGTCTGAAGTTTCCTTTCCGGGTCAGTTTCTGTTTCGAAAGACTAAGTGACGAGGAAACGAAGAGGAAATATCTCTCTCTCTCTCTCAAAAAAAAAGGGGGAACAGCTTTGGGACGTCCTCCCGACGTGAAAAGCGCTATATCAAATGCAGGGATTATAATTATATTATTATAATTGTTGTTATTTGTTGTTATTGGATGTATTGGTCACTGTGACCCACTCCATTCCCCCTCTCGGGACATCTTCCACTTCACGGCAGTGAGAGCTCAGTGATGGATTTCCGAGGCCGATGGCCCCGAACTCTCCGATGGGGCAATGGATTGTAACCTCTGTCCTGAATCTCAATAAATACACAAACAAATAAATAATAATAATAATAATAACCTGAATCAACACAGGGTGTGGGGCCGGTGGCTGCTGCTGCCCATCTGTGTGTGAGGGGGTGAGGGTGTGTGTGGGTGGGTGTATGCGTGAGTGTGTGAGAGTGTGTGAGGGGTTGTGTGTAGGTGTATATGAGGGTGTGAGTGTGTGAGGGTGTGTGTGTGTGAGGGTGTGTGGGGGTGAGGGTGTGTGTGGGGGGGGTCTGTGTGTGGGTATGTGTGTGTGAGTGTGTGGGCGTGAGGGGGGGATGTGTGTGTGTATGAGGGTGTGTGTGAGGGTGTGTGTGGGGGGGTCTGGTGTGGGTGTGTGGGGGTGTGAGTGTGTGGGGGTGAGGGTGTGTGTGGGGGGGTCTGTGTGTGGGGGTGTGGGTGTGTGTGTGAGTGTGTGGGGGTGAGGAGGTGTGTGGGGGGGTCTGTGTGTGGGGGTGTGTGAGTGGGGGTGAGGGTGTGTGTGGGGGTGTGTGGGGGTGAGGGCGGGGAAAACAATTCACTGGCCCTCGCACTATGGAATGGGTTGACGCGCTCTGACCAATCGCTGGCCAGACCACGCCCACTCCATTGTCCGGGGCGGGGCCGCGCGGGGGATCGGGGGCCGCTGATTGGCCCACACGGCAGCAGCTGTTGTCCGCCTTTGCAACAGTGTGACCAGGAGGGGGCGGGGCCTGACCCGCGGCTCCGCTCACCGTCAGCAGCGATCTGTCGGACCGACCGTCACCGACTCCCTTCCCTTCCGCTCTCTGGGGGGGGCATCGTTTTCGGTAACGGTTCCTTCCCCTCTCCTCCCACCACCACCGTTATTGCAGACAGATCGCAGGGAGACGGTATGTGTGTGTGAGGAGGGAGGGGGTTGTGTGTGTGTGGAGGGTTTGTGTGTGTGTGTGTGGAGGGAGGGGGTTGTGTGAGTGAGTGTGTGTGTGTGTGGAGGGGGGGTGGTGTGTGTGTGTGGAGGGGGGTGTGTGTGTGTGTGTGGGGGGGGGGTTTGTGTGTGTGTGTGTGTGGGGGGGGGGGTGTGTGTGTGTGTGTGGAGGGAGGGTTTGTGTGTGTGTGGTGTGTGGAGGTGTGTGTGTGTGTGTGGAGGGGGGGGTGTGTGTGTGGAGGGAGGGGTGTGTGTGTGTGGAGGGAGGGTTTGTGTGTGTGTGTGTGGGAGGGAGGGTTTGTGTGTGTGTGTGTGGAGGGGGGGTGTGTGTGTGTGTGTGTGTGTGGAGGGAGGGTTTGTGTGTGTGTGTGTGTGTGGAGGGAGGGTGTGTGTGTGTGGAGGGAGGTGTGTGTGTGTGTGGAGGGAGAGGTGTGTGTGTGTGTGGAGGGAGGGGTTTGTGTGTGTGTGTGTGGGAGGGTGTGTGTGTGTGTGTGGAGGGAGGGTTTGTGTGTGTGTGTGTGTGTGTGGAGGGAGGGGTGTGTGTGTGTGTGGAGGGAGGGGGTTGTGTGAGTGAGTGTGTGTGTGTGTGGGAGGGAGGGGGTTGTGTGTGTGTGTGGAGGGAGGGTTTGTGTGTGTGTGTGTGTGGAGGGTGTGTGTGTGTGTGTGGAGGGAGGGGGTTGTGTGAGTGAGTGTGTGTGTGTGGGTGAGTGTGTGTGTGTGGAGGGAGGGGGTTGTGTGAGTGTGTGTGTGTGTGTGTGTGGAGGGAGGGGGTTGTGTGAGTGAGTGTGTGTGTGTGTGTGTGTGTGAGGAGGGAGGGGAGGAGGAGGGGGGGTTGTATGAGTTGATGTATCAGGGACTTGCGATGGACGAAGAAAGGTTTGTGTGTCGAGCCGCTTTGCTGTGGGCTTCACGGACCCACCACAAGACGAGCGCAGCTCCGCTGGTGGCCGCCATGAGCAGGTTCGCGATGCGTCAACGGGCCCCAAATCCGGGGAGGACTGGTCTAGAATTTACAATTCCTAAGAATTGTATAATTGGGAATTTATAATTGGGAGGACGGTTAGTTGCGAGACAAGGCTGAGTTGAATCTGTTTCGTGTCGCATCTCCAATTGAACCCACTTTCTTTTCTCTCTCTCTCTCTCGCTCTCGCTCTCTCTCTCGCTCCCTCTGCTCTGCTCTGCAAAATGCCTCGGTTTACCAAACAGAGCAGTGGAAGAAAAACAGCGCAGGACCTTTCATACCAGATTCATTGTGATGGTAAATAGGCCGAGGAGGAGGGACAATTTCAGTGTTTACGGATGATACCAAATGAGAAGGGGGACCGCAAAATGTTTCGAAGACTCCACAGAGAAACGCAGGGTGATCCAGATTGCTTTGAAAAGTGGGCAAATCGGTGACAGATAATAATAATAATAATAATAATAATAATCCTTGCATGAGGTATAACGCAATGAGCGCCTTTACCACGTCGTCTTGATGGCTCAAAGCGTTTTCAATCACAGCACTTTATAGTAAAGCCTATGAATTGCTTTGAGACTCTGTCACTCGCCTGGCAGGTGTCGGTGAAGGTGACACAGTCCGAGGATGGTTGTATTCAGTGGTTATTTTCTGGGACTTTTACACAGTTTTGAGCAGTGTGAATGATGTGGGAATATTATGGAACGAGGAAATAACTAAACAATATACCAGAAGATGCCACTCATCCGTCCTCTCTGTTGTACGAAGCCAATTTAGTGCAAGGATTATCATATAAAGTGCAAGTTGTTGTTAAGGATCTTGGCCACAAACCGAGAAGCGATGACTCACTGACAATACTGTGAGCTGTGCTATCACTGCTGCGCTATCAATGTTGCGGTGAGTTACAATAATGACAGCTTTATTGAAAGCTCCTTTTCATTGCCTTTCTGTTGCAGGAGTTCATGGCTGCCTCACAATCCGCAAGCTCCACAAAAGTGCGGAGGAAGAATACTCGGAATGGAGTCAGTTCCAGTGAGAAGGCACAACTGGGGCAGTGGGGGAGAGCCTGGTAAGAGAGGAAGGCAAAGAGATGGGAAAAGAAATTTTGAAAAAACCTTCATAACTAAAGAGAAAAAAAAAATCTAAATTTCCACAGGAGTGAACGTTGAAAATATCCACGCGTTTAAAAAAAAAAGCCTCCGGCAACACTTTAGTTCGAATGAATAGCCAAACAGTCGTACGTTTACTCAGTGACCTTCTCATTGTGTACTCAACATGTCAGTGAGAACATTATTTTCATCTGATTTGACTGATTCATTCCCCCAAAAAACAAATTTGAAGTTATATTATGGTGAGGATTTAAAAATTTTGATGAAAACACAGCGTTTTAAAGGACTATTCACGCCCAAACTTTGGTTACAACCCTGTCTGGAGGTGTGCCTTCTGCCTGCTATAACATGTAGTGTTGATACAACTTTGCTATAGCAAATAATGCAAGGATTATTATTAGTGTGATTCATGTTCCAAAACTGCATTAAGAGTAAAATGAAGCAAAGGGTGGAGTCAGGAACCACATTCCTGTGGCCCTTCAGCTGATCAGGTTACAATTGGAAATGTCTGACCAAAAGTACATTTGTTTTTTGTTCTTTTTATTCTTTTCTCTCTTCAAACTCTTTATGTATGAGGAGTTTTTTCCCTCAATACGGCTACTTGCCACCGGTCCATTTATTCAGGATAAGGACGTTTCTCTTGGTTCGATCTATCAATGATAAGTAAAGCCCGCGAATGTTAAAAGCATTTAAATTCTTTGCTCCATGTGTTGATGTGAGCCAGGTGTTGTTAAGCATGTAACCTTGACCCTGTCTGTTGGGATTTATAACCCTCCGTCCTATCATTACTGTGTTGCTAGTGCTAAAAGGGGTTAGAAGCATTGAGCATAAATGAAGCCAACATTTGTCTGATGTCTAGTTCAAGTTCTTTGACGGGAGCCTTGTGAACTATTCAATGTCATCAGCGTGAGTGGGAAACTACAATGGACAAATAATTAAAATTGTTAGTGAGAGAAATAGGATGAAAAAAGAGTATTTAATGTTCACCTAAACAGGCAGGCAAAACCTCGGTTTACCAACTCATCCAAAGGGGAGCACCTCCGACAATGCAGCACATCCCAGCACTGCACTTGAGTGAGTGTCAGTCTGGACTGAGTTCAAAGTCTGGCTCAGAGGCGAGAGTGCTACCAACTGAACCAGGTGGACATTTGTATTATCCCCCCCCACCCCCACCCGCGCACATCTTTAATTTTAACTTCTTGAGGGTCCATTGACTTCATCCTCACACAGTAATATGTTTATGTCTCTCTGCTATCTGACTGCTGTGTCTTACTTCATTTCAACTTTAAAAACTATTCTTATGGCTCTGATTTTATTTCAGGGAAGTTGACTGGTTCTCCCTCATTTCGGTCATATTTCTCCTCCTGTGTGCACCGTTCATTGTGTTTTACTTTGTGATGTCCTGCGACCAGTACCAGTGTGCTCTCTCTGGGCCCATCATCGATTTGTATTCAGGAAAATCAAGCATCGGTGAGATCTGGAGTCGAGCCCCATCCTTCAGCTGGACAGCAGCTAAAATCTACACCATCTGGGTGTCTTGGCAGGTAAGTTGGTGATTGTATCTTGTAACTATGATAATTGCAACCAGGAATGAACAAGGCACTTGTTTATTCTTAAATTGATGAATCAGGGTTTATCTCAAGCTGATTGCTGATAATAGCGTTCCTCCAATGATCAACATTACGATTGAGTCTCATCGTCTCAGGACGTGGAACTGTTTATGTGAAAATGGAGTGGTTTGCGGACTAGTAGTTTCTGCTGAGTTGGGGTTTCAAGTCAGGAAGCAGTGTGAGTGTGTTTGGTTTTAAAGAAATCTCCACTCAACCTGTAGCTCGGACAGAAGTGCAACCCAAACTGAACTCTGCTTCCATTATTAAACACTTAGAGATTTACACTCATGTCACCAACTCATGCCTTTTTGTCCTGGGTTCTCCTGTCAGTTAAAGAGCAGATCCAAACCATTAAACAGTCTTGGATACTTGTAACTACGACAGCGAGTTTCCACTAGAATCAGTCCCTCTGATTGACCTACTGTATCTTTTTAGAGAACACCGAATCACATCCACTTTTCGTGGAACTATCTTTCATTTAAGTGGGTTAACACGCAGAAGGTTTCGAGTTTTGACAAAACTTTGCGAAAGTTGAAGAATGTTAGCAGCTTATCTGTGTACTTTGATCTCTCAAAGTTTCCGTGGAGAATCTGGAATATATCCTAGAATGGGCGTAGCCTCGGGAGATACCACTTTGTGCGGCCTCTAGAATATCCATTCAATCAATGTCTTGCCACTGATTCACCGTTTTTGTACATTGCAGGTGTTTTTGTACATGTGTGTCCCTGATGTTTGTCACACATTCCTACCTGGTTATGTGGGTGGAGTACAAAGTGGTGCCCGTACACCTAGTGGTAAGAAGCAATGACTTACTTTTTTTTACAGTAAATTTGGCGGATCTATACCTTAGCCATGATACACACTCAATAATATTGCTGTAGTGTGAAGCGGTGCCACTAGAAACAGAAGAAAGAAATGGCAACTACAATGAAAGGAGGATAAATGGATCAAGGAATTTCTTTTCTAAATTATTTGTCGGGTAACTTGGGATTTCGGTGCGAGAGCCGACAGTTTTGCTTTCATCTGTTCTGAGCATCTAACGCTACGTAATAGGATGTTTTGCGCATATGGGCTGCAAGGCAGTCATACTATTCAATGTTAGTCACAGTGAGAGTAAATTAAAACGGGCGATGGCAAAAAAAAAAAAGCCTATTGAAGGAAAAAGAGGGAATCGTGTAAATATGACGTAATTAAATTATTTTGAAGAACTTGCCGATTAAAAATAATGTTATTCTACAGGGGTGATAAATGAATATCAGATCAATGGACTGCAGGCTTGGATTATTACCCACGTGCTCTGGTTTGCCAATGCCAACTATTTTCAGTGGTTTTCTCCAACCATCATATTTGACAATTGGATCCCTTTGTTATGGTGTGCCAATATCCTTGGATATGCTGTGGCAACGTTTGCAATGATAAAAGCTTATCTGTTTCCCAGCAATGCAGAAGACTGGTAAGAAATGAATCAACAACAGTCATTTAAGAATTGAGACAGCAATGATGTTCTGTGGTAGTATTGCAACTGTTAAAAGAAATATAAACTTTAAAGGTATCCACATAATTGCTAAATGTAAAGTCTGTTGAACTAAAAATACACTTTTAACCTATTTTCTTCCTTCAGCAAATTCACTGGCAATTTTTTCTACAACTACATGATGGGGATTGAGTTTAACCCACGGATAGGAAAGTGGTTCGACTTCAAGCTATTCTTCAACGGCCGACCAGGCATTGTGGCATGGACCCTGATCAACCTTTCCTTTACAGCTAAACAGCAAGAGCTTTATGGTCAAGTGACTAATTCCATGATCTTGGTCAATGTCCTCCAGGTATAACATATTTCTATTTGTTAAGATATTTTCAAAACTCATTGGAAAGAGATTCAGAAAGCAACAATTAATTGGACTTCATAATATTATCTGGCACCAATGGACAAAATTAATATGTTTTATGTCTGAGCAGTTAACTCTTTGAAGTAACTTTGTGCATTCAAAGAAGGTCCTTAGGCTACGGCTAATGCCATTTAATTCAACCATTAGGAGGTATACAAGGTCATCCTAGAATACAAAAGTGAGAGTGTGCATTTGCAGGCAATTCCCATTTACAGGGAAATCATGCAAGCTAGTTTTGGTGATACAATGGCCAAGATCGGAATATATGTGACGAATCACTGAACAGACAAAAATATGTCCTGCAAAAATGTTTTCTTTTCTTTTAAGGCCATTTATGTGCTGGATTTCTTTTGGAATGAATCTTGGTATCTGAAGACCATTGATATTTGCCATGATCATTTTGGCTGGTACCTGGGCTGGGGTGATTGTGTGTGGCTGCCCTACCTCTATACTCTCCAGGTAATTTGTGTGCATATTTGTAAATTGTTACGCTATGATCCACAGCACTTTTAGATCCTTGGTTTACTAATGTATTCTCTTGCCCTCCAGCCAGTCAAAGGGGTACAGATTATTCCCTCAGCAGAACAATATTACAGAGAAAGTAGATTGTAAAATAAACATAAAACATTATAAAACAGGCACTCTATTCATTGTACAACAATAATAATCCTTACATTTGACACAGCACCTTTCACATCGGGTGGACATAGCAACACTTCACAGGATATGCAGCACTGTAAAGTGTAATGACTCTATTTTATAGGTGAATGCAGCAGCCAATTTGCAAGATTTTAATTTTAGTCTCGCTAAGAGAAACAAGATGTTTCAATGGAGAATAAAGATTGGCTCAGGCTCTTAGCGCACACCTCATCAATAATGCACTCCACAAAGTCCTTTATAATCGATTTATGAAATAAAACTAAACTTTACAGTTGCTAATTGTGTAATAAGTAATATCTTGGAGAAAAATTTTGATTGAAATGATTTGCTTTAAACTGCTGATGAATGTTAAAGTGGACGATAAGTTTATTTTTCATCGTTGCAGGGTCTATACCTGGTCTATAACCCAGTACAACTGGCCACAACCACTGCAGTCAGTGTCCTTCTGTTAGGCCTAGTTGGCTACTATATCTTCAGGATGACAAATCACCAGAAAGATCTTTTCCGTCGCACTGATGGAAAATGCAAGATCTGGGGCAAGAAGCCCGAGTATATTGAATGTTCCTACGTCTCCATTGATGGCAAAAAGTATCAAAGTAAGCTCATGATCTCCGGATTCTGGGGTGTGGCCCGTCACCTTAACTACACCGGGGACCTGATGGGTTCGTTGGCCTACTGCCTGGCCTGTGGGTTTGGCCACCTCTTACCGTACTTCTACATCACCTACATGACTATCCTGCTGGTCCACCGGTGTCTCCGAGATGAACATCGCTGCGTAAACAAGTACGGCAAAGACTGGAAACGTTACAATGATGAAGTACCTTACCGACTCGTACCTGGAATATTCTGAGACTCTCATGTTTAGGTGACGCAGGTACAGTTCTGTACAGGCTTCATTTTAATCTTCTGCCAAGGAAATTCTACTCATTTAATTTCCGATTATGATTTTCAGTCAAGTGAACACTGTATTTTTTTTGTTGCAAAATTCATTCTTTCTTTGATTGAAAGTAGAAGGAGGTTGGGTGGGTTTTTAACGCCAGTTGTGACAAAATGACAGCTCTCGTCCTTTTTTTAAACATAGGTTTTCTGAATGTGCTGGCCAGGACTTTGCCTAACTCAAAATTAAGAGTCGGAACAACTAGTTGTGTTGATGTGCAGGAGTCAATTTGGCTGTTTTGAATCAAAAATCCATTATTCCTTTGGACAAATAAAGGTAGTAATACCAGCATATTCCATTTTCAAATCATACGTTTAATACAATGACTTAGTTGGTCCAAATAAGTGCCCGAAAAGGCTAAATATTGTTAGTATACGAGCATCCTAAACCTTTATCTTAATTTAATTTAGCCTTTTGAAGGTCTGCTGTGTATATGGTCCCTAATAGTTAACAAAAAAAATAAAATTAAATCATGATCAATCCATTGTTCAATGCATATACATTTGTGGAGGTGGGCTCTTTAAAATCTGTTTCCTTTTTGATAGCAAAAGTATTTTAAAGTTTCTTCAGACTTTGCTGGGCCTGTAGACATGGGATCGCAAAGCAAACCAAGAAGGAAGTTGTCTTTCATAATAAATGTTATCGATATACAGGGAATATTTCTACACTTGTTAATGTCTTGTTTCAAGGGGAAACAATCATTCCCTTCTTCTGGGTTCTGAGCATGGGGAGAGAATGGTACAAAAATGTAAACCTGCCTTGTCTTTAATGTTAATAATAATAATTCTTGCATTTGATATAGTGCCTTATCACATTGTCTCTACATCTCAATGTGCTTCACAGGATTTACTGTATTTTGTGCGCGTAAAAAGCTAGTCTTCAGTTTTGAACTAAAGACTAGCCACTGGCTACTTTACTGGGAACCATCAACCAATAAACCTTACAGCAACTTAACCTGGCAGAGCTGCTCCTGGTTTGATATTTTTTTTGAATGAATTAGATTTAAGCATCAAATGCAAGCAATTCAATTGTCAAATCGCGTGTACTTTTTTCCGGGTCAAAAGAATCCTTTTCAAATGACGAGAGAAAACTTGAAAAGAATAAATGAACGGTTAAAAAGTAATGCTGTATTGAATTTCTTACTGGATTTTACACATACTAGAAAACATTGATCATGATTTCAAACCTTGAGTTATCAGGAGTTGACTATATCTTTTAAAACCACTGTAAGAACAGAATGTTGAATAATTTTGTATTGTATCATCCAGACAAGGTCTATGTGGAATTGTATGTACGTTAGTCATATTGTTGCACCGAATAGATGGAGAAAGTTGGAACTCTTTTTAAAGAATCACCACAAAAGGTAAATCATAGAATTATACAGCACAGAAGGAGGCCATTCGGCCCATCGTGTCTGTGCTGGCTCTTTGAAAAGAGCTTCCAAATCAATCCCACTCCCCCATGCTCTCCCCATAGGCCTGCAAACTTGTCCTCCCCAAATAATTAACTAAATGAATATTTGTGAATAACCCTTTTAATTTCGTTGCCATTTAATACTTAATAATATATTCATCATGCATTGTTTATATTCCTGATCCTTAAAATAATTAAGGGCAGTATTAACAGTTGAATGTAGTATTAACCAATCATGTTATTAATCTTGTACAAAAACAGAAGCCACTGGGAACACTCGGCAGGACAGGCGGCATCTATGGAGAAAGGAAAGTGAGTCAACGTTTCGGGTCCACGACTCTTTGTCGGCGCCTTGGGACATCCTCCTGACGTGAAAGTCACTATACAAATGTAATTTTGTTGTATCTAACATTGTGCATTTATGCAACATTTTAGTTCCAGTTTATTGTTTAGCAATCAGCAAGCACACAGACACTTTGACCACATAATCCAATGTGCAAATGTCACAATATATTCTTTAACTCTAAGCATTGAACTGTTAATGGATCTCTCCATGTCCTTATCTAATAATTGTTTTGTCCTTAGTCAGCAAGGATGATAGCTTTGTTCAACCTTCATACTGGGAAAAAAATGCCTCAATGCCAAAGCTTTATTTGGAATGAATTTTCTTCCCTTTGGGATACTCAAGGCCCAAAATCCCCCTCGTCTTGTAAATGTAAGATTATTGATTTTAGAATTTTAAAATCATACAGAATTGTGGAAAACATATTTAATTCGGAAGTGAAGTGTCCATAGATTTTGATTTAAAAAAAGGTTTCCAAATTAAGACAGTTTAAGACTTTTCCACAATTCTACATGACTTTAAAGACAAAATGGTCTTTGAGATTTGCAGCAAGATTTGGTTTCAAGCCTCCAGTGCATCACCTCCACAGTTCCTTCCATTTAATTTTGTGATGGAATAAATATTCATGGCTTGAGGGTTATTATTAAGTATAAGTTAACGTATGGCTGCGATTTCTTTGGCTTCTTGTAATTGGCATTGAACACTATCCCCACCCCCTGTGGAAGAAGTGCAAAAGTCAGGCTGAGGCACATGAATAATTATTCAGCAAGTTTGCGCTTCCAGCAAATGAAATTACCAAAACCCTTTTTCCAGCCTGCCTTCCACAGGTATTATGTAGATTTTGTAAATCATTTGACAAAATGGACTTCAGATTGTGAAATCGTGTGCTTTCTGTGGGTTCAGTTGATTTAAATTATCTTTTGTAATAAAATTTCTATGACTTCTGTGTCACTATCTGAGTAACAAGTAAATAAGTTCTACCACAGGCGAGAGATTCGTGGGTCCATGGGTGTCAGTTTAGTTCAGTTTATTGCTGTCGCAGAAGGTTTTGGTTTCGAGACCCACTTCAAGACTTGAGCTGTGAAGGCCAATGGTCCAGACAGACCCGATAATTGCAGATTTGGAAGAATGAGGCGTTACCAGAGATACTGACCTTTGGAGGAGACGATGATAACAATAATCCTTGCATTTGATGTAGCGTCCTTGTCACGGGGTTGAGACGTCTCAAAGCCCTCGGCAGAATATACTGTAAAGTGAATCGACTGCATATCCCACCCCCCCCCCCCGGCTTGACGCGCGTCCCGTCCCCCCCCATTCCCCCCCCCACAAAACCGTACGCCGCAGCCCGTCTTCATTTTTTTTTTTCACGGCCAACCCGAGGCGCGGTCGCTGCGCTCGACGGCGCGTCCCGCGAAGCGCTTTGAGACGCCTCGAATGAGCGGCTGCTCTCTTATCAGCTGCCGGGGATTATTCTTATTCTTATTATCGTTCATCAATATATGTGTAAATATATATATATATATACATATAGTTATTATTGGGGCCATTCTCTGGGATGTTGGGCATCTCGCACCTGTCTGCCAGTTGCACGCGTGCGCAGTAACTCCAACGCACACACCTGGTGGGCGGCTGCTGCTGCGTCTGCGCATGTGCGGTGCGCCGCGCGTGCGCACCGGGGGGGCGGGCGGGGCGGGCGCGGGCGGTGACGGTTGGCAGCTCGAGCTGTTTGAACGCGGCCACGGGCTCTGGTGCTGGCGGTGGAGGGCGGTGGCGCTGAGGCTTCCTTCTTTGTCGGCCGAAGGCGGCCGCCGGGAGAGGAGGTGGGGGTCTGCGCGCTCGTCAGTCCGTGTGTGTGTGTGCGCGTGTGTGTGTGTCAGGAGGCCAGGGAGGGAGGGAAGCAGTGGGGGGGCCACAGGCTCAGCCTTCCGTGGGCCTCTCGATCACGTGCAGTTTTGACTGAATGTCGTTGCCCCCTCTCCCAGGGGAGGGGGGAGAGAGAGAGGAGGGGGAGAGGGAGAGGGAGGAGGGGGTACTGACCAGTTCATGGGGCTAAAGAGTCAGCCAAACCCGCACAACCAGGAGATGCAGAGAGGCCCCAGAGTGGGTGGGTTTGTGGGTTTGGTTTGGTTTGTTGGGGGAATATTAGGGGGTAATGGGGTGGTTGGGGGGGGGGTGGAGTGAGTGCACTCCCCATCTTCCTTATCCCCGTCAGCTCTTACACATCCACGTGGGCCCTGACAACACATCTCACCCTCAAATATGTATTTGCTGGAAATGTCGTAAATATCAGAATTTTTTTTTAAAAAAAGAAAAAAATAATAGTAATGATAATAGCATTAGCTGTTTAGGTGCGACCCCCCACCCCCCACCCCCGTACTTGGAGTTCACGTGCCAATGGTGTGACATATTTCAGTATTGTTTCATCGGCCGCAGGAAAGCCCCCAAAATGCCCGTCTTTTTCGGAAAGCGGCAGCGCCTGCGCTCCACGTTAAGGTGACAGCTACGATAAGCGGGACCGTGACTGATGCCACGAAACGTTCACGCGCTTTTTTTTTTTTTTCGAAAAAAAAAAAGGGCCGCGGCGGGCGGAGGAGGGAACTGTCGGAAGGACTGATTGCTGAAAACTTGCAATGAAAAGTTGCTTTCGGTTTCCGTGCACTTCCATTGTACGAACCCGCGCCTACTGTTGCTGCTGCTGTGTACCTTCTCATAGTGAGACAAATGTCTGTTCTTTTACGAGAAGTAACCGCTCTTCGAGTAATGGGGGGGGGGGGGGGCGAAGTATTTGTCCGAACAAAAGCAACCAGGAATAATTCCTTCTCTTAATGTTCTTCATTTCCCCCCCCCCCCCCGTCCACCCGATAGAGCGGTGTCAGAACTCCCCACGACGACCTGAGTGAGTTGGGCAATACGGCAGAGCGTGACGAGGCATTGAACCCTTTTCCCGATATTCTGTGAGCACTGCAGGTTAGTGCTCTGATAGCCAAAGGCAAAATTAAAGTAATAGGTGGTCAGATTTACCGGTGGCTACTGTACATGGAGTCCTGCAGCTCAGCGGTTAGAGCACTCGCTTTGCGAGCGAGAGACCTGAGTTCAATTCCAGGCAGGTCAGGGCGAAACCTCGGGCAAGTTTCCTTACTCCACACGGAGCCTAATAATAATCCCTCCAAAACCAAAACAATAATAAATTGGTCATCTTCAATCTACGACTGTCCGTGGGACATTGCTGTGCGCAATTGGCTGCCGCGTTCGCCCACAAATATACCGTCAATTCACTTCACAGTATATTCTGTGAAGCGCTTTGGGACGTCCTCCCGACGTGAAAAGCGCTATATCAAATGCAAGGATTATTATTATTCTTACATGAGGGAATATGGCACGTGCCACTGTAGTAATCGTTCGCTGGTTGAATTTGTACTTTGCCATTGCTTTAATTTTGTGTATAATTTTAGATGTGTCAAATGCTTGTTTCTCAGAAAATGTGCGGTTTAGAACTTTGGTGAAATTTACATTTCTGGCCTGGTGTGTCCTGATAGGAAGCGAGACTGGCGAAAATATGGACTCGGACCAGTCCAGTGAGATGGAAGAACCCTTTCTGAAGGAGATAACAAAAGAGGGTGATGCTCACCACAAAAGCTGTGGTACAAGTGATAACTTGTGTAAGTCGGTTACCATTTGGAAAACCATTCTGTTCATCTCAAAAAATTTTTGAACTCTCAGTCTCGTCTTTTTATTGTAGCTTTCACTCCTTTTTTGCATTTAATTATATGTTCACTTCCACACAACCTTACTTCAGGAAGCCAAAGTGGGCCCTATTACATTTCTCCAGTGACAATGTTGCTATGTAACTTTTGTATAGGAGCAAATTAATAACTGGGTTTTTCTGTGTCAATAACATAATATACAAAAATGTAGTGAATTTTGAAAAGAAATTGACTATGTTCATTCAGGGTTTTCTGTTTATATAAAACTTCTTGGGTTGGAAACAGTCTTTGCATAACTTGTTTTTGTGTTTTCTTTTAGACTCTGAAGAATGTGGTGTCCATGGATTACTTGTGTTTATTACGGATACACCAGTTCAGTTTGGGACCACTTCTAGAGCATTCTATTCTACCCCTCATGGGCTTGCAGTAGGACCATCAGAAAATCGTGAAGAAGGGCTTGGAGTTTGGTGTACTGTGAAAACCATACCTAAAGGAGTCCTTTTTGGGCCAATTGAAGGATTGTTGCCAGTCGAAAAGGGATCTGTAGAAAAACTGTATACTCAGATGGTAAGTACAGTTCATTTAATTTTAATTATCCCTAATTTCTCAACAGAGCAGTGGATTATCACCACAGATCTTCGGCTAAAAAACTATAGCTGTTAGCTTTTCCTAGCTATCAGTCAACAAACAGATCACAATCTGTCTTGCAGATTGGTAATTTTTGGCCAAGCAGTCCAGTGTTTAGAGCCATGTAAAGAAATGTGCTTCAGGTCTCCCAATCTCTTCTGTCAGGTGTATTTATATTTGGCATACATTTTATTATTCAATTGTTGCTTGAGCCTTCTACCTAAATTGTGTTCATAATACAGTACATATAATTGATAGATTGAAATATCAAAGCAGATTTTTTAATTTTTTGATCTGTAGGTGCAGGAGAGAAATTTGGCCAAATTAGGTGCCTTTGATGAATCAAAGTCCAATTGGATGAGGTGAGTTAATTAGTTAATATTACATATACTTTATCATTTGTTTTATAGCTACATTTTTCTGCTACATGTCTCATAATAATGAATGTGCACTTTTGGGAAATCTATTATTTTTACAGCGTTTTTCTTGACTGTTAGCGTAATTTGCCATGCTCTAGCTTGTTCTGCCTGTTATTTTATGAGAACATGTTAGAAGTGTTCATCATGGCTTGTTTGAGATTTACAACGGCAGCAACCCGAAAACGGTGAACATATTGCCCTTTTAGCTGCAGCTTCAGAATGTTTTGTTTGATAGGTGCATTTCAATTGAAAATGAGGCTGAGTCGTTGAGTACCTTGCAGTTATATTAAGTGCAGAACTGTACTTGGATGTTGTCATGCTAATTGAACTGTGGTAATCTTGCTGAAATGATTGTTGTGTGGGGAAATTCGGAAAAGTAATGTATATAATGTAAACAATATATTTTATCCAGATTTGTGAACTTTGCCAAGACGCCTGCAGAGAGAAACCTCGTAGTTTCCCAGTATAACGGGAAGTTCTACTATAAAGTCTGCAAATCAATAGAACCAGCACACGAATTATTAATCTGGTACGGAGAAGATGAAGCAGTAAATAAACCTAGGCAAAAACGGAGTCTGCTAAAAGAGAAGCAAGAAAATATTAACATGTGTGGAGAGTATTATGACCAACAAATTAAACAGGAATATGAGGCTGAGGTACAGGAAAATCAAGGTAAACTGAGAACAATATTGTAGCGGCTTGAATGATTGTTAATATAACCAATACAGCTGAGATGTTTAGAGTGTACTAGAAAGCTGAAAGGAGCCTATGAATGTCATCTGAACCAAATTAATAATAAGACTTAAAACCTATATCACACCGGTTGCCAGTGTTCAATGTACTGTTCCTAATTTTACCTGAGCAAGAAGCAGTGCTTTGACTTGTTGAATGTATTATTTCTGCATGAGAAAGGTGTGTGTTTTCTATCAAGGAGTATTTTCAATAAGACATCAATGAATTTCTGTCAGAAGTGAAATTTAAATCTTCTATAAAATAGAAATGTTATCGTAAGCGAGTTATTTCTGCCCTTTCCATAATACACACATACACACACGCACTTATTTTTACTGGAAGTGAAAACTCCCTCTCCTCATGAGGCAACGTCATAAGATCAATATTTTCAAATACCCTTTTCTGGCTTTTCAAGTTTCATTTGGCCATACATACAAGCTTGTAAATTTGAAATTAAAATAATATTGTGTTAAGAGAACTGCTATTCTGTATCCTTTGTATGTTTCTAGCAATATTTTATATTTTTATATATAGTATATTATATGTTCTAGATTTTGCACATCCAGAATGCTATAGTGGACAAGGAGCTCAAGATTTATCTACAAATCAAATTGGAATCAAAAGTGATCTGATCTTCAAATGTGAATATTGTGGACTCATATTTTTCTCAGAGCTTACCGTAAATCTCCACATGTTCAAACATACTGGTGAGAAATCAGTGTGTAATATAATTTTCTAGGCAGGTAATTCCTGAGTTCTCTCAAGGCATCTTTCTAAAGTTCAATTGTAACTCGTGCTTCTTTACAGATTCAGAAAAAGAAGTATTTCAAGTGAATGGGATTTGTGATTCCGCAATGTCTTCATCTCTGAACGGCTCTCTAGGTGACGGAAGAGAGGAAACATTTGAAGGCATTTTAGTAGATGGTTTAAAACTGCCAAACCACACTTTATTCCAGGATAAGCCAAGCATATTTGGACAGGCAATGGAATGCAATGAAAATTCTAAGCCAGAAAATGAACGTGGCGGTAAAGATGAAACGATGCTCAATTTCACTTCATCTGTCTATGATAAGGAGAAGCTCTTAAACTGCGAATATTGTACTCTGAGTTTTTTGCATAAAGAGCAGTTGGTGACTCACCATCGTACACACATGGGTGAGAAGCCGTTTGCGTGTGAGCAGTGTGGAAGGGCTTTCGCAGAAAAATCCAACCTCAATGAACACCGGCGCACTCACACAGGAATACGGCCTCACTCGTGCAGTTGGTGCGGGAAGGCATTTTACCGTCGCTCCCACCTCAAGGTGCATCTCCGTCGTCACACAGGAGAGAAGCCCTATACATGTGACGTGTGTCAACACAAGTTTGTGGACACGTCATCTCTTCAGCGGCACAAGTGTCGTTCAGGTAAACTGATGACAGATTACAATACAATTTTACGTTTGTGTAGCATCTTTCACGTTGGGAGGATGTCCCAAAGTGTTGGACAGTCGGGGATTTGGACCCGAGCTGGGGTTTGGGATCACGGAGGGTAGGGAGGTTAGGAGGGTGACCGAAGGCTCGGTAGAAGAGGAGATTAATCAAATGTATCGTGCATCACAGTGGGGCTATTTTGAAATTCCATTGATGTATTTATTTCTGTTCAGTTTTGTAATTACACAAAAAATCCTCCAGACGTAAAAGACTCTATACAAGTGTAATTTTGCATGGCATTGTAATCAATGTCCGTTTGTCAAAAATTAACCTTTAATGAATATTTTTACACAGATTCAGTTCATGATGCTTTCCTGGAGCCTGAAATCTGCAATACCCAAAAGGCTACGACTGTAAATGGCTATCGAGCAGTTGAAAGTGAGACAATGTCGGGAGATATTTTAGTAAATAGTCGGAAACAGCTGAACAACATCCTATCTCAGGACAAACCAAGCATTTTTGATGAAACGTTGAACCAAGGAAATTCTAAACTGGAAAATAAACTCGACGATAAAGATGAACGAGTGCTCAAGTTCTCTTCGTCCATCTGTGATAAGGAGAAGCTCTTCAACTGTGAATATTGCACAAGGAGTTTTTTGTGTAAAGAGCAATTAATGACTCACCATCGTACACACATGGGTGAGAAGCCGTTTGCGTGTGAGCAGTGTGGAAAGGCTTTCGCAGAAAAATCCAACCTCAATGAACACCGGCGCACTCACACAGGGATCCGGCCTCACTCGTGCAGTTGGTGCGGGAAGGCATTTTACCGTCGCTCCCACCTCAAGGTGCATCTTCGTCGTCACACGGGAGAGAAGCCCTATACATGTGACGTGTGTCAACACACGTTTGTGGACACGTCATCCCTTCAGCGGCACAAGTGTCGTTCAGGTAAACTGATGACAGATTACAATACAGTTTTACATTTGTGTAGCATCTTTCACGTTGGGAGGATGTCCCAAAGCACTGTACGGTTAGGGATTTGGACCCGAGCCTGGGGTCGGTATCACGGAGGGAAGGGAGGTTAGGAGGGTGGCCGAAGGCTCGGTAGAAAAGGAGATTAATCAAATGTATCGTGCATCACAGTGGGGCTATTTTGAAATTCCATTCATGGATTTATTTTTGTGTAGTTTTGTAATTACGCAAAGAAATCCTCTAGACGTGTAAGATGCTATACAAGTGTAATTTTGCATTGCATTGTGATCAATATCTGTTTGTCAAAAATCAAACCTTAATGAATATTTTTACACAGATTCAGCTAATGTTGCTTTCCTGGATCCTAAAATCTGCAATACCCAAAAGGCCACAACTGTTAATGGCTATCAAGGAGTTGAAAGTGAGACAATGTCAGGAGATATTTTAGTAAATAGTCAGAAACAGCTGAACAACATCCTATCTCAGGACAAACCAAGCATTTTCGATGAAATGTTGAACCAAGGAAATTCTAAGCTGGAAAATAAACTCGACGATAAAGATGAACGAGTGCTCAAGTTCTCTTCGTCCATCTGTGATAAGGAGAAGCTCTTCAACTGTGAATATTGCACAAGGAGTTTTTTGCATAAAGAGCAGTTAATGACTCACCATCGTACACACATGGGTGAGAAGCCGTTTGCGTGTGAGCAGTGTGGAAAGGCTTTCGCAGAAAAATCCAACCTCAATGAACACCGGCGCACTCACACAGGGATCCGGCCTCACTCGTGCAGTTGGTGCGGGAAGGCATTTTACCGTCGCTCCCACCTCAAGGTGCATCTTCGTCGTCACACGGGAGAGAAGCCCTATACATGTGACGTGTGTCAACACACTTTTGTGGACACGTCATCTCTTCAGCGGCACAAGTGTCGTTCAGGTAAACTGATGACAGATTACAATACAATTTTACATTTCTATAGCACCTTTCACGTCGGAAGAATGTCCCAAAGCGCTGTACAGTCAAGGATTTGGACCCGAGCTGGTGGTCGGGATTGGGGTGGGTCGGGAGGTTAGGAGGGTGTTTGAAGTCTCGGTCAAAGAAGAAGAAATTAATCAATGTATCATGCACCACAGAGGAGCTATTTTGAAATTCCATTCATGAATTTATTTTCATGTAGCTTTCTAATTACACAAAAAATCCTCCCGATGTGAAAGATGCTATGCAAGTGTAATTTTGTAATGTAATCAATGTCTGTTTGTCAAAAGTCAAACAATGAATATTTTTACACAGATTCAGCTAATGTTGCTTTGCTGGATCCTGAAATCTGCAATACCCAAAAGGCCACAACTGTAAATGGCTTTCGAGCAGTTGAAAGTGAGACAAAGTCGAGAGATATTTTAGTAAATAGTCGGAAACAGATGAACAACATCCTATCTCAGGACAAACCAAGCATTTTCGATGAAACTTTGACCCAAGGAAATTCTAAGCTGGAAAATAAACTCGACGATAAAGATGAACGAGTGCTCAAGTTCTCTTCGTCCATCTGTGATAAGGAGAAGCTCTTCAACTGTGAATATTGCACAAGGAGTTTTTTGTGTCAAGAGCAGTTAATGACTCACCATCGTACACACATGGGTGAGAAGCCGTTTGCGTGTGAGCAGTGTGGAAGAGCTTTCGCAGAAAAATCCAACCTCAATGAACACCGGCGCACTCACACAGGGATCCGGCCTCACTCGTGCAGTTGGTGCGGGAAGGCATTTTACCGTCGCTCCCACCTCAAGGTGCATCTCCGTCGTCACACGGGAGAGAAGCCCTATACATGTGACGTGTGTCAACACACGTTTGTGGACACGTCATCTCTTCAGCGGCACAAGTGTCGTTCAGGTAAGCCAGACCAATCAGGAAGAATATTTTTAAATGTGGACTCCTATGGGCTGATATTGCAGTTAATGTTAGGCGAGCATGTTTTGCGATGCATATCGTGGTAAACTTGTAATTTATGACCATTATTGTCAAAGAACCTACATGATCCTGTCACAGAAATAATAATGTGCAGCTTGCTGTTCTATCTCTTCTCCCTGTGCAGTTCAGGTCAGGCCCCTTTACTGTTTTCATATTGTAAAGCACTGTAATACAGTTGATGTAATGTGTGATTGTAACTGTAATCATTAGAAACTTATGTCTGCTTTTTTTAAATAAAAAACTTCTCCTTTTTCTAACCTGGCAATGTTGAGGGCAGCTGTTAAACTTAGTGTTACAAGACTTTTTTTTCTCAGTCTTACATCAGTATGCATCAACACTGAGCTCATAGACGCTGAGAATGTTAGACCTTAACAAAGAAAGTATATATTTGAAGTTGTTCTGCTAAGTCAGTTACATTGCCTGAATCCAGGCCACTTTGTTCTGTGTATTTAAAATGTTGGTGGCAATATAACTTTCTCTAAGCATTTTAATTTGCCATTAAATTCTATTCCTGTTTCATTCAGTTTACTTTTGAAGACTGACTTTTATCCTGTATTGTCCAATTGTAACAATATACTTTTGATGTGGAAAGTTAATCCAGTGTCATTTTCAGTATTTATTCTTCCTCAGCTTGCTATAAAACCAATCAAATGGATTCAGCAGCTGCTATGCGAAACAAGCCAATGAAAGAACAAATTTGTCATTCTAATGCAGACACCATTCATGATGGACACATTATTCAAGGAGAGGATATGGATAACAAACAAGGTAATGAAGTACAGTATTTCTTTGAAGTAGTTTGAGTTCTTTACCATCTTTTTTTAAAACACTATAAAATAACTCTAGATAGCTGTTGCTAGGTTGTGTATCCTGCATTTAATTAAAGTCAGCAAACTCTTACAAGTTGTGGGACAATGGGTAATATATCTGCCTGGGAATAGTATAAATGAGGAAGAAATCTAGGACCACTAAAATGAATTGCAGATCTTAAATATATGTTGTATCGTTCGTAGTGAAAGACCCACATTCAGCACTCCCTTAACATTCCTTCTGTTGTGTCAGCTTAACCTTATATTTTGGAGTTTGATAATCATCCCTTTTATGTTCTCCCAAATATTATGAATAATACAGGACTAATCTGTAATTTCTCACGCAGATGCTGATGAAACCAAACGTGCTGTTGAAGGTTTGGCCTACCTTTGCCCTGAGGAATTCACAAGCCAGAATTGTGAGAAAAACTCTGCTGTGGAAATTCTATTGGGCACAACCCAGATCAGCGATCACTCGTTAGACAAAAGGTATGAAGTTTGCAACTTTCCAGTTGGCGCGATGAGAAACCTAGACTGTAACACAGATAGCAAAACCATCTCCTGCCCGAGATCTCAAAACCCTGAATTGACTTCTAAAGAGGTTTTGTTTTCCAGCAGTGAGAAACATCTTTCTGCTGGGGAGAAGTACTTTAAATGTGAATATTGTGGGAGGAGATTCTTGCGGAAAGCACAACTAACCATGCATAGACGCGTTCACACAGGAGAGAAGCCGTATGTGTGCGATGACTGTGGCAGAGGATTTGCAGAGAAGTCCAATCTCAATGACCATCGTCGAACGCATACAGGGGAAAGACCATATGAGTGCACTTTTTGCGTTAAAGCATTTCATCGCAGTACACACCTCAAGGTGCACCTCCGTCGCCACACAGGGGAAAAACCGTACAAGTGTGAGGATTGCAAAAAAACATTTGTGGACTCGTCCTCTCTTCAGAGGCACAGACGTTTTCCTTCAGGTAAGAGCCCCAGAGAAGGTATTCAATAATTTCAGTATAATTTTCATATTTATGATTTTTTTTAAAAAAAGCCTTGTTTTAACATCTCATCCAAAGGACGGCACCTCAAACAATGCTGTGGATCCTCAGAACAGAACTGAAGTGTTAACCTAGCTCGATGGGGAGCTTGAGTCCACAATCTTAGCTAGAGGCAAAAGTGAGCCGAACTGAGAGAACAATCTTCTAATCTGTATCATATGGCACTGGTGGTACCCGTATGTGCTTTTAAGGCAACTGACTGAACAGTTGTGATGTTTGCTTGCATTGCATCTCATAAATTAGTGTTGTGCTTCCAAGTTATTCACATAAACAAGCTCGAGCTCTTGATTCCTAAATTAGAAGAAACTGTTATGAATTATTATGTTGCCCTTTTCAGATTCATGCAGTTTACTGAGCAAGCAACACTCTGAAAAAGAATGCGATATGGAGGTTTTATTGGACAATAACTCCGGCTGCAACTCACACTCCAGCAGTTCTGAACAAAAGACCATTCCCAATATTTGCTTTGATATTTGCAAACGTGTAAAGTCAGAACATTTTAATTACCCTTTGATATCAGAAAGTGGTAGATATGTAAAGAACAATCCAAATGTATTGTTTGATGGGCTGTTGCTTGATCCAGTGCAGTCTGCACTTAAACACATGGAAGAGAGAGAACACCAACAAATATCAAACTTGCAGTGAATTATTTGCATTGAAGATGGAGCTCACCGTTCACGAGATGTCTATGAGGACCAGAAATTCATTTGCGATTAAATCACAATTTGAATTGACTTTGGAACAAACACATTATTTGCCATACAAAGAAGAGGCCTTGGTTTCACTCAATTGAATAAAATTGTCTTCCAAATGAGTACAGCACCCGATTTTTCACCGGTGAAAATCATTCAAGAATAAAAGTCATGACAGTAAATTGCTCGCTTTCAGAGACTGACATTTCCAGGAGTAAATTGATTTCTGATGCATTGGCTGCACAAGTATGATTACCAATTGCACAATCATTCAACAATAGTCCATAGCCTAATTTGATCACATGACTGGCAATATTTTAGGTGCCATGAGTTGGTGATTTACAATTATATTTTCTTTAAAATGCCACTTATCATGACAGGATAGTCCTCTACTGACTCCAGAAAATACAAATGTCTCTGCCAAATGAACACAAATGTTTCTGATCTTCAGCAAATTACTTTTAAAAACAAAAACCTTGATTGATCTGTAACTAAAATTTAACACTGTATGTTGTGAAAAGATACTTTTTCATAAAATGGTCTGTGAACAAGAGGGCAATCAAAGTCTTAAGAGAATATGTGGTCTGACTCTAAATTTAAGGCAGTGCTTTTAGAAGCCATCATTTGCAGAATTGTACTTTTCATTTACACAGAAGGCGGGGTGAGAAGATAACCTTTCAGGCCTGAGATTACTAAAGCATCTTATTTCATTTTCTCTTTATAATGTGTTGAAGTTTGCATTAATGCTGTAAGCAAACTTTCTAGTGTGAGGGACATGTGCAATAAGTCATTTCAAACTGTTCCTGATGTCAAGTTTATAGCTAACTTAAAACTACTGAAGTGCATATATGTGTGCGATTGTATTGTGAAGGAATCCTTTTGTCTGAACCAAACTGGATCAGAAACCTAGATTAAAATTTTCATTTTAACATTCATTGAAACATTTCAAATTTCTGCAGTATTTCTAACTTTTGTAGAACTTGTACTTACACAGCAAACAACTGTAAGTAGCTAACATCAATATTCAAACTACAACAAGACAATCAAATGTAGTATAAAGCAAATGCAGTTTGTCCAGTGGTGACACACATGCACTGCTGGCACTCTTTTCAGAATGCAAGTTCTTCCTGCATCTTCCAAAGATCGTTTGCACTGCTGTTCAGTTTTGCTTTCTCTTCGTCCTGGAGTATCTGCTTTAAGACTCCACATACTCCTCCTGAGCCTAAGATACAGGGAAGGCTTAGGAACACATCCTGTGTTATCCCATGCTGGTCCTGTTGACAGCAGAATAAATATTGTTAAAAGTGTGAAGTCACAGCAAAATGTTGGAATTGTGGTTACACAAAACTTACTTTCGCAAATGTTGACACCAGATTGATTGTCCTGAGATTTTTCATAATGGCCTGACTGATATTAGTCACAGCTATCGCAGTAGCCCAGGAGGCACATCCTTTCAGGCTTGTAATTTCATTGCCACTATAGTATGAAAGAAAAATCAGAACCAAGCTGTGGCAGCAAAGGTAAAAGGCATCCTTTGAAATCTTGAAGCTCTCAGCAGACTTCAGTTAACATACCCACAATTTCAAAACTCATTTTTATTTTTAATGTTGTGAATTTGCCAAATTTTCCGAATGAAGGGCAGTTTCATGTCTTGGTTTAGATTTGATCTTTGTAATGTGGGATACCACCTGAAACTTGGTTTGCTAACCCCGTTAGTCCACTGAGGGAGTAGTAAGTGTTCTCTTTGGAATTCCGTGCGATTGTGAATTTATGTGCTCTCTCTCTCTTTCCTGTCATTTTGGCGTGTCCCTTGATTTCTTTCTACTCGCCCACCAAAAAAAAAAGGACTTCTGTATAATCAGATCACCAGCACAGGTATGCATGCACACATTAATTCAGTGACCTGCTGTGTACAGATATTGCTGATGAACAGCTTGGATTAATATCATTCCCTTCATGTGGGGTGGTGTCTTCGAGCACTTAATCTTCTTCATTAGGCTCTCACCAACAACAACAACAACAACAAGATTCCATTTATAAAGCGCCTTTCACGTCAGGAGGACGTCCCAAGGCGCTGAAAGAATTGTCAGCAAATTCTCAGCAAAAAGAATTGAGACATTCCATTTCAACTTTTTCTAAGTAAAATAGTCAGGTGGACAATTTATTTTGTTGTCAGTTCAGTGTTGAAATGTTGCGCTCTTAGTTTTAGAACTGCTTATTAGAGTAATTTGTATGTGGTGTCGGCCATTAGAGAGGATATTGAAGTCTTATGTATTGAAGCAAGTACTGATTTGGAAATGGCTGTGCTCTTCAATGCAACTTAAAATAGTGTTGATTTGCAAGAATTCAGGGCCAAAACATTTTTGGTCCACGCAGATCAGATTAGACTGATATAGGACAAATGACAGACTGATCATTGTACACTTATCCTCCTTTGATTGCTAAATAGGCAAAAAAGTACGACTAAATATGAGATTCTAATAAAACGAATGCATTGAGATCCTGTTATGTGCAATATTTCAAAGCCAGAGATATGTTCCATCTTGAATGGAACGTGGCTTATATGTGTGAACTAACAAAAGGAACTCTGCATTTACCTGTCAATCACCAATTTGTGAATCGCAGGACCCTCCGAACTTGCCTGACTTAAATTTATATCTGCCAGGAGAATACCAGCCACGTTAGCACTATTCCAAATAGCAACTGCGTGAAAAACAAAAAAACGGAATAATAAGCGATTACCGATTTCGTGCTTTGTGAAGCACAAAACACAAAGATCAGTGAAAAGAGAGCCTGAAGAACAGCTGGCATCTTGAACCATTAGTAAAACATACCTGATCAATCATCACGTCCTGACAAGGAACAAGTACTTTTTAAACAATCAAAGGTAATATTTTTCACTTAGGACTGTTTTTCTAAATTTTACCCATAACATTGATTGTTTCAACATATCAATATTTGCATGCTCATTTCAAAAATGTTTGCTGTTTCGAAAAAAAACTGAAAGGTAAACCATTTATAACCAGATTGCAGATTGTGATGTTGTAAGCAAATTATTAAACTTTAGCTTTCACATTTACTAAAATACAGAATCCAAGTTTCTCCTTTTAATTCTGTATTGTTAATCAGCCTTCCTCGATTTGTTTTCCAATGAACTGTGCTGCACAGTAGTTTTAAACTATTGAGGTACTATACGTAAAGATGGTCTTTGTCGTTTTTGATAGTTCCAGTCCATGGTAACCTTATGTGTTAAAGAATAGAGTATTTTAGCAACTATTGGTACAGTTAGCTTGTTCTTCTGGAGCCAGCTGTCCAGTATAGGAGGTTTGTGCTGTACAAATTGCGCAAGAACATCAATCATGTCACCCCCTGCAGGAAGCAGCTTTAAGAGCAAAGCAATTCACACCCACGCAACTGGGCTGAGTTCCTCTTCATTATAATAACAAGCCTCACATTTGATATATTGCCTTATGTCTTCGAGACATCACAAAGCGCTTCACAGAATATACTGCAAAGTGAATTGACTGTATAATTTGTGGGAGAAATGCGGCAGAATGCCAAAATCAAGCTTTTTTTTTCATCTTAAGTGAACGTGATGCGGCTGTATACACACAGGATAAGTGGCAAACACATTTTTAACTCATTCTTAATTTAATCATTGCTGGATTCTGAACTAGACATTGTTTGATTTTATGATGCGTATAGCAGGAAAGAAAGTTGCTATAATTTGTAATTTTTTCAGAATGCCAACTTTCTGGTTAGGAATCAAATACTTGGAAGCTGCAGACTGACAATGCAAAGAACTATTTCAAATAAAAATAACAAAATAATTATCTACGTTAAAGAACCAATAAAAAGAGATAAAGATGTAAAGTTTTAATAAAACTGTTGTGTTACATCCTCTTTCATTTACAGGGTATCCAATACCCTAGCAGAATTTTTCTTCCGAAGACCCTTGTTTAAAAACGCAATCTTGACCTCATTCGGACTAACTTAATGCCTGTGCATTTCACACTCCCAATTACAATTCCTGCTGTGAACATTTTACAGCCAATACATAAGTTTAGTAGGAAAAAGCACGTACCACTTGAATCTCCGTGTTCACCAATGAGGTAAGCATGGATACTTGTTGGATTAATTTGTAACTTCTGTCCCAGCAAAAAACGATACAGAGCAGAGTCCAAGTGGGTACCAATGCCAATGATTCGACTGAATGGAAACCCACTTAATTTCCAGGCAACATAACTCATGATATCAACTGAAAAAGAGAGCACATTTCCAGAAAAAAAATATCTGCTGCATTGTGAAAATCTAATATAAATATTTCCTCTCCCTTTGCCATACTTGGATTCTCAATGCATAAACATTAACTTCAATCACGATACTGAAATATTATTAATTCTGAATTTCAATTTGTTGCTCAATCAATCAATTAATTACTAAAAGATAAAACTGAAGGGATATTGAATAGAAGTCATTATATTCTGGAGAGGAGTGGAGTTAAAAGGAAAAACAGAATAGACATTTAATTTTTTTCATTCAGAGAAGTGTGATTGAGATATTAGCCAATCTCATGTTATTAGATTCTGACTGCTCCTACATTGTCCATTGCTGATGATAATCCGTCAAGGAGAAAAAAACAATAACAACTTGGTCACTCAATCCATGACTGTTCGTAGGACACTGCTGTGCGCAATTGGCTGCCACGTTTTGCCCACAAAATATACAGCCAATTCACTTTACAGTATTTTCTGTGAAGCACTTTGAGACGTCTCGAAGACTTGAAAAGCGCTATATCAAATTCAAGGATAATTATTATTATAAAAGTAGGCAAGTCGTGTTTGAACTGTATAGGATATTAATTAGCTCGTATTTGGGAATATTGTGTTCAGCGTTGGATGGCTCAATACATACAGGAAGGGTGTTAGAGAAGGAAACAGTAAAGTACAAATTCACTGGGATGATACTGGTTATGAGAAAATACTAATTGTAGCTTTGTGCACTGTAATAGGAGACTGAGGGAATAATGACACAGAGGTGTTTAATATTCAGAAAATTAAGTAAAGTCATGATTGAAAGGAAAATTTGTGACCAAAAGCAAATACATTTCCACTTTTACCTGGTGAGGAAACAATGAGAAGTATGGCATCTGGACTGTGTTTAACCAAATTGGGAATAATTGTTTTGAAACTTTCCAGGTTCCTTTGCAATTGCGCGATGAGTCCATCCTTCTGACGAACGCCAGCAGTTATGATGCACAGTTTTGAATTGGCTGTAACTGCATAGTCTATTCAAACCGTTTTTGTAACAGAAAGAGACTTGGTTAGCTGAGTAGAACTATATAATTTGAATGGTACATAACCTGATCTCTTTCAACAATCAGTGCAAATAAAAAGAAACTGAAGATGTTCAAACAAAAACATAAAATAGCAAAAAAACAGCAGATTCATCAGCAGCTGAAAAAAAAAGCCAGGTTGACATTTTGATTATTGCCATTTTCTAAGCATTTTCAGCAGTCAGTCTATTCTAAAACAGGGTACTGATCTCCAATACGTTTTTGTGCTTGAAGGTGATTCCTTATGTCCGATGCGCCATAATAAATCCTACATCCTCATTACTGACCTGTGTCTGCCACAATTTTGGATTTTAGAAACAGACTGCCTTGTAACAAATCCAAATATTCTTCTCTCAACTTTTGAGGTATTATATCAACCAACGCCAACTCATCAGAGAAGTGCTGTACAAAGAAATACATGGACAACTTTTATTTTTCAGTTAGTACTTATGCACTGCCTAAGTATGGCAATATTTTAACAATATCATCAATATTATGTTAGATTTTTGTGCTTAGTCTGGTTACATCACGCATTTTTTCCATTTATTTGATTTATAAAGTGTATAAGACTATGAACAAAATATTACTGTACTGTACTTATCTGGAGGTTCTTTACTCTTTGAATTGAGGCATCTTAGAATGATAAGTGTTGGTGCTATTCTGGGTGGCAAAAGCTCACAGATTTGGCTTTGACCTGTGTGACATTCTGACCAAATAATACCACCCAAAAGAGGAGAAGGGAGCAGAGGTACCAATCATCAGGACAGCTCTGATAAAAAGTGACTGTTCACATCAGCTATTGAGATAATGTGACGATTTCATGAGAGACTTTGCCAATTTACTTGGTCCACTTGATAATATACTGCTGGGTTTGGGATTTGAACTGCACGCCAGAGTCTGCACTCGGTAGAGCAGAGGAGCAAAGTGTGACCATCTTAAATATTATGTGGTTACGGAAGTTGCTTTGAGGTCTGAGATTCATGATTGGATCAAAAACCCTAAATGTCTTGAACATGAAACATACAGCCATGGGCTTACAAAGATGACTACCCAAATTGTGAAGCCATAACATGAAACCATTTTACTATAAAGGGAATTTGACCCTTTTAAATTCACGTCATCCAAAGTGGCTTAACAATAACAACAAAATTACATTTGTATAGCTCCTTCCACGTCGGAAGGATATCCCAAGGCGCTGGACAGACAGAGTTACAGACCCGAGCTGGGGGTCGGGGTGGGGAAGGGTGGAGGGCAGGGGGGAAGCAGTGAGATCGAAAGCACAGTCGAAGAGGAGGGTCTTGAAGTGGGTCTTGAAGGTGGTAAGGAAGGGGGTGAGACAGTGGGACTGCGGGATGGAGTTCCAGAGGGTGGGTGCAGAGTGGTGGAAGGCCGGCCTGCAAATAGTGGGGCAAGCAATAGTGGGGACGTGAAGCAGGCCGGAGCCCATTGAAGGACAGAGCCCTGAGGAACCCCACACGAGATGGTCCAGGGGCTGGAGGAGAAGCCGTTTGAGGAGATGAAGTGTAAGCGGTGTGAGAGGTATGATGTGAGCCAATCAAGGACAGCGCCGTGGAGGTTGAGGTGAGAGGAGAGGCGGTGGATGAGGATAGAGTGGTCAACGATGTTGAAAGCAGCAGAGAGGTCGAGGAGGCAGAGGGAGCCCTAGTCGCAGATGGACAGCATGTCATTTGTCACTTTGACCAGGGCTGTTTCTGTGCTGTGGGCGCCACAGAAGCCCGATTGGAGGGGTTCGAGAAGGGAGTGGCGGGAGAGGAAGCTACAACTCGTTCCAGGGCCTTGGAGAGGAAGGGGAGGTTGGAGATGGGGATCTCTATGATCATAAATGAAGAATACCTTAACTGCCATACTTCGGTATAATTATGAACTTTAAAAACAAATCAGTCGCTCATATCCATTTTACCTGTTGTAGAATACTAAGGGCACAAGCCATGCCAACCTGACCAGCCCCCACTATTGAGAGTTTTGCTTGGGTCTTTGAAACAGTTTGCGTGGTCACTTGAAACAACAGTTTATTTCTCAGGTCGTCCATTGTCTCGCTCAGTGAATCGTGTTCTCAAGAACAAAAACCTGAAGAACAAGCAACGATTTTACGTTGAATTGGGCTGCCCGTGTTATCGCCCACAAAATACACAGTCAACTCACTGCCAAGCGCTTCGAGAGCTCTCGAAAATGTGATAAGGCGTTCTATCAAATGTATATCGTTATATCTAATGTCTGTCTGTCTGTCTGTCTTCTCTTCGACCGTGCCTTCAGCTCTCCTCTCGACTCTCTACCCCCTCCTCGCTCCCTCCCTTCCCTCCCCTCATCCTGACCATTTCCCCCCAATGCTCGGGTCCCCCCACCCAACTGTCCAGCGCCTTGGGACGTCCTCCCGACGTGAAAGGCGCTCTATAAATGAAATCTTGTTGTTGTTGTCTATCTTTCTCTCTGTCTATCTTTCTCTCTGTCTATCTTTCTCTCTGTCTATCTTTCTCTCTGTCTATCTTTCTCTCTGTCTATTTAGCTCCATCTCCATCTCTCTCCCATTAAATTCCTCAAACGATCTCTTCCATTGACTTGGACCCTGATGGTCCTCTCTCCCCCCTCTCTCTGTCTAACCTTCCCTTGGGGTCTCCTCCAGTCTTTGCCGATCTCTGGTTCCCCAACGAAAACCAACGGTTTCTCCCCCGGGGTGTGGGGGGGGGGGGGGGGGGGGGGGGGGTTAAAATTCAAACGGGTGGGTGGTCTCGTGGAGTGGTGGGGGTTCGAGGCTACATCACAGAACCCACCGTACCCTCTTGTCTGTCCAGTCCAAGGCGACCTCAACGCTCTTGTGCAACGTGTCTCTGTGCCTTTGCTGATTTGCTCTCAGAAGTGTGGTGGTGTGTGTGTGTGTGGGGGTGATGGGGGTGGGGGGTGTTGGGTGGGGTGGTTTGGTGTTGGGTGGGGGTCTGGTGTTGGGTGGGGGGGGGTGATGGGGGGGTGTAATCGATGCAATTCAATTCGAATCCAAACTCAAATCAATTTGATACTGCAAAGGTACTGCTGACTCCTATCTCTCACCCCCCCCCCCCCCCCCCCCCCCCCCCCCCCCCCCCCCAAACCCCCCCCTCCCACCAAAAAAATCATTGAGAACCCCACACACAAAATAATACCACTAAAGGTTTGGAAAAGTGTGTGTGTGTGTGTGGTGGTGGGATGGGGTGGGGGGGGGGGAGCTTGTCTCGAAATATATATGTATATATATAATTATAATAATAAAATGCAGAAAGACAGATCGAGGTTATTGATCCCACACATTAAAGTTACAGCTTCCACCAGAAACAGAACGAAGTCGCAAACCGCAGTGGGGACAGTGTCCTCTGTTTTAAAACGTAAGAGAATTTCTGCAGAGATTCGCGAACCATTCTAACGAACCTGTTGGGGGGTACGTCTCCCCTTCGATGGTTATTTGTCCACCTGTTAATTAACAGTCCACACCATTCGGACTGCAGACCGTACCTTTGCAGCACTATTTAAAATGATCGATTTTTTTTTTACACACACACACACACACACACACGCACGACGATGCGCTTTAAAATTTAAAATGCAAAATTGCACGAGTGCAAAATACTGGTAAAGCACTCACGTTTGCAATCAGAGCCCAGACAAGCAATGGCAGGAGCTGTCCAGCCTCCCGGGTCGTGTTCAGAGAGAGAGAGAGACCTGCAGTTGGTTTGGATGTCACGCCTCAGTGTGAAGGACCTTCGCCTTTGCTTTGGTTGCAACGCGACTTGAATGATCCGACTTGAATGCTTCCTGGGCACTTACCGCTTAATTATCATCGAGCAAGTCTCCAAGTAAGACCATAAGGGCCGTAAGACGTAGGAGCAGGAGTAGGCAATTCCACCCCTCGAGCCTGTGCCCCGCCATTTAATGAGATCATGGCTGATCTTCTAACCTAATTCCATTTACCGGCCCAATCCCCAAATCCTTTAATCCCTCTATCCTTCAGAAATCTATCAACCTCAGTCTTGAATAAATTCAAGGACTGAGCCATCCACAGCCTTCTCGGGTAGAGAATTCCACAAATTCGCTACCCTCTGAGAGAAGAAATCTTTCCTCAACTCAGTTCGAAAAGGCTGACCCTTAATCTTGAGACTATGACCCCTCGTTTTAGATTCTCCGACCAGGAGAAACAGTCTCACGGCATCGACCCTGTCAAGACCCTTAAGAATCGTATAGGTTTCTATAAGATCACCTCGAATTCTTCTATATTCTAGAGAATATAGGTCTAGTTTACTCAACCTATCCTCATAGGTCAACCCCCTCATCCCAGGAACCAACCTGGTGAATCTACTCTGTTCCCCCTCTAAGGCGAGTATGTCCTTTCTTAAATAAGGAGACCAAAACTGCACACAGGGGAGCACAGGCTCCTGGAGTCCAGTGTTGGGGGGGGGGAGGGGCACAGGCTCCTGGAGTAACAACAACAACAACTTGGATTTATATAGCGCCCTCCACGCCGGACGGCGTCTCAGAGCGCTTTACAGTTTAGGATCCCGGGACCGAGCCATGGGGAGGGGGAGGGGAAGGTGGCCAAAGGCGCGGTCGAAAAGGTCTTCAGCAGAGACCTGAAAATGGGAAGGGAGGGAGTGAGACGAAGGGAGTGAGGAAGGCAGTTCCAGAACCTCGGAGCATAGTGGCTAAAGGCACGGCCGCCGAGGGTGGAGCGGAGGCCTCGGGGGACAAGGAGGAGGCCAGACCCGGATGAAACGAAGGCAACGGAGGAGAGAGGTCAGAAAGGTCGGGGGGTGCAGAGGAGTGCAGGGACTTGAATACCACGGTGAGGATCTTGAAGTGGATCCTCTTGGGGACAGGCAGCCGGTGCAGTCCGGCCAGGACTGGGGGGGAGCGGGGAGCGGTGCGGGTGAGAATGCGGGCGGCAGAGTTCCGGATGACCTGGGCTGTCTGGATGGCGGAGGAGGGGAGGCCGGCGCGGGGGGCGTTGGAGCAGTCCAGCCGAGAGGAGACAAAGGCGCGGACCAGGGCTTCGGCGGCTTCTGGGGAGAGGTATTGGTGGAGACGGGCGATGCGTCGGAGGTGGAAGAAGGCGGCGCTGGTGAGGGACCGGATGTGGGGGAGGAAGTGGGGGGGGTCGAACCTGACGCCGGGGTTGAGTACAGTGTGGGGGTGGGGGGGGGGGGGGCACAGGCTCCTGGAGTACAGTGTGTGTGGGGGGGGGGCACAGGCTCCTGGTGTACAGTGTGTGGGGGGGGGGGGGCACAGGCTCCTGGTGTAGTGTGGGGGGGGGCACAGGCTCCTGGAGTACAGTGTGTGTGTGGGGGGGGCACAGGCTCCTGGTGTAGTGTGGGGGGGGGCACAGGCTCCTGGTGTACAGTGTGTGGGGGGGGGGCACAGGCTCCTGGTGTAGTGTGGGGGGGGGCACAGGCTCCTGGTGTACAGTGTGTGGGGGGGGGCACAGGCTCCTGGAGTACAGTGTTTGGGGGGGGCACAGGCTCCTGGTGTAGTGTGGGGGGGGCACAGGCTCCTGGTGTAGTGTGGGGGGGGCACAGGCTCCTGGTGTAGTGTGGGGGGGGGGCACAGGCTCCTGGTGTACAGTGTGGGGGGGGGGGCACAGGCTCCTGGTGTACAGTGTGGGGGGGGGCACAGGCTCCTGGTGTAGTGTGGGGGGGGGCACAGGCTCCTGGTGTAGTGTGGGGGGGGGGGCACAGGCTCCTGGTGTAGTGTGGGGGGGTACAGGCTCCTGGTGTAGTGGGGGGGGGCACAGGCTCCTGGTGTACAGTGTGGGGGGGGCACAGGCTCCTGGTGTAGTGTGGGGGGGGGGGGGGAGGGCTTTAATTGTGTGCCCCGCCCCCTCACCTATTACGTACTGACGTCGCGCTGCGTATGACGCTGGTGGTGCGCCCGCCCCAGGTGCTACGTGCGGACGTTGCTCGCTGCGTGATGACGCAGGGGAGGAGGGGGGGGGCAGGGCGGCTGCGCGCGGCGTCCGGGTTATGGCAACGGTTAAACATCGTGAGTGAGTGAGTGAAGTGACGTGACGAGACGAGCGGCTCCTCACGGCTCCTTGGGCCGGGCCTCGAGCACCTCCCGTCACACTGCAGCCCAGGCCAGGCCAGGCCGGCACAGCACAGCACGGCACAGCCAGGGCCGGGCCTCTGAAAGACCCTCGGGCAGCACAGCACAGCCAGGCCGGGGCCAAGGCCAAGGCCAAGGCGGAGCCTCGGTCCAGGCCGCGCAGCAGCTCCAATGGCGTGGCCTGGCAACGGCCCTGAGGTGAGTGGCCCTCCCTCACTCCCTCCCTCTCTTTTGCTCTGCGGGGCCTCGGGCTGTGTTGGACGGTTCTTTTGAGTCGCTGGTGGGTTTTTTTTAGGCGCAGATTATGACATAACCTCCTCCCCCCCCCTCCTCTCTCCCCCCCCCTCCTCTCCCCCTCTTCCCCCCCCCCTCTCTCCCCCCCCCTCCTCTCCCCCCCCTCCTCTCTCCCCCCCTCCTCTCTCCCCCCTCCTCTCTTCCCCCCCTCCTCTCTTCCCCCCCTCCTCTCCCCCCCCTCCTCTCTTCCCCCCCTCCTCTCTTCCCCCCCTCCTCTCTTCCCCCCCTCCTCTCTTCCTCCTCTCTCCCCCCCCTCCTCTCTCCCCCCCATCCTCTCTCCCCCCCATCCTCTCTCCCCCCCATCCTCTCTTTCCCCCCCATCCTCTCTTTCCCCCCCTTCCTCTCTTTCCCCCCTCTCTTCCCCCCCCTCTCTTCCCCCCTCCTCTCTTCCCCCCTCCTCTCTTCCCCCCCTCCTCTCTTCCGCTTCTTCTCCTCTCTCCCCCCTCTTTCCTCCCTCCTCCTCCTCCCTTCTCTTTTCCCCTTCTCCTCCTCTCTCTTTCCCCATCTCTCTTGCCCCTCTCCTTTTTCCCCTTCTCTCTCTCCCCCCCCCCAGCTCCCCACCCCCCACCACCACCCTTTCTCCAACGTGTGAGGTAATACATGTAATTGGCCACTCGCCCACAAACACTGTGCATCAGAGCCGTCCTATTTTTTGGTGCTGATTTCCTGATCCAAGCCCTGCAGTTTTGGGGGCAAAATAGATGAGAGAGGAACCAACATGTTTTGTGACAGGTGTTTGTGTGTGTGTGTGCGCGCGCGCGCGCGGCGGTGGAGGGGAAAGGAGAGGCAGATGGTTCTTGAAGTTGGTTTGACTGCTGTCAGTTTCGACCTGTCTGCCCTAGCGAGCAAGCTGAGTTGGAGAGGGGGAAGGGGGAAGATTTAATTTTTCCAACAGTAGAATGTTTTATCCCGTCACCTTCCTGGAGTCCTGTAGCTCAGGGGTTAGAGCACTCGCTTTGCGAGCGAGAGACCTGAGTTCAATTCCAGGCAGAGGGCGAAACCTCGGGCAAGTTTCCTTACTCCACACAGAGCCTAATAATAATCCCTCCAAAACCAAAAACAATAATAAATTGGTCATTTTCAATCCACGACTGTTTGTGGGGCATTGCTGTGCGCAATTGGCTCCCGCGTTCGCCCACAAATATACAGTCAATTCACTTTACAGTGTGTTCTGTGAAGCGCTTTGGGACGTCCTCCCGACGTGAAAAGCGCTATATCAAATGCAAGGATTATTATTATTATTATTACTGGAGGCCAACCCAGGGGTGGGCAAAATAGAGAAAAAAATTACAGCTCGTTCAGTCCCAGAAAGTCACGGTTTTAAATGCGTCCCTTACGTTTCTTACTTTTGTCGCAGCGTCGATGTTTAAGGACTGAAGTCGTGAGGTTTTTTTTCTCTCCACAAATTTCGCATTTCAATCAGACCGGGAACATCGGCCACTCGCACGGCTTAGTTGTGCGCACGCTCCCTTAAGTGTTGAATCAGGCTGACGTCAGAAATGTGCGGTTCGGCAAGGTTTCAAACGCGCGCGGCAACCGCGGCAATACTTTTCACTGAAGAGGACATTCATTTGAAATGAGTTTATGAAAGAAGCGGAACGTGGACGCTGAAAGCAGAATATTCAACAAAGAATGGACTTCTAAACATTTTTTTTGTGGATGGAAAAGACTACAGTTTGAATCGCCATTTTGAGAGCAAACGTGCTTGCAAATATAAGAACGTTTCTGCCGAAGAAAAAGGAAAGACAGCTGATGAGATGGTTGTTCAAATACAAAAAGAGCAAAGCATTTTCACAAAACAATTTGCGTCCCAGGATGAGATTACAAGAGTGAGTTACGTGATTGCACACAAAATCGCTAAGAGCAGCAAATCATTCTCTGAAGGAGATTTATGACTCTGCCTCAATTTTATGCCCAGACAAGAAAAACCATTTCGAGCACATTAGCTTGTCAAGGCGAACTATTGTGAGACGTGTCGAGGATATCCCTAAGAACCTGTATGTGCAGTTAAAAAATAAAGTAAGCAATTTTGCATGTTTTTCATTGGCACTCGATGAGTTGTGGTCGAAGACACAGCCCAGTTGATAATTATTAGAGGTATCACCAAACATTTTGAGCTCACAGATGAATTGGCATCAGTGCAGTCAATGAAAGATAGGACAAGTGGAGAAGACTTTTTGGAGGCAGTAAATAAGTGTATCTTAAAATTAGTAGTGGAGATGAAAAAAATTGGTGAATGTGACCACCGATGGAAGCCCAAATCTGACAGGCAAAAATGTTAGGTTACTGAAAAGAATTCAAGATCAAGTCAAAGAAACAAATCCAAAACAGAATATTGTTTTTCTACACTACATTATCCACCAAGAGGTCCTCTGTAAGAGTGTTCTAAAACTAAGCAATGTCATGGATACAGTTACGAAAGTAGTCAACTACATTCGAGCAAGCGAATTAAACCACCGGCAATTTGTAACTCTGATTGAGAAATTGGAATCCGAGCACACGGATGTTCTGTATCACACGAATCTAAGATGGCTTAGTTTAGGAAAGGTCTTGAAAAAAGTGGGAACTGAGAGCAGAGATTGATTTATTTTTGGACATGAAACAAAAAGATTTGATTTCCCACAGCTGAGTGATGCAAATTGGCTCTGATTTCACATTTGCCGTTGATATCATGGGCCACGTGAACGAACTGAATTCCAAACTGCACCGAAAGGGGACCTTTGTGCACGATTTGTATTGCAGTGTCAAGTCATTTATGACAAAATTATTTATTTTATTGTGTCCATTAGGAAACAGGCAGTTCGCCCACTTTCCAACTTTGCAGCAGATTACTATTTGCGATCAAAGCCTTAAAAAGTATGGTTCATCACTACTTGACTTACATGCCGAATTTTCTTGCCGATTCCAGGATTTCAATTTGATCGAAAATGACCTGTCTTTGGTCTCTTCACCTTTCTCATTTGATGTTGACAAAGCCCCATTTGACCTCCAACTCGAGCTTATTGACCTGCAATGTGATCCATTGCTTGCAGAGAAATTCAAATCGGTGCCACTTCCCAGTTTTTACATCTCTCTTAATGAATATACCTTTCAAAAAATAAAAGCTCATGCCCGGAGGATGCTTGTGCTGTTTGGATCAACATACATATGCGAGAAGACATTTTCTGTGATGAAATTCAATAAATCAAAACGTAGATCTGCGATGACTGATGACCACCTTGCAATAGTACTCCGCATTGCAACAACGGAGACGATGCCTGACTTCAGTTGTCTGGCTAACGCAGAGGAGTCCTGTAGCTCAGTGGTTAGAGCACTCGCTTTGCAAGCGAGAGACCTGAGTTCAATTCCAGGCAGAGGGCCAAACCTTGGGCAAGTTTCCTTACTCCACACAGAGCCTAATAATAATCCCTCCAAAACCAAAACCAATAATAAATTGGTCATTTTCAATCTACGACTGTTTGTGGGACATTGCTGTGCGCAATTGGTTGCCGCGTTCGCCCACAAATATATACAGTCAATTTACTTTACAGTGTGTTCTGTGAAGCACTTTGGGACGTCCTCCCGACGTGAAAAGCGCTATATCAAATGCAAGGATTATTATTATTATCAGCGCTTTCATTCTTCCCGTTGAGTGAGCTTTTCACATTCTCATCAATATGTGAATAAATGAATAAATATCAAATAAATGTCTGCTCAATGCGTTGTTTTTATTTAACCTAATTATAATGAATGTTAATCATATAGACTTTATTTTATGCATGTACAAGTATATGACTTGATTTTGAACTATTATTAAGCATTCGCATCTATATTAATTGTGTGGCCCGCGAAGCTTACCAAAACTCGTGAAGTGGCCCTCCAGCTAAAACAATTGCCCACCCCTGAGCTCACCAGTCAAATCACTAATTATTTTTAGAAGAGTTTAATTTGTGTGCTTCTTCTGCAGTGCCAATCTCACTGTTCTCATGGTCACCATGGAACACATATACACCAAGGATCACATACGCACCAAGGATCTCCCCATGAGCAGTACAGCAAAATAAGCCAACCTGCACCTTCTCCAGCAATACAGACTGACATTGCTTTTATAGAAGACCATAACAACTGGGATATTGTGAAAGCAACACAGTAAGTTCATATGAAGAATATTCTTCTACTTACAACATAAACAGCATCATTTGTATCAGCTCAAAAAACTACTCTGGCGTTTTTTTTAAAAAAATCAGATTTCAAGTGAATTTTTCTTCCACTCGATATTTTGTCAGTATCTTTACACTTGAAACCATGACATAAAACAGGTTTACTGTGTATCAGGAATGCAGTTAATTCTCCGTGCAATATTGCATTTGTGTTTGAGATGAACACAGATTTGCAAAACAGGATCAGTAACAATTTCAGCGTCCAATTAGAAATAAGAAAAATGTTTTGAATTGTTCATAGCAACGGTGTGCTCTATTCAAGTCACGTTTTACAAAAAGTCAAGTGTAATGACTGTCTTTTGAAGACTAAACTACATTTTCAATACAGCATGTCGACAAGGAAAGCATTGTGTAACAGCAAATCCCACCTTCAATAATGGCTTTCATTATACCCAGCACAATTCATATTCTAAGCCTCACATAATTGCCTAACAAAAAATACATTGTATACTTCACTTTCAGATACGGAATATTTGATAGGTGTAAAGAGCTGGTAGAAGCTGGTTATGATGTCCGAAAACCCGACAAAGAGAATGTGACACTGCTTCACTGGGCAGCAATCAACAATCGCGTAGAACTTGTCAAGTATGTTTGATGTGTTGTGCAAATAATGCGTTTGAGATTAATATTAGCATGTTTAATTTGACACTTCGAAAGTCTTATACAAATGTGCATTTAAAAACACAAACCACACATTGATGGACTCTAGTGTTTTTTTTGATAGATGAACCAACTTTTTAGACCCTTCAGGTACTGTAATTTAACCTGAAAATTGTCCCATCTTAGTTCTTAACCTGTGCATTTTCAGCATTTTCTGTTTTTATCACAAGTACACACTTTATTACTATCCACATTTTAATGCTTTTTTTAAAAAAAATAATACTTTCACAGGTACTACATTTCAAAAGGTGCCATTGTGGATCAACTGGGAGGAGATTTAAATGCAACTCCTCTTCACTGGGCTACCAGGTAAGGTCAAAGAAATTGTATGAAGATGTTTTATTATAGACGTCAAGCTATAAATCTTATGTGTAGCTTTATTCAACATTGATGCTTTCAAAAGCCTTTATTCCATGTGTAGTTTCAATTTGTTCTTATTTATTCTAGGCATGGACACTTATCTATGGTTGTGACACTGATGAAATATGGAGCAGATCCCTCTCTGGTTGATAGGGAAGGATTCACTTGTCTTCACCTTGCAGTTCAATTCCAGCATATGTCTATCATAGCATACATTGTGGCTAAAGGTCAGGTAAGTTTGCCATCCAGCAGCGGGAAAGTTCTGAACTATATTTCTGTATTTTAAAAAAAGAAAACTGCAGGATAAATTGGGGGTATTTACCAGAATTAATCCTGAAGAAAATCCTGACAATATACAGAATCTAAGAATTATTTTAAAATGTGTTCTAGCCATTCATTTTCATATTCTTCAGCAGATGTTTTCTATTCTTGGGGTTTCCTCATAACAAGTAGCATTTTCTATCTTAAGAGTTGATAAAACCACAAAGAAGTGCAAGTGAACGTCAAGACGACTTGAGTAATTTCATTTCCCTTCTGCCCTGTGATGCCTCTTCTGATCACCTTCCTTTGAAGATTCTCAGTTGACATTGGGTATTTACTATATTGGGAAACATGGATAGGAACTCAACTCCTTCCACTCCTTGTTGCGGTGAATAAGAACGTCAACAACTCAATTGTGCCGCCTCCTAATATATAATAATCCTTACATTTGATCCAGCACCTTATTGGGTCATTGAGACGTCACAAAGCACTTCACCGAATATACTGTAAAGTGAAATGACTGTATGTATGTAGTGAGAACTGGCAAACAAACTATTGATTTGAATTTCAGACAAGTGGTTTACTTGCATGGTTCTCTTTACTGTTATGAGTGCAAAATATTTCAAGATGTATCTTTGCCTGTTCAGGTTTAAAAATAACATCTAATATTGCAGTGTTTTATCCCTGCCTGGTGTGAAAATGAGTTGATTCTGTAAAAGGTGGGGTGGTATCAGAGTGGTTAAGCTCACTATCATTGGTCTATTCAAAAGGGAACATGTATCTTGCATAACAGATGTTTTGTGTATATTTTAAGGATGTAGATGCACTTGATATGAATGGTCAGACACCTCTAATTTTAGCAACACGCAAAATAATCGGGTAAGTAAAGTAATACATTTAAAATGTGATTATATGTAGAAATTATACATCTTATTTGATCACGGTGACGGATATGTTTTCTTGTTTCATCCAGCCCTGAACCAACAAGGTTTCTTACAAAATTAAATGCTTCAATCAACATTGCAGACAAAGTACAACAAAACACACCGCTCCACTGGGCTGTGATGTCTGGAAATGTAGCAGCAGCAGTTGTCCTGCTTGATGCTGGGGCTAATGTGGAAGCTGAAAATGCAATGGTAAGTGCCTGGCGCTTTACTTTCCATAGCTGATCTCAGAATGTTATTAATTGCTGGTAAGTGCAACTAGTTGCTTCTGACTTCTATGAGAGCCCATTCAAAGATTTATGATTCATAGTGAAAGAAAGAACTGAAACCTTAACATGGAAATATAGTCAATTGTATATTATCATTTTCACAATCTTCGAGGATATTAATGGAGATATTGCTGTTGGGTATGATTACTGTCTTTACTATATTAATTGCTACCTTGCTGATTATATCAGTGAGGAGTTGTTGTAATGTTAGAAGATTTTGTGGGGAGGCAAAGTGTTTCTCAACTTTTCAAAATTTGCTTTGAATATGACGAGTCGTGCAAAGGATAATGAAACTGATTTTTACTAAATTATTTTCAGGGAGAAACTCCTCTTACTATGGCTCATCAGAACCGATATCCCTGGTTAATCCAACGCCTAACTGAAGCAAATCTTGCCAAAAGCAGAAGCCATTTTATGATGAAATTGTTCAAGAGTTTTAAGAAATATGAGGTTGGTCAGTCATTCAAAACTAAGCTTGATTTGAAAAATGTCCATGATCAGAAAGTTGTCTTTGGGTTTCATGTCGAAAAATTTTCCAATCTACTTATTTTGTTGGACTTCATCATTTAATGCTGCAGCGAAGGAACTGCATGTTTTCCAAATTTAGCCACAAAATCTGGGTTTGATGCCTGGTCTGTGTTCATCATTGTCACCTGGAGTGATGGTTAGGTTTTACAATTCACCTAAACACTTCCAGACAAGGAACCTGAAAAGTGCCTATAAAAAGATAACTATATATTGTTTTGAAAATGGTTATTAATTGTTTTTTTTTTGAATCCTTAGCTTTTCCTGTTGCTGTTGGTGTCAGTGGCAATGATATGGGTAACTGGATACATAGCTGACTTAGACTCTGACTCGTGGCTTCTCAAAGGCATCTTATTTATCTTTACTTGGACCATCATTCATCTTCTATCAAGGTAGGTTTTAGTGATAACTCACTTTCCTTATGGTAGATTTTCTTTGAATAACATGAAAGATGTGCTTGTCCGAATATTGAAAATCAACAAGCTAGTATGATGTCATGATCTAAATTGTCATCTAAACGGGGTTCTGACGTTTGAATTCAGTCATCATTTCGCCATTTCCATAACAAGCAATGGTATAGCCATTTTCTTAAAGTGGAATATCATGGCTACGCGTCTGCTTTTTGTTTCTGTGCAATGAAAAAATGCTTAATACTTGGATTTTATTGGGTTTCCATTGTGACATTGCAAAATGAAATTGTACTTTTGAGACCTTGTAAAATGGATTCTATTGTGGCATAACCAGAAGAGGGCAGTGTTTGTTAATATTAGATATACAGGCGATAACTTTAAATAGTCTAATGGTTCAATATCTTTGTGCTGTGTCTGTTGTTTGTAACCTTAGACACCAATCAAATTGAATAATCATTGGCAATTGGATACGTTTTCTCATTTTGAGATGAAGTATCCAGAATGAAGTTGCTGTTAATTGAACTTAATGTTTTTTTTATTTATTTGTGGCATTGTGATGAATGGAATGAATAATCACGATGGAAGTAATATTAACATTTAAGTCCCTACTGAAAAAACATGGTTTGAATCTTTATAGTATCCTACTATAAAAAGAGTACACTGTACGTGAATACCTATCAATAATTTATATTTGCTTTTTCCTCTTCTAGGCAATTTTTGACTTTGGAGTCATTAGTCCACATTCCAGTGATGTTTCTGTTGGGGTCATTTTTCTGGATGCTCAGTACATGGTTCATCCAGTTCCTGCCTGATATCCTTTTTTGTTATTTGGATGTGGAAATAATAGAATAAAATAGTTTTGCTCTCTCAGCTGTGCATAATTCAAGCAGTCTGCAAGTCTTATGCACCTAAGCAAAATGAACCCCCTTGATCTTTTAAGTGAAATTCTTTCCACACTGCTAACATTGTGGAAAAATCCCATTAAGATAACAAAATACAGTTCAGGAATACAGCTTGGTTCTCTCCAGTCATGCATGTTTCAACGTATGGTTTTAATTGAGCTACGGGAAAAATCAGAATAATTGAAGTCTCCTGATACCATAGGATAACTACAGTATTAGCTATGTCTACGTCTGTAATATGAGGATAGATTAGTAAAAATAAATTGGATTGTAATTTAATCTTCAAAATTAAAAGCTTCCCATCTTCACATTTTCACGATTCAAATAAATTCGAGCTCACTCAACCCGTTGCAGATGCGTTCTGGGAAGGTAAAGCAAGCGTTTCTCATCTCTCAAAGAGAAGGCTGCACAATATTGAACTTCAGTTTCACCTGTTTTGATGGAAAATTTGCATTTATATCTTATTTAGCTTCAATAATGAACAGGAAATTTATCACCCGCAGTGAATGATCTCAAGCTACCAAATCCATAGGGAGTACTCTTCCTTGCCATTTCTGGAAGAAAAATTGGGAGGTGTTAAGATTCGGTACCAGAAATTGCTGGTCTATTTGTGTGCTATGAACAACATTTAACACATTGTTTTGACAATTTAATATTAATTTATGCTATCTCTTGGAGATTATTTCTTCTAATTAGATTTTACATAATAGTGTTTTCACTTGATAAGTTAATTAGCATATTTTAAGCAAGATTAGACATAATTACATGGCGTTTGTGTCTGTGGACTGAAGCTGCAAGTATTTATTAAATCTTTCAGTCCGGAATTCTGGACTGCAATGATTGTTTCCCGGCTCTATGTGTCACAGCGTTATGCAGCTGAATGAGTTTAATTTCTTTATGCTTTTCGACATATTTTCATCACGTGCACACTGTTCAATCATCCTGAATTACAAGAGGAAAGCAGTTTGTCTCTACAAGTTTACTTTCAATAAAAAAGACATTTCTCAAGTGTACAACCTTCCCTGATTGGTTTTGGCAACACTTGTGTGGTCTTTCAGTTTTCAATAACACCGTTGGTCTTTTTTAAAAAAAAAGGCTTTAAATCAATAGTGTTATTTTATGTAAAAGCTGATCTATGTCAAAAGGTTCCTCAAAGTAACTATAATGACTGAGACTAGTCTACTTGCCTAATTAACCTTCAGAAAACAATATTTCAGCCCTTGGCAGCTGGAGCAGTGGCAGATGAACATGTTTTGTATTGAAATCATTGGATAGACTCATATTTATGCATCTGTTTTCAACACAAATCTTAATGTTGATCTGCTTGAAATTGTCATAGAGCATAGCATGCGATCTGGCTGAAGGCCCAAAGTCCTATCTTAGCAATGTTTGTTTGGGAAGGATGGATGAGAAACACATAATGCAATTCCTGTAGTTCAAAGTTTGCTTTGTGCTCGTTGTGGTTACACTGAAGCTGTTGATTCCCTCCGGTTTCAATCCTGAATCTCTGCTGATTTGACTGTTAATTTTCCAAAATTATGTTTTGTGTTAGTTTGCAGCGACAGGAAGCCTGCAGTCTTGTTGCCGAGTATGAACGTTGATGTTATTTGTTATGAGCTTATTGTCAGAGATGTAATATTTGTAAATTTGTTTTGCATAAAAATCTTTAACAAATGCTGTACATCTACCTGAATTGAGTGTTCAGATTGCATTTGCCCTCAGTGTTGCAGGCTGCAGCTATTATTTCTATAAAACCTTCACAGCAGGCCCAGGATACCTCCAGTCTTCAGAGGAGGACAAGAAAAGGGTAATGCAACTTCATTGAAGAACAGCACATAAGATAGTGACTAGGGAATCAACATAAGATAGCGACAAGGGGATCGAAAAGAGAATTTGGGAGGAACAACTTCATGCAGAGGACAGTGAGATTATGGTTCAATCAAATCGTATACATGCATTCAAGAGGAAGCTAGATTTTCACATGACGGAGAGGGGAACAGAAAGCTGTGGGAGGGAGTAAAGGAATGTGTGGTGGCTGGTCTGGAGTGTAAAGACTGGCACGGGCGAGTTGGGCTGATTGTTGTACATTCCCTGATGTACATTCTTTGTTTTGCAGTGTTAATTCTGTACTACTGACATGCAGTTTACAGTATAAGCTCTTTCACTTCTAGGGAAACAAGCTTATTAAAATTGGTAATGAACTTAGAAAATATATGGGATACTTCAGCTAGCATTGCTTGGGCCGATCTGCTTGATTGGAAGATAGTTTTACGCTGTGTAATATGAAAGCTCATGGGACTACAGATTAATGAATAATTACTCAGAGATTTAATTTGCATTATGCATTCAGGTGTGAGGATTGGGTTTAATTTTTTTTTCTGCTCGTTCCCCAGAACAGCCTCAATTAATCATTCAGAAATAGTACAGGTCAATAGTTTGTCAATGTTAGCTTAAATTACTATTGTTCTAAACCAGTTACTCTGCAACTGTTCACGCTATATTATATTATTATTATATGCTTATTTTGATAATTTTCTAATCTGTTTTCCAGACTGTTGTAACTCTTGCAGAAGCTGGCTGCTTGGATCCAAGACTCTTCTGCACTATGTGTCTTGTAAGCAAAAATGAAACAAATAAGCACTCACTCACTTACACTGCCCTTCTTTATAATACCCTAGCTATAAATCGACAATAACTTGACTCACAACATGCCGCTGAATTGCTCCAATATGTCTCAAGGTGCCTGCCAATGTGTGACTGATATTTCAATATTGGAAGAAATTTGGTTCACTATTACTGCAAGTCGGTGATTCTGCAAGGCTATATTGTCAGTGAGAAGGTCTTGAGGGCTCTGCTAAGATTGAAAAGAGCTGTTGTGAAGAAACTTTTCAAGAAGTCGTTCACTGTTAGTGATCAGCCAAGACGGCACTTTAACAAAATAATTAAAAATTGACACTAGTTTAAACTTAGAATTGTTCAATTTTTTTTAAAAAATCTACAATGAACATAATTGTATGGTGAAATCAGGCTCCTGGAAAGTGCAAAAAAAATCATTTTAATGAAGAAATATTGTTTTAGTAAAAAAAACTTTTAAAAATACTTTTTTTCAGATCCAAAAACCTCTCCGATCTAAACACTGTGTTATTTGTGATTGCTGTGTAGCCAGATTCGATCACCACTCCATATGGGTAGGATGTTGTGTAGGTGAGTCTCTGTCAGTGAAAATTATGTACAACTTGTGTCCACATTAAGGAGGGCTTTTGCACCTGATTATAATCATCATTGGTCTTTCATAATACAAGAAGAGTACAGCTAAACTGCACTCATGCTGAGATGGAATTAATTTGTTACTGCTTAATATTAACACGGGTAACAATCATATTTAACAAAAAAGTGATTTTCTTTGTTACAAAACCTTACAAATATTTTTCAACAGGAGCTGGTAATCACCGTTACTTTGTTAGTTTCTTGCTTTTCCTCTTCACAACAATTATCTGGATGACATATGGACACATGACATGTAAGTAATTTTCTTAGGATCCTGTTCACATTATTAATAAGTGTTCATCACAATATTCAACATTGAACACAGGTGTTTGACTTCATAAGAAATGTGAAAGCTGAATTTTATTGAGCTTGATGCTTTATTTCCCCCAATGAATGCATAAAATAAGAAATGCAGTGGATAAAATTGGAAAGTGACATCTCTCCCTTTAAATAACCTTGCAGTGAAAATCAATCTATATTTCTTGGGTTCAGCATATTGATACTTTGATCATTCTTTTGAGAGGAGAAACAATAAAAAAGTGTGAAATTAATAGCCAAACCTTTGCAGACTTGTCTTTTGGTTAATTTGCAAATTATTTGATGTAGAAAATAGTTATTTGCGAGCGATTACAAGCTAGTGATCTGATGCAGAGCTCAGATTGTGTTCACAGGCCTTAAGAATTGAGTCTGAGTATTGTACAGTCATCATTGGAAACCTGACTTCAAGTGAATGGATTGAAATTGCTATAACATTTTTTTATAATATGTATGGTTTCGTTTCCTGTGAGGTTATGGATCAGTTTCTCGTTCTTCGTTGGTTCTAGCAAACATCTATCACAAGAGTGTTCCTTCCTCAGATAGCTTTTGATATGTGATTTCTATGCTGTCACTGGTCCTTACATCAAACACAAAAAAAATCTGCAGTTTATAACCAAGGAATAAAATTTGAATCCAGTTGATTATTAAGTATTTATTATTGCCAAGGTATGGAGATGCATTGTCTTGCTAATACTAATATTGCATTAATCGTATGTGCATTGAAATATGATCTGTTCCCCATGTTGTAGACTGGTCCACACATTGTGCAACAACCTACCAGCAGAACGGCCTGTGGACATTAATGACAGAAATTGTTTCCTGCTCTGCTTGGCTAGTTTGGATCTTTCTACTTGTATTGTTTCACGCTTCCTGGGTGATTTTCATGTTGATAAACCAGCTCTATCAGGTAAATTAGAAGTTATAGAATTGTATCATCTTGTTAAATTGGTGGTAAATCTCGCCTATGTTCTGCATCACACCTAGTATGGACATTGGAACATTATCAATCACCAGTACATGAAAAAAATAGACAGCATTTGCATTGAGCTGGCACTTCTTTATAAATGATACCTTTTGTGATTTTTTTTATTTTTTTGCAAAATGGAGCGTTACAAACCAAAGAAGAACCTGTCTCGTTATTTTCCTCTCACATACCATGAAAAGGACAAGGCAATCCCAACATCATTACTGTTGATGTTTTCAAATGGTAACGGTTTAATCTTATTATACTTCATCAAAACAAAGTCAGGTTTGATAACTCGTTATTTGAAAAAAAAGATTGGTGACTAATTGACGCCTACAAGCAATAGGGTATTTCAGTAGTAAGTAGAACCCACATTCCATCATTAAATCGTCATGGGTGGATAAGTCTGAATGGCCTTAAGTAATTGAAATATCAGCATCTGTTCGTTGTAAACTTCATACAAGCAGTGATCTCTCAACTTGTCGTTGCACTGTTCGCGTTTCTGTTAAACAGGCTTAAACAATTTTGGGGGGGATCTGCCATCTTCAATAGTTTTCAAATACTGAGCCTGGATTTTTTTTGTTAAAATGATAAATCTCCTTAACTTGGTATATTCGAGGCAATTGTTTTCTTTACAGTCGAATGTAATTAGCAAAGTTCCTTTTGTATGAGACTTTACATTGGATGTGCGTACATGTGTACAACAGTTAGAAACATCTTAGCTATTATTGCTGAATAGGAACCATTAGCTTTACTTTGCAGTGTGTATTTTGAGACGTGCTTGGTTTGCATTTTGGACAAGTCCACAGTGGAAATTCAGTTGATCATACATTGCCATATATGGCATGAAGAAAGTCAAAATCTTCAACAAAACCCTCTCCCCCCCAAACTTCTGTTCAGTTTTGTGACATGAGAAGTGGAGTATAGGACAGGGCAGCAGTAAGTGCGCTGCAATTGACCTCAGTATCCCTGAGGTTAGAGTGAAAAAATTGGCTAGAGTTCTCTTTCCTAATTAGTATCAGATTTTATACATATATATACAAAACTCTTCAACGTTTGCAAATTGACTTTCTCTCTCTCTCTCTCTGCAGTTTCCCTGATCTAAAGGTCAGCGTAATTTAAAATCTGGCTCTAAATGCAGAGAGTGGGTATAATTTTTTTTCTAAATTGAATGTATTGCGGACTTGTACTTATCATCTTTAATAAGAAAATAATTTGGCAGTGGGCTTGTTTTTACAATGATTAAGTTAGTATGGATAAAAATTCAAGGTTTTTGAAGGAGTTTTTGAGGATAAAAATCTGTATTCTTACAAAGCAAACATTTTCCCTCCCTCCCTCCCCAAGGCTTTCTTTTGATGGTCAGATTGCTCTTGTGTGCTTCCATCTACAGCTGATGAACTAACATTTACGTTTGAGAGAACATCTTTTCCCAACCTATCATTCCTTTGTTTGCCAAAGGACATAACTGTTCTGTAGAAGCCCTGTATTTTAGATCAGGACTGTCATTTTTTTTCTGTATCTATTTGCCGTTGGAGAAATCTGTCATTTAAGTGTTCAATCTTAATATGTTTTAAGAAAGTTCACAGAATTTGCTTGTTCCCTTTTGTGTAGGTGATGTTTTATACCACTTCAGTTCAAAATGCCTACTGGCAAATGATAAGAAACATATTAATCCTTTGCTAACGATGTGAAGGTGTCTTTTGCCAAAGGAAGTACCAATATTATAATAATAATAATAATCCTTGCATTTGATATAGCGCTGTTCATGTCTTCTAGACGTCTCAAAGCACTCCACAGAATAGACTGTAAAGTGAATTGACTGTATATTTGTGGGTGAAACCCGGCAGCCACTTGCGCACAGCAGTGTCCCACAAACAGTCGCGGATTGAAAATGACCAATTTATTATTTTTTTGGTTTTGGAGGGATTATTGTTAGGCTCTGTGTGGAGTAAGGAAACTTGCCCAAGGTTGAACCCAGGTGTCTCGCTTGCAAGGCGAATGCTCTAATCACTGAGCTACACGACTCCAATATTGGTCAGGTAGTCCTGTCTTCCCCAGTGTCAAATTAATTCAGATTAGCTCTGATCTGAAATGTTGGCCCCATTCTACAACAACAACAACTTATATAGCACTCTCCACGCCAGGAGGCGTCTCAGAGCGCTTATATGGATTCTAGCAAATGGGTGGAAAGAGGAGTTGTACACAAAATAGGTTTCACGTGCAACTCTTTCAGCAAACAGAAGGGGGAGAGGTTATCCCATGTGTTATTCTTCTTTTGCATTGTTTCGTACTGAAATGTAATTTGTAGTCCAATTTGTTAACCGTTACAGTTTTGTTTTTAAAACGATAGACTGTTTATAACACCATTTTCAAAGAAATTTGAAAGACCCGTTTGTTGTATTTAGATTTTGTATTTGGGGGTGACAAGCAGTGAGAGGATGAGTCTGGTGAAGCATTCACATGCTGGACATTCTCTTGGGATTCGGCAGAACCCATTCAAGTGAGTACTGTGCAGAAAGTGTCATAGGAATCGTAACCAGCATCGCCAGTCGTGCCTTTCAATCCCAAATTGCATTGCAGCTGCAGAGCACAGGCGATCCCTAATTTGTGGATCTGAATAGCATTTATGGCCCACATCCCTTACTGAACCTGCGCATTGACAGATGCATCAGACACACTCTCCGCCGGCCAGAAATAAACGGCAGGAACAGAAAGCAGTAATTAGCACCGCTGTCTGCAGGCCTGCTGCCCTGTGAGGTGTAAAAAAAAATCACCTCTTCAAGCGCCGCCAGCAATGCTCTACAAATATAGTGATGGTCTTTGTTTTCCACAATTTTTACTTTAGAACCCCCCCCCCCCACTCCCCAATTGATTATGGCTATCTTGTTTCATATAACCTGCTTCAGCTGGAAAGGGGGAGATGTGTAACGCATGAATTTATCCGGATTTGTGATGCAGTTACTGCTGTGTAATTTAGTTAGCTAACAGTGAATAAAAATATAATGTGCTACATTTGTCCTCCCCCACCATCTCCCCACCACTCCCTACCATTCATCCCCAATCATCTTTGGCTATAATCAAACAAAAGTATTTTTTACAAATGTTATTGTTTATGAGTCCTGAATTTTTACACTGATTTTTATTTCTTAGTCGTGGCTGTTTCCAGAATCTGGTAGACTTCTTCCAGTGTCGTTGCTTAGGACTGTTTAAGCCAAATAAGATCGACTGGACTCAACAGTACAATGTGGGTTTTGAACAGCCAAAAGCAAATGGATTTGAGTTTGTATGAACAGTGCTATGATCCACCAGCAAATACAGTCTATTGATGTATATATTGTTTCTATTCCGTGTATTGTTTCTGGCTAACAATAAAACTAGAACAAGTTTTTTATTTACTGTAAAACAACTTGGATTTTGTTGGCACCCTTCGCATAGGATAGCATCTCGGAACAAGTGAAGAATTTTAAAGAATGTGAGATTGCAATCATTTGGTTTGTAAACTTCTTGAAGGTTTCGGTTATGCAATTCGTTAAATCTGTATTGCAAGGTATTTGAAAGGAGAACATTTATATATTCATGTCAGATTACACATATTCATTCCATTGTTAAATCAGAATACTGTGGTACGATAAAATAGTTAATTTTGTTCTTGAATGTTTTATTCTACAAATGTTATTAGAACTTTTCAGGAAGGATTTAATTGCTTTCTTTAATTTCAAACGCTTTCTAATGTTTATCATCATCATTTTCATTATTATTACCTGTGATCATTTAAACTTGACATCTGCATGCTTCTGCCCCTTGATGAATATTTATTTTTTCTAAGAACAAACTGTTTAAATTATAATTACCTTTATGACCACCATGGGAACCAGCACACTTTTTGCTCACCTGAGAGAAATTTGGGATTTGTAAATGCGAGGGGGAGAGGGAATCCCCATTATGTGTTCAGAATGAAGAGTTAATGCACATGAATGAACAGGATACGTTAGAGGTTATAAATACTGTTTATAACTGCACTACAATTGTTGCTGATATGAGTTTTATGCTGCTGAACAGAGTGTGGAGTGGTTAGGTGAACTGGTTTGTATTCTAATCACTTTCTGGGGATTAAAAAGAACTTAGTGCAACTGAGCATATGCACAAAATATCACCAACTTGCACCCAGTGCTGATGATATTTTTAATGTTATTGAAGACCTGGGATGCCATAAGTTCTTTAATTGCTAAAAGTTAAGAGTGACCTGGACTTTGAAGCCTTGTATTTTGAGGTTTTGATGTTTTTGTGTATAACTGCAATCCAAACCTGATTTATATTACAGCAAATTTGATTCCTCAAGTGATTACTGAATCCAATGTTCAGAATCCAATGAATGCCAATAAAATCGATTTTATGCAGCACATTTAGTGTCAATTTGATGTGAATGATTCAATAAACTAGTTCAAAATTGTTGTGAGCACCTATACAGACTGTTAGGCTAATAAATTGTGGGGCACATTGGCTTTAGAAAAAGGTTCAGATCCCATGCTGTTAGGGGGAACACCAGTGAATATAAATTCTAAGGTCCAGTACTCAAATAAAAATTGGATAAGAACAAACTTATTTGAATTCAGTACTTTATTATTAATAATAATCCCTGCATTTGATTATAGCACCCTATCGCAGCAATGTCAAAATGCTTCACAGCGTATTCTGTAAAGTGTAGTGACCATATATTTGTAGGTGAGCTTCATTGCGTAGTTTAAAAGATCTGAATAGGTTGAATATCTAAAATAAAATCTAGCCCTAAAACAGTGTTTTAATTACACAGAGCACTCGATTGTGTTGGTGGAAAAATGCTTTGTTTAATTGAGCCTGATGTATTGATGTAGTGGAGGTAATACCTTCAATACAATTAATTAATCTCCTCCAGAACAAACCTCTGCTTTGTTAATGAATGCACTTCATAATGGAAGTGCTCAACAACTCTGATATTTGATTAAATGCCCTTCATTTCATGATGGTAGTGTGCTTTTAAAGATGCTTCAAGTAGGAAACTAACCGCAAGATTTCTTTTTAAGTTTTATATTCAATGTTAATAAAACGCACTCGGTGCTTTTGCAGCTTCCAGATGTTTTTTTTTTCTGGGTTTCTTACATTTCTATAAATTTGCAATGAATAAAAAATATTAAATATTAACAGTAGAACGTTTTATTGTTCACTATGTCGAAATACAATTCCTTTCAAAGTCTTTGTGCAAAAATGCAATGACATCCTTTAAAAGTGTATTTTTATATGAAATCATTGTTAATCCTGAACTGTCAATAAAATATATTACATTTTAGTCTCAGTCGACATTCAGCAATGACATTACTCAAAAAGGCCATCCAAGTTTTGCCATCCAAATGAAGGTGGAAATCTGTGTGTTACCCTCTTCTGACACCTAAGTGTATTCTTGTTAGGTGTATTGGCCAATATCATTGATAGTATTGATCTATGTCCAAGTGCTGGGCCATTCTACCTAACTCACTGAGGAAGGACAACAAATGAGAGTAGGGTGAGACTTTTGAAAAAAGAAAAGTACAGCTTCTAATTATTTGTGACCTGGTCAGTGCTGCGCATAATAATACTGATCCTTGCATTTGATATGGCGCCTTATCGCGTCTTCGAGAAGTCTCAAAGCGCTTCACAGAACATACTGTAAAGTGAATTGATTGTATACGTTGTGGGCGAAACGCGGCAGCCAATTGCGCACAGCAGCGTCCCACAAGCCGTCGCGTACACAGGCGTATGATCCTATCCACTACTTCTATCCGGTACTTTTTAAAAAAAAATATTCTCATATATAAACCAATTTCAGATAATGGCAGCACAAATTGGCAAAGCAATGCGTGTGTGTGCGTGTCCTGGCTGCTCGCCCAGCTCATTTGTCTCTATTTCCAGTCCATCAACGTTGCTACCTGACAGCTCTTCCACAGTGTATGTTAAACCCTTGTAGAAAACAAATTTCTAGCCTTCAATCATTGAAAGAATTAGCCTTTCCCAATTTATTTTTTGCACTGAATAATTGTTCCAGCGCATTAAAACCTTACAATTACTTCAAACAGCTGTGTCGTACATCTTGCACTGTGACTAAATGCAACTGAAATGTGGAACGAATCAGAACTCTGAAATTATTGTAAGGTCCTGAAAATTTGACCAAGTACTAATTGCAATGCAAAATAATCAGTCGGCTTCATTTGCATGTGTGGAAATTATTGCTTATCAAGCAGTAAGTGCCATCATATGAGAATGATAAATGATGGTTAAACAACAATGTTATATAGCGTAGAATGCATCACAGAGCAGTATAAAGTAGGTCAATAGAAAGTAAAAAAATCTAATACTGACATACTCCACTTAGATTCCGTGTCTTGACGATTATTGTACAGATTTTACCATTCACATCTGCACGAAGTTGCATAATCTTTATTTCAATACCGTACACTAAACGGCTAAACTTAATTTAAATGGTGTCGCCGTGAAACCTACAGTAATCTGATAATCAATATAGATTTACAGTGAACTGGTTAAGTGCTTAACCAGATTTGACGGTCTTTGAACCCATCCCTAGACGTGGCCCTGATAACAATGTTTTGCTCAGAATTAAATCACTAACATTGTGTTTTCATTTTGTACATCCTGATTGATCAATTGAGTTACGATTCAATCAATAGTAGTATTTCAACATGTGTTGAAACTACAGTATATACTATTCTCTCTGTATAGATTCAAAATTCATTCAATACAATACTCCATAATGGCTAAATGGTTTGCAATATTCCATTAAAGTGTTTTGCACAGGATATTAGGTATGAAAGCTGATATAAAATAACTCACCTTGCAGCAAACTGATAGACGTGGAGACAAATTAGACACAACCCCGATCAACGTGTCATTACTGCCTTCGATTTGTCACAACAATATTGCGTTTAACTGCTTAATACCAGAGCTATTGTGTAAATATTTCACTTCTGACGCTGAACGTTTGATACCAATTACAACATCAGAGAACAAGTCGTACAACATTATCTCCTCAATGTAAAATAAGCTTTTCCAAATTGTCATGTAATCAAAATGTGCACAGAAAACTGAAATTATGAATTGCTGAAAATATTTTTTTGGGGGGGCTGCACAGTGTGTAGATGCTAAATGATGCAGGATTTGTAGCATAGAATTACATACATAGGATTACATAAACCATTTAACTCAATTCATCCATATACTCCACATGATCCTCCGCCCCTCCAAAACCCCTCTCCCTAACCTTCTCCCTACCGTTATATTCCCTTCTCTCTCATGCATGTCTCCATCATATACCGTGTTGATTCTTAACCAAGGACTTAAGGAAGATAATTCAACTTCGTAAGAGCATCAGCTTGGAGTTCCATCGGCGAGAAGGCACAGTTGTTATTTCCTTTCAGATGCTGGGGTTGGAATGCTCAGGTTGTGGAGTCCTGTAGCTATGAAATATTGGCCAAGTTTACTCACTCCACACGCCTCTGTTTACCGAGCTAGTAAGTAGGAACCTGGTTATTAATCGATTGGCGGATCGCTTTTCTGCGAATAGTAATTCCTGAAAAAAAAATTGGTCACTTCAATCCACGACTGTTCGTGGAACGCTGCTGTGCGCAATCGGCTGCTGTGTTCCGCCCACAAAATCTGCGGTTAATTCGCTTGACAGTATATTTTGTGAAGCGCTTTGAGACGTCTCGAAGATGTGATAAAGTGTTATATCAAATGCAAGGATTATTATTATTATTATTACTCTTGTTCACGGTTTATTTTCAAATTTCTATTCTCTGAGTTAGCGCAGTATCCTGTGAATACCGATGCCTGGAGAGGCAGGTCACTTGCCACTCACACGCACACATAGAGCAAACAGAGGCCTCGCCAAAATCTTCAGAACCAACTCGTCCGAAGGTGAGACCCTGAGCACAGGCTTTCAGATTGAATTGTTTTTTTCATATTTAGCCTCGCCAATTAGCTTTGTCCTTCCATGTATCGTTTTAACTGGCACTTTTAAACTTTCATTCATGATGAACTAATCTCTACAAGTGCACAGTATAATTTGATTTGTGATCAAACAGTCGGTTGTTTGGGCAAAAAGAAGCAAATGCTTCGCCAATGTTGCACTTCATGTTATCGGGAATGTGTCACAAATTCGAAAGGAAAGAACATTTGTGTTCTGTTGCAGGCGAGGATAGATGATTCCGTCTTCTTTATCAGTACAGCATCAAAGTCCCTTGTGACGGAACAATTAATCAACCAGATATGAAAATGGAACAGGAAAGAAATGAACTTTCTGTGAAATATGAGAGTGCAATATGAGTCGATAGAAGGCCAGATGTTTATTGCTTCAACTGCAGCTTGTCCTCATGGACAAGATGCATTATGCCATTACAAGCTTCTGTTTCTGTGCTGTTTTGATTAAATGAGTGGCTGCTGAAGTAATGGATGACATAACTTTTGCCACTATCTGTGCTCATAAATAATCAGATACATAGAACATTAATGATCTGCCTTTTAAATTGACTGAATTCTTCAGAGCTGCTGGGCAGAAGGTTAGCGAGTACATTTTTGGATTGCGCCATTTATCACCCGATGTTACATGCGAAGGGGAGTGCGAGAATGCAGCTTCTGCTTAATTATACAGTGCAATATTACATAAAGGTCAATCATGACAGGGACACGTGATGGATTTCTTAACACTGCATATCGAGGGAAGAGCAGATAATGGTGGCGCGATTACAAAGCTAATCTAATCAGGAGAGATTCAGATGACAAAGGCCATAAGAATAGAAGCAGGTGGGTGGGGGAGGGATCCGATAATGCTCACGATCTTCACATAACCACGATTAGAATACAGCTTTGCAATTAACTCTTAACTCGTCTAACTCTTGTTGGTACTTTTCAAGCATGAACCCAGACAGTGAGTGCCAGCCGGTTATGTGACAGCGTGACAATGGAGACTGCAAACACATTTTCGACTGGATTCCAATCAAGGGAAGGAACCCTATTTATTTTTCCTTCCCCGGCCAAAGAGCATTGAAACTGGTACAATAAATGAACGGACCCGGGTCCTTTTTCGACTGCATAGCTCAGCCACACGGCGCACGGTGCTTTGACCCGCTGAGCCAGGTGCAAAAACACTGAATTTAAAAAAGGAGCAAATGAAAATGTTCCTGATGTCACGTAAACAATAATAAAAAAATGATTTATATTGCTGAATTTAATAATAATCGTTGCATTTGATTACAGCGCCTTATCACGTCTTCGAGACGTCTCAAAGCGCTTCACAGAATATACCGTAAAGGGGAGTGACTGTATCTTTTGTGGGCGAAACGCTATTGATTGATGAATAAAAGTTATCGATGAACTGCACATTTTTATTCTCACAGATGTCTGCGGTAAATAGGTAGCTAATGCCAGCATTATGTGACTATTACAAAATAGTATAAGAAAGCTTGCAAATGTAATTATTGTTGGTTCACAGGGACATTCCAGATTGTCAAGAGTTTGTGTTCAATTTCATTGCCAGATAGTGGTACATCCTGTTATGATTTTCCTTGACAGGAACCTCCAGGGAAAACCATTTTTGGGTCTGACTGGTTCTTTCCCTTGTTGCAATTATGTCAGTGCTTGCTGCGCTTCAATGATCAAGATCCACTGGGACATATTAGCTGACGTAAGTTTTTGTCTAAACCAACTGATCATGGTTCACGCAGAGCACAGCAGTTACAGAGTTTAATGCATTATTACACTGTGTCATGTATTGTTACAGTACGTGACACACTATTTTGTATTGTTGCCTCAGAATAGGCTGTAATGATCAAAAATTGAAGTGCAGCAAAACTACAACACACAAAATTGTTTGCCAGAAGCAATCATCGGTTTATTTAGAATTCTATAAGCGTGGAGTAATAGAGGCCTTTATACATTTACAATGGGGGTAAAAATCAATATGGTAACCAGTTAAGTGCATCCCTTTAATTCAACAAATGATACCTTACTCCAAACAGCGTGTAAAAAAACATCAAAAGCTACCTTCAAAGTGAATAATAAGCGTTATGTTACAATGGATTTGTGAAAGTACTAATGGGCGATGTCTGACATTGCCGGTGAATTATTGCTTTTGATGTTTCATTACTCAGATTAAAGGTGTGTGACCGAGTGTCATGGGATGGATGACTAATCACAGCCTCTTTTGAAATGATGCATCAGCATTTAGAGGACCTGGAGATAAAGGCGTAGTGGTTGACGATGAGTACTTTGTCCTGGGAGAGGGTTGCGGTGGAATGCAGGCCATCTTCTTTTACTCAGTGCTGGGTAACGGTACACTTGTTTTTCCATGCCCAAGTCCTTTAGGGCCAAAGTTCCTCGCATAACAAGCTGCAAATGTGGTTTTAAAAAAACAAAACAAGTTAATGAAATAATACTTGCATTTGAATCAGAGCTTATTATATCAAAGCACGGCAAAGAAACGCGCACAAAGAGTCACTTTGAAGGCCAGTCATTTGTGTTAAGTCGCCCAAAAGAAAGGTAACGTTAAAGTCTGTTTGAAAGCAGTCCATCACGAACTCGAAGAGCAACTTTTGATCAGCTGCGGGCGGGCAAGTTTTGTGAATATCTGACGGTTATTGTTACGGAATCTCGAACCACCCCCGCAATGCTGAGCAGGCAGATTTCACAACTGTCTGGATACACCACTCCTTTAGGCGGTTCTGAAAACACAGATGAGGCATCGCAGGCTGTGTTATTTAAACCAAATGTGAGTGAACATGAACAGTCGCCTGCAATGGTGTCAGTGATGAGTGTCCACCCCAATCATGTCGCCCCCGGAAGCCAATTATCACACACCACATAGCTCCACAAACTCCACTTCCAGTAGTTGGATATTACAGAAATCCACAGGGATCGAAACGCACGGCATTTCTGCTAGGATTGATGGTTGTAATCAATCCAATGAATAGTTCCTCCGCGAAGCTTCATTCGAATCTCTTCTGAGTGTTTTGGAATTTAAAGGAACTCTCCTCAGCCTCACCTTTACAGTAGATTTCTCCATCTTTGTCAGTGACTGTCGTAGATTCCAGGCTCTTGCCACACAAGGCGCATCGGAAGCAGGTTTTGTGCCAAAGCTGTGAGAGAAAATGGGGTGGGGGGGGGGGGCAAAAAAAAAATATGTGAGAGAGTGTCAGGTAATTTCCTTTTATATCTTCAAACCGTCATTCTCATAATTCGTGCTTTGTTTGAAGGGACATGATTTTACAGTCAAACCTGTCAAAGCAACCACCCGCTTTCAACAACCTCCTTGGAACAGTCCAGACCGAATTTCCATAATAAATCAACCTATTCAGCAACCACCTCTACTCTGCAACCAATGGCCACTCTTTTCAAGCCTTGGCAATGTACTGATACCCTTTTCAGGGGCTAGATCTGCCCTGGTGGGCTGCTCAGCACAGCATTAGCCATGCGCTAGGAGTCCAACCAGAGTGTACACGGGGACTCTTGGACAGTTGTGGCCTGCAGCCATCCCATTTAAGGCGGATCATGGGGTACGGCATCGATAACAGAATCTAGACACTCTAACATGAAGTGAGTGCTGGCTTCATGCCTGGGATAGAGAGCAGCCGTGCGTCAGTTTTATCATCACGTTGGGACACCAATCCAGTGAAACAACACAAATTGTGACACCGTAAGCTTCCACTCATCCTAACCCCCTCTATTCCCTCCTCCATCATGCGTGTGCTCTCTGTGAGAAAACGCCTAACCTCTGCTCGGCTGATGGATGGCAAACTGGGAAAAGCATCACTTGGGGGAATTGGTGCTAACTCGTATCCTATCATTGCATGTCACACACAGTGCGTTGTTGCACAAATGTAAGCCTATCCTGCCCTACATTAAAACATTTATTTTTAGCTCCTTTGGGATTGAGGTTGCAAAGTCCACATTTTCTGGCTGATTCTCTGCTGGATGTTTTCTTGCTCAGTGCTGCACAAAGCTGATTCCCCCTCTCCCCCACCAACTCCCCCCTCCCTCCTCTCTCTCTTTGGACATTTACCTAAAGACATTTTCCCAGTGATTGACGTTTTCACTTGAAATGCAGGAGCAGATTGCTGTGCCTTTGGCAGCTAACACAGAAAGGCAGCAGCTTCCCGGAGGCTTTCTGCTAGCCTTCAAATTACAAAACTCTTGTGGCTAATCTTGTCAAACCGTTAATGGATTTGTTTTGCATACTGTGTAAAGCTCGTGACGTGCTCTCTTGTGAAAACATATACAAGACCACGGCACAACTATAAACTCCATGGCTTCCAGTGAGATGCCAGAATCAGTTTTTATTTGGACATGCTCAGTAGGCTGTCTTAAACAACATTTATGTGAGGAATTGGAAATCCTAAGCTAAAAGCTTCATCTGTCATTTATCTCTCTTTTGTCTCCTTTGAGAAAGAAAATGAGATGTTAATTTAGCTCTTAAAGTCCCCAAAGTGCACATCTAGAAACATCTACAACCTGCAGCCCAATGTTTATGCATGATTTCAGAAGGCAAAAATTAACACTGTGAATTAATAGGGTGTCGGCCTGGCTCAGTTGGGAGCAGTGGGGGGGGGGGGGGAGCGAGGGACATGCTGTATTGACAGAGGTGATGTCCTTTAGATGAGAAGTTAAATTGAAGTTTAATCTGCCTGTTTAAGGGGATGTTAAAGATCCCACAACATTATTTGAAAAGGATATTTCTCTTGGTGACCTGGCCAACATTTTACATGAATTCTTCATTGGATCTGTGCTGTTAATTGGGATTCATTCCAAACTGCAGTGTGAATGTACTGCTCTGCAGCATATGATTCATTCTGATGTGACATTTCGTACCTTTCCTCCGCCGATCACCTTCTCAGCTGCATAGACGGATTGACTGCATCGTGTACACTTCTCTGCACCACCAAACTTCTGAGCAAATTTGGAGGGGTTAGGAGCTGAAGGTTGACTAGGCTTTGCCCTGGGGGTGGGTGAAGGGGAATCAAATGAAAAGGAAATGTTAGGAAGAGGTTCATGAAGAGTAAGAGTGACTGTAGTCACTGTGTAAATAATACAAGTAGCAATATACTTTACAATACAATTTACCTTTATAAATCAAGTTTCGCATTGGGAGGAATGTCTCAAAGTGCTTTTCACACCCAAGCTGGGTGGAGAAAGATGACTCAATCAATCCTCATTATTTGTGAAATTTGTAGTGAAATTTGTGGTGATTTGTAATCAAGTCAGTTGTTATCAAATTTTGAGTTGCAAATAGCAGTTGCTGAAGGCAGCCAGTAATGAGTCAAGGTAACCCATGGGAGCTCCGCAAACTACCGCGAGGCTCATGAGAACAATAAACAGTGCATTGATCAGTTGGATTGTTCCTCCATTCGTGTTAGATTTTTAACACTTACCCTTGTTGGACGCCCAGATTTTCCTCAGGGCCGGAGCTGAGGGCACCAGCACCTTGACCATAGTCGTAGCCCTTCGGACCATATTTCTTGCCATAACAAGACTTGCAGTAGATCTCGGCTTCGTGGGCAGCAACTGTGGTGCTGTCCAGGGCCTTCCTACAAGTCACTGAATGGATAAATGAATCTTTTACAAAGTAACATAGTTTGGTTTAGAGTATCTGAAGCTATTGTTGCAGGATTACTTTTTTTCTATCCCACTGATATAACTCTGCAAGGTCTCTTCTCTGTACTATCATTAACTTTCTGATCCTTTGTGTATACATCTATGCTATTTCTCTAACTGATTTATTCATAATCCCAGTTTCGAAAAGCTTAATTATATGCAGGTCACTAACAACTCAAATTGAATGTTATGAAACTGACGGGTGACGAACGTGCAAGTCAGAAGAATTCATGGGCAGAATTCATAGGCAGGAAAGCAGTTTTTGTCTACTGAAAATATTTGTACAACTTGCACCTTCACGTAGAATGAATAACAATGATAATCCTTACATTTGATAGAGTGCCTGATCACATTGAGACGTCTCAAAGCGCTTCGCAGAATATATTGTAAAGTGCAGTGACTGTGTATTTTATTCACAATGGCAGGGTTGAACCCTTCATAACTGCAATTAGTCATATTATTAATGGAAACTATGACTGAGCATTCCGATTAATATTATCCAGCTACTTCCAGCAATATGCAAGTGATCTTTAATAACTATTAGCCAGTACAACGTTAATGGAAATGTGGATAGTAGGTAAGGAATGTCTAAATTTAGGCGCTGATAGGATAAATCTCAAATTACAATAGGTACAAGTAGCTCTGAATGTTTAAAAGATTCAACAGCTCTGGGACCCATCATCTCCTGAAAACAACAGCTGGTCACACAAAGTGAATCTCAAGTCATGATGTGCTGCCAAATATCTGTCACTGCCTTGTTCTTCAGAGGGCTTCAACTGCGGAGAGAGAGGGAGGGAGAGTCAATAAACAAAATGAACTCACTGCAAAGAAAGCAGGTCTTGTGGAAACTTCTGCCGTTGCACTGAATCTCCTCGGCGTGGTACGCGGTCCTCTCGCAAGCAGCACATTTAGCTCCACCGCCCCACTGTGGCATCGCGCCAGAATCTACAAAACAGGCAGCGATAAAGCGCAAAGCTTAAACAGATACTTTGAAACCAAGGGAATTAAGGGGTTTGGGGAACAACCCAGGAAATTAGATGAAAAGATCTGCCGTAACGCCATAATAAACTGATGGTTTTAGCCGGTTGGACTCCAGCAGCACATTCCATTCCAACAATCTACCTCTGGGATTTCCATGTGTAGGTGGGATCCAGGGAAATCTGAGCTTGGTTTGGATGGTGATGGGTTTCCGCATGTATCTGTTCTGAATCAACGTTTACAGCACTGATTTATGATTTATTGATTGATTAACTCATTGGTTTACAGGAGTGAAGTGATTGAAATTCCAAATGAATGTACTGTAATGTGACAGGAAGGAAGACAACTGGTCACTTTCTTTGTTTTCTCCCCACAACATTCTGCCCCAAAGATGTTGAACCAATAAAATTAGCCACTCGATTTATTTTTGGAGCCTGTTAACAGCCCTGGTTATGCATTCTTCTTTCCACAGTTGTTCCCTCTCTTTCCATACAAGGCCAATGTATCTCTGAATAGTTAAAATAGCACTGTTGTTTGTCACGAGCATTGAATAGCGTTTTAACTGTCCCCATTCCCTCCAAAGCTGTGGCACTAGCATTGACATTAAAATAGATTGCTGTGTTCATGCAGTGACTTTTATTGCTATAAAATTCATGTCCTCCAGGCCTAGAAATACAATGCATTTGAATCGGTTAGGTACAGATGTTATTCGTGATTATTCAAAACTATTTCAGAACGTTATTAACAGTGTTATTATGCCTCTCGTGTCTCTTCAGCTCTTTTTCTAGCTTCGATCCCTGAAGTATTTGTCAAAGAAATTGACTTAGTTTTTAGATGATACTGGCGCTATTTACAAGCTGCGTCGTGAATATATTTTCCATTTCTTCTTTTAGAAATCTCTCTGTCCTGTTGCTTGAATGTCACAAAATGCCAGTCCGTCAAACACGCATTGTACAATAATCTATTATCGCTTTATTTCAAACCCACTGTGATTCAGTGTATTTTAAATGTCTGTGACAGTTTCTGTCTCCTTTCTTTTACAGTCTTTTATTGGTAGCTTTACAGTTGCATGGCACAAATGTGTTGCTGTTAACTGCAGAGCAAATGACACAATTTGTTAGTCGTGGATTAATTTCAGATTCGAGAAACAAACTGGAGGGATATTTTATAACCAGAATCATCTGCCTCTAACCAACGTCAAACATCAGTTGCTGCTTTAAATTATTTTAACTCAACCTCTGAAATAACTAACATTTTGACAAGTGAGACAAGATCAGTTTGAATTAAATTCAGGGTTTTTTTTTAAATACAAAATTGCTGATGTTTTGTTCCCGTTAGTAACTGCTACATTTATGTTTGAGATTAATTTAATACCTATTTAGTAAAGTCAACGCCTAAAAAAAATCTACGCCTTTGAGTGGCTTTTCCAGGTTTACTGAGTTAATTCAATGAAGTTAGGCGGGTTCCAGGGAACCTACAATTAGCCCCAGTATCGCTAGACAATTTTTTTTCTCCTGATCGCCATTTAGTGATCCTTGATAGGAGCTGTGTGCATGGATGTAGGATAAGGACAGGATCAGGCTAGTCTGGGATACTCCCCACAGTCAAAGACTTGCTAAACAACAACAAAATCAAAATTACATTTGTATAGCGCTCGACAATGTCAAAGTTTGCACATTCAATTAATCACTCGGACCAGCCACAATACCCCAACAGTAGTAGTTGCCCCCTCCGAGGAGAAATGGGAACGTAAACAGAGGATGCAAAAAAATAACATTTCACTCTGATTTGGTTAATATGGTTCATTGATCCATAAAAATATTGATTGAAACACATGTTCAAGTGAACTACAAGAAAAATCCATTCTGTTATCCTCCACCACACTGTTCTACAATTAATTCCATGCGGAACTAAAGCATGTTGTTACAGATTTAGAAATATTGGATAAAATGTAATGAACTTTACATAATTTCAGTAATAAAACTTCACATAGGTTAAAGATCTTCACCATGATTAGTAACCAGATACCAGCCTGTTATCAAACAATAACATTTTGACTTTTTCATATTGGGTTTTATTCAGGTTCCTGCTACAATGTTCGACCCTTCACCAGAGAAGGTCTATTTTTCACAACACAACAAGGGCCGTTGCTCTGCTTCAGTGAGAAAAGCAGATCTCTCGTGGAAGTGATAAGATATCATTGACTGTAAGACCAGACAGACGACCTTTGCCATCACTTCACTGCTCCTGGAGTGGTATCAGCACAAGGGGGAATGTCTGGAATACTTGATAAAGCTCCAGGAATTGTGAGCTCACACGCTAAAAACGATACAGTGCTAATTAAGTTTTTCCTAACACACTCCACTTCGGAAGGTACCTGGAGCTGGGGCTAATTATGCGACTTCTTAAGAGAAAGTCATTATTTCCAATGCAGTAAAGGGAGCACTTGTTAGTAATTATGAGTATCTCATTGATGTCAATAGTGTATTGCTTTTGTTTTGAAATGTACTCGATTCCAAATTATTTAAATTGGATTCATGTGTGCATTGTAAAAACTAATTTTAGGTTCACCCCATGCTGATTTGCTCAGACGGAGGCCTTGATTGCATCTATTCTGTGGGGCTCACATCATATTAAATAGAAATCTCACCGCAGCTAATGTAAATTCCAATAACAGTATGAAATTTCAATTTCACTTATTACTTCACACGCGTTACCAGTTATTTTTTCAAATCTTATTCAAAACCATCCAAGTGGAAGGAATGCTAATTTTGACTGAACTGGGGGTATTTGAGGTGCATCTTGTAACAAATGACAATCAAATGCAAGAATTATTACGAGTGACAATTGCTACAGAGCTGAGTGAAGAAAATCATGAACTTGTGTAATCTCGGCAATATCCTTATCTAACATTTTTACAAAGGTAGTCAGTCTTAAGGTTCAAATCAAGAGGCATTTCAGGGCACAGGTGAGGTACTGGATTGGGCTTGTTTGTCAATATCCCATCCACATCACCAAATAGTCTGTTAGCATTTAACAAAAGGGGGAAGAGAGAGAATGAGAGAGAGAGAGAAACAGGCCCAAAATGGTAAGTGTTGATACCCATAGATCTTGAGTTAACTGCATTTAAATTTAGACTAAGGGTTTATAATATAGGAGACAAAAAAAAATCATTATTCTAACCCGCCTGTCCCACAGTAACCTGGATGTGTGTACACACACAGTATTGCCAATGTTTGTATTCTACGTTGTGCTGCCCTTCACAATCCAGATATTCTCAATACAATTCCAAATCTTTTGTTCCTCCTAACTCCTGTATTACCCTGTGTCTTTACTTGTTACGCTATTATTTTCTCTTCATTCGTTGTCGGTAAATAAAAGAGCTTTGATGAAACCAGATGCCAGTCACTTGCTGTCTGTCCCACGGCTGATGCACAGCCTTATTGATGTGACTTTCGCTATAGCCCAGCTTTAATGAGCTAGGTTTGGGTCAATTAAATTAAGCAGTATAAAAACAGCCATAAAACTACGAAATACATAGCCTTCTCATCCTTCACGCCAACAATGCAGCCCAGCCACGTAGATTTTAATCTTAATTACACTATTGAAGTCTCAGTTGCCTTTTATTGTTATTATTATTATTAATCAAATACATTACATTGGGATTCTGACTTGGAAAATGCTACAAAGGTCATCGGTTTGACGAAAATAACAGCTGGCAGCAGTATTTGAAGCTTTGATACAAGCGAGTCCATTGGAAGAAACTAATTTAAAGCAACTAATGTGATGCAAAAACTGTTTAGACAGGATGGGCTTACCAGTCACCAACAATCCCTGGGATGTGCTCGCGGTGTGTGGCTGCTTATCGATTATTGGGCAGTGACACTAACAGGCTTAAATGCATTTGGGTCGCTGGTTGGGATGGGCTCAACAAGTGACGCGACCAGAAACACTTCACTTAAAATAACTCCTGACAAAATATACAGGATGAAACTAATCTCTCAGGTATCTGGAATGACAAACACAAAAAGGTCCCTGGGTCAATGATGCTGTGACCTAAAAATAGTGCTACACACCATTCTCTCACCTAGTGTGGAATGGGCAATTGATGTGTAATTTATGCTTAAGGAAAGTGATCTTAATAACTGGCGTATTCCCCCAGGATTTATTCAGGTCTATATTTTAATCCATTATAATTTTTAGAGCACGATACATGTCTTGGGCATTGAAATATGGTGTGAGTGTGGGGCGGGGGGGGGGGAGGGGGAGAACTTGTATTAATTCTGAATTTAGAATTTATAAATTCTTTTTCTTTAAATATTGGTGAAAAAAATACGGTTTCAAACGGGAACCTTGGACACAGATAGATGCCTTGTTGATGTCCATCGTAATGCTTTGAATATTGCTATGTAATTGCTTTAATCTGGTTGAAGATGACAATGAAAAATTCATTTTTGTTACAAAATCTGCTTTGTACTACTAAAGCCGATTCAACTCATTACGTTTCTTAAGTATTTAATTATCCATTGTAACACACCAAGGGGATTTTACTCTATTGCCGAAGAATTTCAAGGCGGAATAGGATGTTGAACACAACCTACATAATTGCCCACAATGATCTTTTTATTGTGTCTAATAACCTAGCATTTTTACTCAACAAGAATTTGAGTTCCTTTTTGAAACCCTTTGTAGTTTATTCTTCCACATCCCCATCACTTTTTTTTTATTAAAAAAAAACTCCAGGAATTTCCTATACGCTTTCGGAGTTTTTATTTATCCTCATCTGTTTGCGACAAAGTCCATCTCCCAACTTAGCCCGAATTTCAAATTTGTTTGTTTTGTTGCGTTATGTAAGAATTTTACTGATGTCGGGTTGTATTTGTCTTTCAAGAAATATATATATATCATCAAACCTGTTAAAACAACCATCTCTATTCAGCAACCATCTGCCGTTAACAACCACCTTGGAACAATTCTGACCGAGTTTCCATAATAATCTGCCACTATTCAGCAGTTACTTGTCTTACACAACCAATGGCCACTCTTTCTTAGCCCTTCCTGTGTACTGACACCATTTTCAGTGGCCAGATATGATCCAGTTGGCTGCTCAGCGCAGTATCGGCGCACACTAGGAGTCTAACTGGAGTCAGGGAGATGCAGGCCCATGGAAATTTTTGGCCTGTGGGAACAGTACCGATTTGTATTTTGTAACTGATTCATTACTTTAGTAAAACTTGTTTGGTTTATGGGTTCGTATGTGTGCTGTATTTTTCTATACACTTGGAAATTCTGCACATTAATGAACCCTTAACTCAGAGGGCAAATAAGATAAAAGGCAACTTTGGTCCAGTCCCGAGTGGTTGCTGAAAACAGGTTTGATTGCATCTGATTCATTTTTTTTTGAAAAGGACTATCAGCATAAAGTATATTGTAATATACTGTGCCAAGAGCTTTTAGCTTTCAATAATGAAATCAGTTTTATTCTTTTAATGTGTTTGGTAGCATCTGATTTTGAGTTTAGTAACATTGCACATGTCCATGTAAAACCGAGCAGGCAGAATGATTAACACTCTGGTCCATCTCTCAAGTGCACCTTTTTCATGGGGGAAATCAACGACATAACCAGTGCCGCGAGGCTACGCTATCTGCGCTGTAGGGTATCCCAAGCAAGCCTCATCTCGAATTTGCCCAACACTCGCCAGTAGTTAATGAGGTATTGATCATGTTCAGAGCACCTGACTGATTCCTGAGGTTCAGCTAACTCAGCACAGCATTTTGGACCTTCTGAATTTCATACCATTTCAATTTCATACGAATCTGTTGCCCTACCAACTGAGCAATCATGGGGTCTCTGCCAGTGGTTCTTTCCTCCTGTTTAACTGTGGTGAAGAACCGTGTCCTACATTCAGCACATCATCTTAGAACAGGGCAATTTCAAATACTAAATTAGGCTGTGATTTGAAAATGTGATAGCATCAAAAGGATCTACTTAAACTTTACATCATTATAGGCACAGCTGGTAACTGATGATCAGACCTGTTGGGAGGTTCAATTTACTAGATGTTGGCAGCGATACGTGACTGACAGCAATGATATAGGACAGTTCTGAGATCAAGATACATTTAGGAAACCAAACGACAATGGCTGACCACTTTCCTTTGAACACTGCTCAAAAATACAAACAGGTCATAAGCACCAGTAGAAATTAAAAACTGTACAGATTTATTCTGAACTAGCTAAAAAGTACAGAACAGTATAAATAAATTAGACAGAAACTTGATTTGGCTAACACAAAGAATTTGTCAGCGACTTGGATTTATACAATTTAAGATTTACACATTTTTAAGATATTTTAAATTCCAACAAAGCCCAGAAAATTATCAAGAGGTCAAATTTCTTCTAAACATCTACCGCTTTGAGAAGTGTTGCAGATCCAACATTGTATATGTAAGATCCGTTTGCAATGTAGTTTCACTTAAAATTAATGCTTTAATACAATGCATAAATACAGCACAATATATTACAAGCTACAGTACATTGTTCTTCCTCCAATGCAGCACCTTTGTGTGAATCTATCTACACATTTTTGCACGCGAACAGTCTTTCTGTGATTTGCCTCGCCAGTGACAATGATGCTCTGTCACTGCATTTCTGCCGAGTTCATTCCCCCATGAAAGGGTCTGGAGCAGATCTGCTGAACCTTTGACCAGCAGTAAATTCCATGAACAGACAGCATTCAAAATTCTTTTACGGCACTTTTAAATACAGATACTGTCATGCTAACCAGCTTTAGACAAGATGGCTTTTTTCAGTCAATTTCTTATATTATAAGTAAAAATATTTTTAATGTTCAAACATACTACTTTACATCTATATCACATACTCACGCACACACACATATATATATAAACACACTCTCTTTGCATTGGATTTTTCTGCAAAAACAGAAGGTCACAGTTTGGTCACATCTATGGCTATCTGAACAGTCACATTGGTCCAATGTAAACTTCTCTTTAAAACAATCCCTTTGGGCAATGTGTGCTGCTAGATAATATATAAAGACTATACAATTAAAGCAGAATGCATGTTGCAATTGTGGAATGTACGCCAAAATTGTCAATAACCAAGTAATACAATTTTTAAAAAAAAACTTGTGGATCACTTTAGTAGCTATTCCAGTCACTAAGGATCTTCAGTGCAGACTTCAAGCTTCCTTTGAGGAAAGTGTGCAGTTCCCTGAGGAATTTTACCACTCATGTTGGAGACAACAGTGGTCAATGATGACTGGGTGGAAACTGATAATGGACCTCCTGGAGTGCGGAAAAAGCTCTCCCTGTTGATGGACTGAGCACCTTCTGGTGAAACCGGAAAACTGGACTGTAAATGAAACACATCGAAAAACCGTTCAGGAAAGATATCACTTGCTATCCACGTAGTGTCGATATGTTCCACTAAATGCTACCACTTGTGTCGTCTTTACATTAAGAGCTGTGTCAACAAAAATTGCAATAGGCTCTCTATTAGTGGAGGCTCCATTCAATGTGGAATTTGAACATTGTTGGGTGAATTCTTGCAGGAGTTGATAAGAGGGAGAAATATAAGAGAGTGAGAGAGACAGAACATTTTACTGAAACTATTTTGCAGTTTTCTGTTGTGTCAAAACTTACCTGTTGTATACTGATGAATGTTACAGGTTTTCCAGGCAGCTGGTGGTGAGGAGACACCGGTTTAACTAGAACCATCTTTCCGTGCTGTAGATGTATGGGACTCGCTTGCTCTCGGGAGGCACCAGCCATTACAGGCCCAGGTGTTAGTGAGAAGTGCACTGCAGGATTGATCAAGCCAAGATTCTGCAGCGTGAAATTCAGAATCCCAGGGCTGGGGCTGGGACCAGCAAAATGATGACCTGAAGTGAAGGATGGTCCATTGGTTTGACTTATGACAGGAAGAGAGGCAACAGATGTCGGAACAGCTATTGGGCAATGTAATTGTAGAGGGGTGACATGGGTGGGAGAGAAACTAACTGGACAGGAATCTGAAGTAGTCACTGGAACAACACCTAAAAAATAAGCGATCAGCATCTTAAAAGTAGTGAACAACTTTGAACTACGATCGGATAAATACAGGGTGACCTAAAAGTTGTGATACCATTGCAATGTGTAATACGTCTTAAATGATGATATTTATATATTTTTAGATAATAGGGTAGTTATTATGACTTTTTGGTCACCCTGTGTATAGTAAGAGACATGAACCAATGTGAATAAATTCAAAAGAAGCAAAGATGATGGTCATTGGCAATGCGTTCTCATTCTAAAGTGTTCCTCGAGGACAGCAATTACTTTGTGGAAAATGCACTGAGATCAAGTCTAAAAGTAGTCAGGCACTATTAGTTATACTTTTTCATGTACAAAAACACTTAACTTGTGGCAATCTTGTATGTGTTTTATCTGATAATGTGGCAGCAGGAAACAACTGAAAATAATGTAATCATTTTTATACGTATAAATACTATTCATTTCCTTCACTATTAAATATATCCAGTCCAGCCAACCAACAAGTTAACTAACAATGCGATGTGGTCAAGTTGATTTGCAATACAGAGGTTTTCAGCATCTAAGTACATTACATACCTGATATGGGTGAACAGTGAAGCTGAGGTAATGTTGAACAAATGCAATCCTTTTCCTTCTCGGGAAACCTTGTGCTAGAACTATTGAAAGCTGCTTGTTGTGGCAATGGAATGAGGTATCCAGATGGCAGGGCAGGCTAGACAAAGACACAGACTTTTCATTCTGGGATAGTTACAAGAAAATAAGAGAACAATCTGACACGTTGAGATTGGATAGACAGGACAACTCATTAAAACCAAAGGCCAGTTTCCAAAGCAAAGAATCTCACCTCAGATGCAGAGGACAGATGGGTAGGAAATGCAATCGCAACTGGCACAGCCTTTAACGTGGTGGCTTTTGCTCCCTTTGCTTCTGACAGTACAATTCCACACTTGTCTTCATTCTCGAGAAAACATTCAACACTGTGCTCTAGTGTTTCGCAGTTAAGATTTTTATCTTCTGGAGTATTGACGAACTCTGGGTCGAGATGCAAGGCTCTTGGGGAAGGCCGGTTAATTATTAAGCCCCTGCGGCTCCTCAACCTAGCCTGATGAATCTCAAGAAGCTCAGCCTCATTTGGTGATGGTCCCTTGGTGAAGAAATAATGTTTGAAATATTGTTTTGTAGAGCACAAGCACACAAGGCCATGAGAACCGAGATAATATTCCAAACCATTTGCAAACATAAAAGTACAGCCAGATACCAAGTTCAAGACGTTTCCTGCACAAAACTGCTTTAAGTAACATCTGAAGATTATGCATTTATTATTGTTTGTCCTGTATTTGGAACAAATTTGTCTATAGCCTATACACGAAGGGTGCTATACAAATGCATGTTGCTGTAAACAGTGGGTAGCAACAGGCTAAAAAAAAAAGGAGTGTATCATTAGTTCGGTACAAATATGTCTTTACCCCACATGCACACTTTCCAACAATTGGAGGCTAATGATCAGAAGCAGGAAGTCAAATGGATTTCCTTTATCTATATTGCAGCTGAAATCACACCCCCACCTCGTTCTCCCCCAGAAATCAGCTAACTCAGTGGTGTGTAGGGATTAAACATTCATTCATTTATCCACTGAGCTATGGCAATAACTAAAGGATGGTTACAAATTAAAAGATCTTAGTTTTTTGTCAAAATAAATCAAAAATGATTGCTTAACCTGGATCAATCCTACGTTTTGAGAACAAAGTGTTAATTTACCCGTATTGTATTAGCATCCATGATTTGCTGGCTTGGAGAGATATCCTTTTCACTCTTCAGTATTTTGGGATATGCCAGGTCAGTGGGCTCCCAGAAGGAGGATCGTTTAAGGCATTTTTTGGGGGTAGTTCTATCTTTATTTGCTTGGCCATTTTGTTCTTGAACAGGTTCTTGATTATCCATTTGAGACAAATTAACATCATTTTCAGTCTGTCTACTTGTGTGGTTCTTTGGCTTCAAATCACCAGGCCTTTCAATTGGTTGATCAGCAGCAAAAGTTATGGATTGCACTGTAAATCCAGAGGGATGTGCAGTCAGGCTTCCTGGCTGCGTAGGTTGGAAATATATTGTGTAAGATCCAGAGTGGTTTTGAGGTAACATCACCGGTAAAATAGAAGAATAATGTCCTTGCATTACAGGAAAGACCCCGACAGGATGCACCATTGATTTAGCCTGAGAGAATATTGTTGAATTAACTCTTGAATGTAATGTTGGCTCTACAGGCCCGCAAGCTTTGTCCAGTTTTGACTTTGTTTCTGAGGAAGATGATTGTGGAGTTGGGCTTTTGGGTTCACATTCACTTGTTCTGAGGAGAAAAGTTAACTTCAATCAGACCACTTGCACATTTTTAAACAGTTCAGTCACAACATTTAAACCGCTATTTCCTTTTATATTGTATCTAGAAAATGACTTATCTTTAAACAACAATGAATATATTCTTCCCAGTTGTATTTCTGGATCTTGTGCTATTAAAACTTTCAAACGTGCACAACTCAATGACATATATAAAGATCCAGTTTAATTAGATTTAGATACAAACAAAACAATTACATTATCAGTAAGACCCAGTTACCCAATATCTGCAACAATATTTTAAATGTGGAGGACATTGTACATAATATTTGAAAAAATACACACAACCAAGGAAGTAGTTACATCTCAATCACTTACTTAGATTGTGCTTCTAACTGAAGTTTACAGATTGCAGCAAGCTGGGCCATTTTACTTGGATATAATTCAGGCTTGGCAAAATTACCTAGAAAATGAATGTCAAATTGTGTTGACAGATGATCAATAGCAAAAACAATTTTCATTCACAGGAGGAGAAAACTAAATCCCTCCCCCCTTACTATTCCTGTATGCTGTAAACATACACCGCGAGGACCTTTGGTCACCACCCCTTACAAATCCAATGCAGCTCCATTAACTACCTTTTGTTTCCTCTGAAGTAGCAAAATTTGAACTTTTTTTTTAAAAAAAGCACAAACTCTTGGTTTACAGCCCTATATTTTCACAATCACAACTTTCCCAATGAGCTAAAATCATTTATTACATGTGCAAATATTCAATGTTAATTAAAAACAATTTTGGCTTAATTTAATCTGCTTTGGGAAAGGAGTCCGGGTGCAAACAAATTAATAGTGAGTGATCAAACTACAATCCTGGAGATTTACCACATTTCAAACCCATTCTGAACAAAATATTTTTTTGTCAAAAGAACAGTATGACAGGAATAAGGCACAATTAGGTCAGTTTTAAGAAATGTAAAGTTATATAACATGTAAAGATTTTGAATTCTTTCTAAATACATACTGTAAGATTTTCCAGTTGGACTGGTCGGCGCAGAACTGATCTTCCTCTGGTCGTTCTCTACGTTCTGTAATAAGTAGTTTAAAGATGCATGTCGGGTAAAGCCTTGTTTGGTGCTTGAGGTAGGAAAAAGATTCTTGGCAAACTCTCTCGAAATCTTGGGTGATGGGCTTCTTACCGTGGCTGAGGTAGTTGACGCAATAGACTTCACATCTGGAAAGGTGGTAGGTTATTTAAAAAGTTGTTGGTACATCCATTAACTGTCATTTAACTGAACTTATATGAAATCTGAAGAATTAGGCAAAATAATTCAACCAAGCGATTACATACCATTGATATCTGGAAACACCTCTGGTCCTATCCATTTAAATGCTGGCTTCCTTCCCCTCTCCTCTGCCACATGCACCTTCTTTATAAGTTCAAGACTGGTGAGTACGTTAGCTATATCGTACAGTCGTCTTATCTTAGCTGGAAGGAAAAGGTAATTGTTAGGAGAGTAAGTACTTATGAAATTACAATTCCAAGGATGTTGTACAGATAAAATTTATAATTTTTTAAAAATTTCTCAAATGGTGATCAGATGATAATCATCTTTGGGAAAAGTGTTATAAAGCAATCACTGCTTTATTTTGTATTGACTACAATACAAAATAAATACACAGCATTGCTGTGTAAAACAATGATCTCAACTGTACGGCCACATAAGATCTCTTGCATTAGCAAGGACAACTTATAGTCTACAGTAAGTGGATTGAATTCAAAAGTAACAGTTGTACTTACTCTTAAACTTGTTGTGATCCAAATCTACCTTCTGGTCTTCACCGATCAGGATTTTAGCTGCTATGTCAAGGTTAACCACTCGGGGGTTGGATACCAAGAAGAGCATGACAAATTTCTGACTCATCACTCTCAAAGACTTGTCTTTCCGCCCATTCACTGAAGCTGTAGACAGGAACATTTTTTTTAATTGGGGGTATCACACCAAATGTACATAAATAAAGCAGAAAGAGATTGACAGACATTGGCAGATGTAATCAGAAACGTTATTACCTGCTCTAAACTCCACCCCAGGGAGTTCCACGAAGCACATTTCTTTGTGCTTCACCTCACAATTCCTGACTGCATTTTGCGTCCGCAGCGGCTGTTTAACATGGTTTTCAATATCTATTTCAAACCCATTTTCAAATTCTTTCTTTTTGAATTGCCGCATTTGCTCTGCATACTTTTGATTTTCTCCAACATTCTTCAGTGTCCCTAATGTGTGAGCGAGATTGTGGCGCCCATGCCATGTGTACCGGTTCTTGGCCAGTCGACTCACCATATGTAAACTTTCCAGAACATTGACAATATCATAAATACGTCTTCGTTCAACATCTATTGAAGAAATACATACAATTAAGTTTGTACACATCTTCTATTGAAATATTGACTACTCAATGATGTTTCCACAACACAAGCCCCATTTCTAAAATTATTGGACCAATGTTGACTGATACAGATATTATGATTTTTCTTGCCCAATTCCCTGCCCTGAAGATAGTAATTTATGATTAAGGTACAGATGATTGTCAGAATCCCTCCAGAACCTCAAATGGTTATTCTCCAAGCATGGCCCTGAACATTAAATAGGCTAAATCAATTATAGGGTATCAAGAGAATCACCTAATCTTATCTTCATTCAACACCAATACTTGTATAATTTCTAGCATGAATCACTGAATAGAAAACAGGAGTAGGAAACTTTGCAAATTCCATCCCAACAATCCAAATCCCTGGAACAGCAACAGCGAAGCCAAATGATATTAACACTGAAACCTAGATTGTATAAGTATGCCTAACTCTAAACTGTCACTGAGGCTTTTTCCCTTGGAGTGACGAGTTATGAGTTTACTGTATTTTATGCAAACATTTACTAAAAGACACACACAGAAACATTTACTGCAAGTCACTTGTCTCTACTTACTAAGTTTGCCTGCTACTTCATCTAAACAGATGTCATTGTTCACTGCAGGGTTAGGGTAATTCGGATACCGTGCTAGGAATCTATAGCACAGCAAACCTAGGCTCTTCTCTTTACGACTTGGATGAAGCTTTTCAAATTCTTCTCCGGATAAATGGTCCTAAAAATGAAACAACATAATCTGCTTTACCCGGTATCAGTTAGGAAGCAATACAATCTTACTAGATTTAATAATAGGATTTAATAAAATATCCATTGAAGCGGTATTAATGTACAAAAAAGCACCGTTACCTGACAAAGAAATACAGTAGTTACATAGCTAAATAATTAGAAAAATGACAGAACAGTACCTGGAAATTCTCATTTGTTTCTGGAATATTCTCATCGTGGTTGAACAATTCCTTCTTTTTTTCCCTGTTCCTAATCTCTGGACTAGCAGCACTGATCAACATTTTCAGATTGGCTGTAGGGGTCCACGGTTCCCCGATAGGGACTTCCTGAAGTTTTGTTGGTGTAGTCATAGTTCCTATGTCTGGCCTAACGCCTCCCAATACTGAATGTGAGGAGGAAGACGGTTGCTCCAGTGGAGTTTTTATCAACTTCATATGTGGCTCTAAAAATATATTTTCCTGTTTCAACACATACAAGAATCCAAAATGTTAACCTTTTAAATTAGATAATCATGAATGTACTCTGGGGGAAGTGAAAGTTTTCTTCATAATGTTGCTCACAAGTTAATGAGAACAAGAGGATAGCTTTTTTTAAAAAAAAACACAAGAGACTTCTGAGAAGTCTAACCGTGAAAATGTAGACCACCGTGTAGTACTGAGCAATTAGACCAAAAAAATCCCTGATCCTATTGCCATTTTGGACAGTGTTACGCAATTGTATTTAATGCCTCTTTTAAGACAAATTACCCAAGCTTCCAATTTCTTAACTGCATTCCAGTGATCACTGATAGGAGAACTGTTGTGGACATCGTCAATTTCTGCTCTGATCACTCCCACCCATCGTCAAACAGTCAACCAAGCAGCCCATGACTGAAGTTCCCCAGTTCAGGCAGACGCATCAGTTGCGGCTGAGGCACTCATCTGATGGTTGCAGTGAGAAAACACACCACATAATATCACGGTGTTCAACAATACAACAACAATTCACATTTATATAGCCAAATTTCGTGGGAAGAAAGTCTCAAAGGCTAAAAAGGCCAGATAGAGCGTAAATAGCATTGCGATCCAGCTGGGAAGGTAATAATATTGCATTCCATAGAGCGCCTTATTACACCTTGGAGACATCTCAAAGCGTTTCACAGAATATACTGTAAAGTGAATGCACTGTATACTTTTGTGGCGAAACCTGCCAGCCAATTGCACACAGCAGTGTCCCAGAAACAGTCACGGATTAAGTGACCAAATTATTATTATCTTTATATTATTATGTAGGAACATAATAACAGGAATTGGCCATTCGGCCCCTTGAGCCTGTTCGGCCATTCTATTAGATCATGGCTGATCTGTACCTCAACTCCAATTATCACAACCTCGGTGTTTCTCAAAGACTTTTCTGATGACAGTGTCCCTTCTATTAGATCATGGCTGATCTGTACCTCAACTCCCAATTATCACAACCTAAGTGCTTCTCAAAGACTCTTCTGACGACAGTGTCCCCGGGCTAGGGAGGGGAGATGAAGAGTCAGATCTTGGCCTTGATGGCTGTCCAGTGAGTCATGCCCGGACTTTGGATGAGGGTTGTACTTGGCTGTCACGTCCCTCGATCTCAAGCTGAATAGCTTGCTCGCCGTCTTAAGTTTGCGCGTGAGAAATAGCGAGCGGCAGATAGATGGTGGGATCAGCACCTTTAGGCTCGGAGGCAACGTAAAAAAAAAAAAAAAATGGTGAATGCCGCGGTGCTCGACAGCTGACAGTCTTGTGCCGACGAAAAGTTTTTAAGCGTCAACGCGAGCGATTCGTGTGACGGGTTCAAGCAACTCACTTTGCGATCAACTTCTGGAAAGTCTCCCCCCGGGTCTCCATTCGGGTTAAGATCCAAGCGTTCGTTCGGATGGTTCGGTTTCAAACAGAAGCTGCTCATCTCGTCTGTCTGTAAAATGTCAAATGGAGAGACAAACACAAGTGTGTTATTTTTTCTCCCCCACCCCACGTCCCACCCCCCCCCAGCAAAAAATTTTAAAAATAAATTCTCCCCAATCTTAAAAAAAGGACATACATTGAAATTGAAAACCCTTTCGAGCCTTTTTAACGCCCCCCCCCCCAAAAAAAAAAATACCCAGTGAAGAACGAGGATCACGACAAAAGGTCAGAGATGATTTTTAATGATTTTCTTCACTGATCGAACAAGACATTGGTTACCCCCACCATCACCCCTCCCCACACCCACCATCACCCCCTCCACACCCACCATCATCCCCCTCCACACCCACCATCACCCCTCCCCACACCCCCTCCCACACCCACCATCACCCCTCCCACACCCACCATCACCCCTCCCACACCCACCATCACCCCCTCCCCACACCCACCATCACCCCCCCACACCCACCATCACCCCTCCCCACACCCCCCTCCACACCCACCATCACCCCTCCCCACACCCACCATCACCCCTCCCACACCCACCATCACCCCCTCCACACCCACCATCACCCCTCCCCACACCCACCATCACCCTCCCACACCCACCATCACCCCTCCCACACCCACCATCACCCCCCTCCAACCCACCATCACCCTCCCCACACCCACCATCACCCCTCCCCACACCCACCATCAACCCCCCCACAACCCACCATCACCCCTCCCCACACCCACCATCACCCCTCCCACACCCCCCTCCACACCCACCATCACCCCCCCCACACCCACCATCACCCCTCCCCACACCCACCATCACCCCTCCCCACACCCCCCTCCACACCCACCATCACCCCCCCCACACCCACCATCACCCCCCCCAACATCCACCATCACCCCTCCCAACACCCACCATCAAACCCCCCTCACAATCACCCCCTTCCCCACACCCACCATCACCCCCCTCCACCCACCATCACCCCTCCCCACACCCACCATCACCCCCCCACAACCCACCAACCCCCCCCACCACCGTCACTCCCCCCAACCATCACCCCCCCACACCCACCATCACCCCCCCCCCACCCACCATCACTCCCCTCCCCCCCTCCCCCCCCCCACACACAGATCTTTTAAAAAAAAACTTATTTTTTTTAAAAAAAAGTTTGGTCAGAGCTATAAAAAAACGAACAGAAATAATAACACCCGAACGCCCCTTCCCACCCCCACCCCCCCACACACACAAAATAAAATAGGGAATCAGGGAGGGGGTGAGGGAGGGAGGGGAGGGGGTGAGGAAATAACCTTCGGTATTCATGAAACGAGCTCCAAAAGGGGCCCGTGGGAGAGGAGGCCGAGTGGCGCGGCCCTCTTTGGCGGGACAACTGGCACCGGCCGGGGGTCAACCTAACCTGCGAGGCGCCGGGGGGGGGGGGGGGGAGGAGGGCCCGGCGAGTGACAGCCGCCGCGTCCAATCACGGCCCGGTCGCCTCGGGCGACCGCCCAAACAATGCCAGGGGGCGGGGGGGCGGGGACCAATCGGCTGGCCGCGGGGCGGGGTCAGGGCGCGGGCCGGAACGCCCCCCCTCCCGCCCTCCCCATCAAGTTCGGTTGAGCCGGCGCCAGGGAGGCGACCCGTAAAGGGAGGTGCGGCCGAGTTTACTTTTGAATTTGGCGCGTAAACCCCCCCCCCTCAACCCCCCCCCCTCCCCTCTCCCCGCGCACACACACCACCATCATCATCATCATCATCAGACAGCCAACCATCCCCCGAAAGAATATTCCCCCCTAATAATAATAATAATAAGAAGCAGCAGCAGCAACTGACAGAACAGGTCAGGCCGTCCCGATCGATAATCCTCTCGGGACAAGTTGCGGCCCGGAGTCCCCTCGCGGGGTGTTTGATTTTTTTTTCTCTCTCTCCCCCCCCCCCACTCCCACCGACCCCGACCCCCCGGTCATTTTTTTTAAAAAACAAGTGAGATGAGAGGCTTCGAGACGACGACGACGACGATGATGAGGATGATGATGGGAGGGAGAGAGAGGGAGAGAAAGAGAGGGAGGGAGGGAGGGCCGCCGCGCCAACTCCCCTCTCCTTTCCTCTCGCGGAGGCCGTTTGAAATCGGTTCCCATTTATTTTTATTTATTTTTATTTTCTCTCTCTCTCTCTCATCCACTGCCCCATCTCTCTCTCCCCTCTCCCTCCCACCCGCCTTTTCCCGCGCGCGGGCGGGCGCGCGGCCCAGAACAGAGACACACACACACACAGAGGGAGAGAGAGACGCCGCAGCGCGAGCGGAGCCGTTAAGATTCAAATCCGGCGCGAGGAGACGCCGGTGACGGTGTGGGGTGTGGGGGGGGGTGTGGGGGCAGAGCGAGAGTCCCGGTTCCCCTCCGCCACCGTCGGCGGTGCTCTAACCGCCACCCCCCGCACCGACCCTCCCTCTCCCTCCGCCTCTTTCGTCACCGCCCCGCAACAACGACAACAACAACAACAAAATGACATCTACGGAGAGCGCCTTTCACACGGGGAGGGGCGTCCCCAGGCGCTGGGCGGACAGGGGGAGAGGTGGGGGAGGGGGGGGTGGTCGAAGAGGAGGGTCTTGAGACCGGGCCTTGAAGGGGAGGGGAGGGCGAGGGAGGCAGCGAGGGCCGAGGGACCGCGGGATGGAGCTCCAGACCGCGCGGGGGGAGGGGGGCTGATAGCCCGGCCACCGATGGTAGGGCGGGAGACACGGAGCAGGCCGGAGCCCGCTGGACGGAGGGGGCGGGCGGGGCGGGGCGGTAGGGAGTCGGCAGGTCGGAGAGGCGGGAGGGGCCGAGGCCACGGACGGCCCTGGAAGTGAGGGCGAGGATCTCGAGCTCGATCTTCTTGGGGGGAGTGGGGAGCCGGTGGAGTCGGGCGAGGGTGGGAGCGATGGGGTCGCGGAGCCTGGCGCGCGAGAGTACGCGAGGCTCCCCCTCCCCTCACCCCATTCTCCCCCTCTCCCACCACCTCACTCTTCCCCCCTCTCCCCCCACAACCCCACTCTCTCCCACTCCCACTCCCCCCACCCAGCAAATCGCCTGCAAGGAGGAGCGCCGGGACCGGCGTAGACATCGGAAGAAAAGCCGCCCCCCCCCCCCATCTCCCGTCCGTCAGTTCTTCTTAACAGTAATTGTGTGATGTATTGCGCGGTGTAATAGTAATGGCAGTGGCTTCCGTTTATAATCAGGTGGTCCTGTCGGATCAGGAAGGTATTTGAGACTCCTCGACCGATGTGATGAGGCGCTATGTCAAATGCAAGAGTTATTATCAGTAGTGTCAGTATTATTACCTGTGCGTGTACGAAAAGGCTCTGGGTGCCTCATTTTTCTTGAAAGAAAAAGACACTTGAGTTTAAAAACTTAACAGAACATTTGTTTCTTTTCGGTTAGGTTTCAAAAAAAACACGCACCGGGCTCAAGTCATGGAGACTGAAGAGGGAACGGGACGGATGTAAAGGATTCACACTGAACCTTTGCCCTTACCCCCCCCCCCCCCACCCAAATAACAAGTTTCATTTTATTCCAGTCTGGCGAGAATCATGGTTCTTGCTCGACAGGGGGTAAAATAAAAAACCTCAAACTCCTTAAACTGGGGAAACTTTTGAGGGAAGCTTGCCCAGCCACGCGCTCATTACCGAACATATTGTGTTTATTGCCGTTTATTGGAAAACATGTAATAATAATAATCCTCGCATTTGATACAGCGCTTTTCACGTCGGGAGGACGTCCCAAAGCGCTTCACAGAACACACTGTAAAGTGAATTGACTGTATATTTGTGGGCGAACGCGGCAGCCAATTGCGCACAGCAATGTCCCACAAACAGTCGTAGATTGAAAATGACCAATTTATTATTGTTTTTTTGGTTTTGGAGGGATTATTATTAGGCTCTGTGTGGAGTAAGGAAACTTGCCCGAGGTTTCGCCCTCTGCCTGGGATTGAACTCAGGTCTCTCACTTAACTACAAGTTTAACTTGTAGGTACCAAAGCAACTTTAAAAGCAAACGGTGCAGAAAACTGGGCGCTTGAGTAAATGGGGGAGGGTCTGTAACGTTTGACCCCGAATTACAGTCGGGCATGGATTTCTGACTGTCACAGCTGTTTACATTTACAACAAAAGTAGAGACCGTAAACGATGATAATTCAAAGTACAAGCAAACATTTTTTTGAAAATGCAGTCAAAAACGATCCCAGTTTACCCGCCTAAACTGACACCCGAGAAACGCATTAGATCATCAAAAGAGGCATGTTCTTTTTTTTGAAAAAACCTTACCCTAAAGAGTAGGCTCGTCCTTAATCACTGCAGTCATGATTCCAGTACATTGTGCAACCAAACGTTTACCAACTCCGGAGGACTCGGCAGCGGCGCTTTTCAGTGGGTGCAGTGGGGACCGCCGTGTCAATGAAAATACACGAAGCGTCTGGCGGGTACTTCCTGGACAGGATTTGCGCGGGTCCTGTTGCACGGACTCCCAACCCGGTCCCACAGCAGCCGCCGCTTCACGGAGTTCAGTGAAGTGAGCGCTTTGCTGCCGCCCCACAAAAACCTTCTTCGCCAATGTGCAGAGTGGAATTTTTTCCCTGTGGCCAACCACCCACCAGCCACACGTGTGTGTGACTTTTGGACGGAGCGCGTCGGCATTTTGGCGGCGGAATGGGCGCGCAAAGTTCACTTTGAACTCGCGTTTAGTGCAATTGAAATTTAAAGTTGAAACGTAAAACCACCGTCCGGATAAACGCCGACCTCTCAGCGCTTTTACACGTCACGAGCTTTCAGCATTCAGTGCGTGGTTTAACTCAGCAAATTCAACCAAAATATCCTAAATTAGATTTGTACCCCTTTAGGTTTGTTTTCCTTTTTTTGGGGGGAGGGGGAGGTGGGGGGGAGTTAGCATTCCATCTCTTCCAAAAGTCTTGGTGAACATGTACTCTTTCATTGGCTTCAGTTCCCTGAACGGAAATATTACTTTACAGCTTTACCTTCAATGTATTAACGTTACCGCCGCGCACACACATTGCAGAGGGCTTTCTCAGTGGCCTCGAATCGCCGCGGGAAGAAGATGTGGGTTTTATCGGGAAATAAGTTAAAGACCCATCAATGTGTTTTCCGTTGACCCATCATTGAAATTAACGTTCAGTAATCGACCTTTGCACATTGATGCAGTCATTGGATTTTTTCGTGTCATGTGTCCGCCGTTCGAAACAGTCGGTTCTTTGTGGGATCGCTCTCTCGACAAACTTGACGGTTCCGTGTCGTGGCGATGATCTTAAGCGGGTGTGCGAATGGAAGACGTACTAATTATTTGCTGAGTTGGGGCTGATTTCGGTTTGGGCGTCAGCGAAGGCTGACAGTATGTGTCTTCAGGTTCCGGGGCCGCCGAGGAGAAATCCCACTGTAGATGGTGGAGATTGGTATAGACACAGAAGTCGATGGGAAGTCTGACGAAAGATCATTGACCTGAAACGCTATCTGATCCCCCCACACCCCCCACACCCCTGGATGCTGCCTGGTCCCGCTTCGTGTTCCCAGCGACTTCTGCGTCTACAGAGGGGGGAAATCAGTCCGAAGTTCTCGGTCTCGATCGCAATCCACTGACCCCTGGTGGGGGTGTGTGCATGTGGACCCGGGGGTGCAGTGAAATGGACAGCCATTTGTCCAGGTTGCCTCTGTTACGGTTCACACGTAAATATCCATCACTTTAGGTGAGGTACTGGGGCCAGAAGTAGCTCTCAAGAGGATACTTTAAGTCTGAATCTTAATGTCAGTTCCGTGAGAGTTGTGGATTTTGGACAAAATGCAACGTACTGTATTTCTATTAGATTTCATAGAGCTACAATATTGCATACAGTGAGAGCTGTATTAGTGTTTTGAGTGTCACCCTGGAGTGACGGTTCAGCTCACATGACCTGCAAATATTGTCTGGAGCTGTTTCCAAACATCACTTGAATTGACCAATTGACTGAATTGGCTGAATATTAACTGAATGATTGAAGCATCTGGCATGCCTTGCGTGTGTAATTAGTTTACTATATTATGTACCCACATCTGTTTACACTCCATTTTGAATTAATATTGTTTAATGCGTTCAATGTGTTTTAGTGTATTAACAGAAGAAAGTGAATTATTTCTTTGTCCAAACAGATGTTTCCCAAACTGTTTGGATTAAAGCTTCTGCCAGTACTGATCGTTTATGTTGTGGTTTTGACTGGATTAGTAGATGCAGTGATCACAGAGTACTACTCTTAAATAGATCAGCAAATACTAGGACTACTCTGAATGTACTGAAGTAAAAATGCCTTTCAGCTATTCATGAAGAGTTTTTGATGGTAACATGGAAACAAGGATTTTCTTGATTGAAACATACAACATAAAGGAACCATAACAAATAATAATAATAAATTGTTTGATAGATTATTAATTTTTGGGACAGTTTCTGACATAACAACAACAGTTGTTATGATGAGTTTGAGAATAGACCTTTCTGTGATCTTGTCATTTTTTTCATCCACTGACCTTTTTAACAGCTGAACACAATTTTTTTCTCACACAAAATTTACAGATGTGCACTTTCTAGCAAGGGTCATTTGATAGCAATCAGCAGTTTACATTTTTTAAATTTACAATTTTTCTCGTTTCTCGCCCAGGGATACTGAGGCATATCGTCATGTCCATCCACAACATTCAGCTGGGATCAGCTAATTTAAAATGGAATAGGAATTGAACTGGGATCTTTCTGCATTTTAGTCATCTACCAGAGGGTGTCAGAATTGAACCAGTCATATCCATTGGTAAGTACTGTACTGTACTCAGGACTATTAAAGTAAATGTTACCCACAAAATAGAAATCCAAGAAATTTTCAGTGTTTACATGACTACTGTTCAATGGCTCAAATAGGCAGGTATGGATGCACCATTGAATTGCTACACATTTGCCTGTCAGAGGTGAGACACTTCACTAAAAGTAGTGAAATTGTCAAAAGGGTTGGCCACCAATAATCTAGAGGGTACTTAGGGTCAGTCGAAACACAGGTTTCTTGCCTGCTTTCCAGGCTGGGTATTATGGATGGGATATGATGAATGAGGATGGGATATTACGGATGGGATATATGAGTAAGGAATGGGATAGACATTTTCAAAATTGGGAGTAATGAGTAGAAAACGTAATCTTTTGTTTGAATTGAAAAATTAACAATTTTTTTTCACAGACTTGATATCCATGTACCTTCATTTTTGTTCAAAAAACATTGAAAGAAAATGATTTCATATTTTTGTTCACTTTATATTAACTTTGTTATTGGGAGGGATAGAGAGCTGAGGCACATAGCGTCTCTGTAGTCAATGTGGTTTGTAACTGGCTCATAAAAAAATATGATTCGTGGAGCATGAGCTGTCCTGCCAGTTTTTGCATCCCTGAGGATGGACCACTCCCCTACTGGGCACTGCTCCATCTAGCAACCTCGACTTGAGGAGAGCCAAGCTCAAATAACAGTCGAAATAGGAATTCAAACTCCTGACCTCTCAATTCAAAGCGGAGTACTCTACTGCTAGAGTTAAGTTACTATACTGTCAATATTTTTACAAAAATGATTTTGACGGATTCACGGAAAGTAACCAGAACTTCTAGCTTTATATGTAGATATAAACTAACAATTGCATTTTAAATGCTATGGAAGTTACTTACTTTCATATTTCAGTTTTTCCATATGAGAGGCTACTATTATTTCTGACTGTATATGCAGGCAGGCAAACTGTTCCCAGGCCTTTCTCCATCATGTTCTGAGCTTGTGAGAAGAGATGTACAAATTTAATTGCCATGCTCATTTCTCCTCAGGAGAAACATCTCCCTCAATCAGGGAATTACTATCTGCATTCTTCCACTGCTTGGCATAGCAGTGAATTAATAAGTAATGATTCTGCAGAAATTGTGTTGCATTTCTGAAGAGGCAATCACTTGTCATTGCAACTGAGATCAGGGTATTATACCATATGCCAAATGTGAATATTCCTGCAAGTTAATCCAATATACCTTTAATTTCTATATTCAGTGATCAGGAACAGGAATGTGGGATGATTACCCCTCTCTCAGTTCTGGGCCACTGGAGCCAATTATACTCGCACACTTTATGCCCATATTGAAATCATTGCACAGGTTGACAATGAAACATTACAACCATAGCTCCGTGTGAGACGAGGAGTGGATTTATTGAGCCAACACAGAATCCCAGCTTTTTAAAATTCTTAATTTTTGACCTACATAATTGAAATGACATTCAGCAGTTTAACCTCAGCATTCTGGCTTCAGAAAGAAAAAAAAACAGACAGAGTTCCTGATCGCAACTCAGTGACCCCTGCCTCTGTGTGGGTGGCAGGTGAAGCACAAGATTGTACAATGTAAATTGAATAATGCAATTTATTTTTCTGCAACCAATCAATGGGAAAAAAATAAAACTTTTGAAAAAATACTTAAATCAGTAAATTGGTGAGTATCTAACCCAAATACAGACAGTGTTGGAAATGTGATTACACCCAAATGTATTATATTTAATAAAGCAATGGAAGTCTCTGATAGATTTTTGAATGTAACTTAAAGTAACAGTGATTTGTAGTATCTTCAGATGTCAAATATTTGAGGCTTACAGTGTATAATTTTTCATTTGATGAAGACATTATGCATTTAAGATAAACCAGCAAATAGAGTAAACCACTTTCAAATGAGATAACTAATCCAATTATAAGACAAGGCCATCAAAAACGCTAGTGGGAATAAAATGCAGTTCTGATTTTTCTACAACAGGCTTCCAGCACTGTGATATCTTCCTCCCCCAACCTTTGTCATCCGAAGGTGCTGATTCATCCCGGGATATTGTTTCATGAGCACAATAGGTCTTTCAATATTTCACACAAGTGTCCATTCTCCACCTTGAGCCAAGATGAAATTTCAGCTGGTTTTATACTTGATCATGATTGCATCTAACGCACATGCATACTTTCCAGCAGGAGTCACTGCACAGCAATCAGGAGTAGGAGCCCCAACTTTATATCACCCCCTCCCAGTCTCGGGATGGGGTACTGCTGTTTATTGACTACGATCAGCAAACTCACAACTAATTACACTTTAGTATTTTTATCTACTGAGTGACTAGGAGTTGCAGAAGAGGACAGTGATCCATTACGTCTATTATTTATGAATCTTCAATTGAGAAACAAATAAAACAACCAATATAAGTATGCTTATCTGTAATAGTTGTACTTAAAGGTTAATGTGGACAAAATGTTAGTCTTACAAATAAATTGCAAATACTGTTATGTCTATAAGTCTTAAGTATCGACAGGAGATCCTTAAACTGTAAGGTGAATCACATTATTCAAATTAATTAGGATAATGGGATATTACTTACCACCTATCAAATGTCTTAGCTAGTGTTGAGAAACCTGTTATGCATTTGTAGTGTATATAAATTGGGGATAATGTGTGAAGGGCCATAAGATTTTTTTTCTTTCCTATAGTGAACTTATTGGATTACTCAAAACTGCTCCAGGCTTTTTATGGCATTCTTACCAGTGAGAATAAATATAACCCAAACTGTGATCTATTTTTCGAGCAATGCTGCCTTTCTATCAATGTCAGTCTTTCACCTATGCTGATGTAAGATTGTGCCCAGCAAAGTCTGTGGCATTGTACCTCTGATCAAACTTCTTATTGACTGTTTCTATACTTCATCACAGATAATAAAGCAGTTTTAGTTTATCATACTCTGTTGTGTCTGTTTATTTCTTGAAGTTTCATTAAAAAGTAGCCATGTGTTCAGAGACTGCGAGAAAGATGGAACTGCTTTCTGCTTTCTGTGCTTTGTGAGAGAGAGCGATCAAAGGAGCAAGTACCTACTCATACCCAGGCACAACAAAGCCTAAGCTTGCCTTCGCTTGTTATTTAAACAACAATACTTGCTACAAAGGAGCTGAAGGATAGTAATTCGGAGCAAGGATCCTGGTTGGCATTTTCTTCCGCATGATGGGAATGGAGCCGGCTCCTCCACTGGGGCTGAGCACCTCAATTTCCCGCTCCCACCTTTATTATTATTGTTATCATTATAATAGGCAACAGCATCCTCTCCAAACAATGACAATAAATAAATAACAACAACAATCCATTGGGACGTCCTTCCGACATGAAAGGCGCCGCATAAACGTCATTTAACAACAATAATCCTTGCGTTTGATATGACGTCTTCGAGGCGTCTCAAAAGCGCTTCACGGGAATACACGGTGAGGCGTAGTGACTATTGTGTGAGCGAAACGCTGCTTTTGTTGTTCTTTCGAAAAGGGTTGTGATTTCCCCGGGGCCTCAAGTGGCAGCAACCGAAAGGCGGAGGGGGAGTGGGGGGGAGGAGGAGGGGCGGAGGGAGGGGGAGTGGGGGGGAGGAGGGAGGGAGGGGGAGTGGGGGGAGGAGGGAGGGAGGGGGAGTGGGGGGAAGGAGGGAGGGAGGGGGAGTGGGGGGGAGGAGGGAGGGAGGGGGAGTGGGGGGGAGGAGGGAGGGAGGGGGAGTGGGGGGGGAGGGAGGGAGGGGGAGTGGGGGGGAGGAGGGAGGGAGGGGAGTGGGGGGAGGAGGGAGGGAGGGGGAGTGGGGGGAGGAGGGAGGGAGGGGGAGTGGGGGGAGGAGGGAGGGAGGGGGAGTGGGGGGAGGGAGGGGGAGTGGGGGGAGGGAGGGGGAGTGGGGGGAAGGAGGGGGAGTGGGGGGAGTGGGGGGAGAGAGGGAGGGGGAGTGGGGGAAGGAGGGGGGTGGGGGGGAGTGGGGGGAGAGAGGGAGGGGGAGTGGGGGGAAGGAGGGGGAGTGGGGGGGAGTGGGGGGAGAGAGGGAGGGGAGTGGGGGGAGAGGGAAGGAGTGGGGGGGAGGGAAGGAGAGGGAGTGGGGGGAAGAGGGGGGGGAGAGGGGGGGAGGCCATGTGCGCTGTATCGCCCGTCGCTATGGAGACGGATCACTCCGGAGCGAGAGGCGCGAATCCATGACGTCAGCCAATGGGGGTGAAGGGGGGAGTGTGTGAGTGTGGGGGGGTGTTGGGGGCTGTTGGGGGCTGTTGTGGCGCCGCGTTCACCCTATTCGGTCCGCCCCCCCCCCCCCGCCGCTCGGGCAGCGCTGCCGGAGGAGGGGGTGAGTGTCGGAGACAGTGAGGGGTTCGGGTCCCTTTCCGTATCTCACAGGTTCTGGTTATTTTTTTCGCGCGCGCACATCTCAACAGAGATTGGGATAATGTTGTGAACACCTGTGTGTGTGTACTGTGTGTATGTGTGTGTGTGTACTGTGTGTATACGTGTGTGTGTACTGTGTGTATATGTCTGTGTGTGTGTGTGTGTGTGTACTGTGTGTGTGTATATGTCTGTGTGTGTGTACTGTCTGTGTGGTGTGTGTGTACTGTCTGTGTGGTGTGTACTGTGTGTGTGTACTGTGTGGTGTGTGTGTACTGTGTGTGTGCACTGTCTGTGTGGTGTGTGTGTACTGTGTGTGTGCACTGTCTGTGTGGTGTGTGTGTACTGTGTGTGTGCACTGTCTGTGTGGTGTGTGTGTACTGTGTGTGTGTACTGTCTGTGCGGTGTGTGTGTGTGTACTGTGGTGTGTGTGTACTGTGTGGTGTGTGTGTGTGTATATATGTCTGTGTGTGTACTGTGTGTGTGGTGTGTGTGTACTCTGTGTGTGTACTCTGTGTGTGTACGGTGCGCGTGTGTACTGTGTGGTGTGTGTGTGTGTGTACTGTGTGTGTGTGTGTACTGTGTGGTGTGTGTACTGTGTGTGTGTGTGCACTGTGTGTGTGTGCACTGTGTGTGTGTGCACTGTGTGGTGTGTGCACTGTGTGGTGTGTGTGTGCACTGTGTGTGTGCACTTACCGATTGCTGCCGAAGATGGTCAGTGCAGTAACGCGGGGCTGTGGCTGGTGTCCTGGTGACAGACTGGTTGTGAGCACTGACTGAGACGGATTGTCCTCGTTTGGTTTCTCCTTTTATTTTGTGCACTGTGTATGGTGTGTGTGTGTGTGTGTGTGCACTGTGTGTGTGTGTGTGTGTGCACTGTGTGTGTGCATTTCCTTAACCTTGTGTTTTTTTGTCTTCTTCTTTCTCTCTCCCACCCCCCCACCTCTCCCCTCTTTTTTTTAAAAAAAACATAGCAAATCAGCCTTCTCTAAAAGGTGCATTTTTGTTTCGTTTGTGGGCAATCAACAAGAAGAGGAAACCTCGCAAGGAGGGAGGAGGGGGGGGGGGGGCAGATCTTTTTCTCTGTGTGTGTGTGTGAGTGAGTGAAACTTGCAGCACTTTTGTGGGGCTCACAAAGTGTGCATTTTTTTTTGGGGGGGGTGTAAAGTGAGGGGAGTTGGGGGTAGGGAGTGGGGGGGGGGGATGTCTGTCGTTACAGAATTTATGGGGAGAGCAGGTTGGCCCGCAAAGTGATGCTGATCACATCAACGTGGCGGATCAGACTTTCTCTCATCCACACCTCCCCTCACCCTCACCACCATCATCACCACCACCATCACCATCACCACCATCCTCATCATCGCACGTTCCTGGAGGCAATGGAGCGGTGGCCGGTGGACCAGTGACAATGTGGCGGACAGAAAGCCTTCGCTTCGATTTCGCTGTCGGTCTTCGGCTTCGTGAGGCTTTCGGGATCGAAACGAGAACGACACAAGGCTCAGGAAGGAGCGACTCTGGGAGAGAGGGAGGAGGAGGAGGAGGAGGAAGAGAGGAGAGGAGAGGAGGAGGAGGGAAAGACCCCCCCCCATGGAAGTGTGAATAAAGTTGCATGGCTTTAAACCCCAACACTGTGATGGATGATACGAGAGTCAGATCCCAGCACCAGTTGGCGAATTGAAAGGATTCATTTGCTTTCCCCCTTCTTTTTTTTTTTGGCCATCTGGGGAGTGGGGGGGAGTGGGGGGGAAGAAGAGGTGAAAATAAAATTGGATTGCGAGTGTTTTTGTTTCGGGGTGTGGGGGGAGAGAAGGAGATCAGTGCTGTCGGATTGGGAGCTGATACCCGGGGATTTGTGTGTTTTTTTTTTGGTGTGTGTGTGTGTGTCTGTGTGTGTCTGTGTGAAGTGGGAGATGGAAACGGGATCTGAGTCGAACCGACACCAAAGGAAGCCTGTAACTCACGGACTGGAAGATCAGAAGAGGGTAAGCAGTTTAGCAACACTCATGTGATTCAGTGTATCCCTCTTTGTATCCCTCAATGTATCTCTGGATCCCTCTTTGTATCCCTAAATATATCCCTCAGTGTATCCCTCAGTGTATCCCTCTTTGTATCCCTCAGTGTATCCCTCAGTGTATCCCTCAGTGTATCCCTCTTTGTATCCCTCTTTGTGTCCCTCAGTGTGTCCCTCAGTGTGTCCCTCAGTGTGTCCCTCTGTATCCCTCAGTGTGTCCCTCTTTGTGTCCCTCAGTGTGTCCCTCTGTATCCCTCAGTGTGTCCCTCAGTGTATCCCTCAGTGTATCCCTCTATGTATCCCTCTGTGTCCCTCAGTGTGTCCCTCTGTATCCCTCAGTGTGTCCCTCAATGTGTCCCTCTTTATATCGCTCTTTACATCTCTCTGTGGCCCCTCGTTGTATCCCTCTGTGAAGGGGCCGCACGACTGTGCCCTCCTCAGGCGGCTCTTCCTTTCAAACGCCGAGTCGTTGCACCAAAACCGAAATAACATTTGCTGTGAACTCAAAAGTAAAACAGTTGATAGTTGGTCGCACGGGTTTACAACCCCCCCACTCCCCCCCCCCACTCCCCCCCCCACTCCCACTCCCCCTCCCCCTCCCCCCCCACTCCCCCCCCCACTCCCACTCCCCCTTCCTCCACCGTTAAGGACAACGTGCACGGATCGTCCCGAGGCGCAAAAGCAATGTTTGGAGATGTGCAGTGTTTAATTTTCCCAGTGCTCTTTAATTTCTAAATGGATCATCTCTTCCCCTCCTCCTTCGGGGTTTTAATGTGCTGCTGCTTGTTGTTGTTGTTGTTGTTGTGGGTGGGGGGAGAGGGAGAGTAACCGAAGCAATTGACCACGAGGCAAATAATTGACCAGTCGTGATTGTGAGCCTCGTGAATGGCATCTCAGGTCCAACATTAACATGTAATTAGGAGTGTTTGGGTGTTATTGATGAGCCTCTCCCACATCGCCCATCTGCTGCGAGCACCGACCGACCAGTGAGTGCACTCGGAGTCTGTACCTCTGATGTGCATATACTTCCACAGCCCAAGTCAAGCGTCAGTGGCAGCTGTGATAACATCAATTGGTCACGCTTTAGTGATGTTCATTTTAACTCTATCCCCCCTCACCCTCACCCCCCCCACCCCCACTCTTTCAGTCGTCACGGCGCTTATTAAATTTATAACGATATATATATATGTATATATATGTGTAAGATTGGGTTTAATGAGTGTTTGCACTCTCGACTGTGTCTCTTTTTACTCGTGTTTACAGAGGGCCACTAATGATGTGGTTTTCCAGGATGTTATGCCACAGTAAATCTTTTTTTTTGGGGGGGGGGGGGAAATGAAGCAAAGGGTTTGTCACACTCTTAAAATGATTTTCAGGTTTTAAAATGTCTAAGACTGTTTGAAGCTATTGATTGGGAGTGATATTTAGCCGAGAGCGTCTTAAGTCCCTTTTAAGCCTAGTTTGTAACACATTGAGCATTTTAATCACAGGATGTATGATAATATGTAGATATAAAAAATAGCATG